ACATGTCACGACTGGCCCGACGCAGGACGCGACAGCTGCTGAGAGCTGAGAATCAGTGCAAAGTATTCTTTCAGCCCTACGAATTTTCTTCACAGTCTTGCACAGACCCGTGGAAAAAAATACAAATCTATAGATAGTCTTCTTACGGGGGGAAGAACGGTTTTTGACGCTGGCTCTTTTCCCACACTTACTTTAATCCTATCTATACAAAGAAAGAAAACAACCTTCTTCCCGCCGGGGTTAGATTATAGGCATTCTATTGTCACCAGTAGAGGGCACCATGATGACGAGGCGTCGTGCGTGCTGGCACGTTCAGGTTTGCTACTGGATGGAGCGGAAATATCGAAGGTCGCAGCAGCCAGCCGCGGAAAACAGTCCGAAATCTGCACCGGAACCAAGCGGCATCCAACATTTGTCACAGCCATGCTCACCGCCACGGACCGTAAACCCCTGAACGGAGGGGTGTCGGAGTAGTAGCTAGTGGCATCAGCTACTGCTGCTGTAGACCCGTAGCTCAGGAGATTGGAGTCGGTGACGGCGAGCATGGCTGTGACAAATGTTGGATGCCGCTTGGTTCCGGCGCAGATTTCGGACTGTCTGTTTAAAGGCTGCTGCTGCGACCTTCGATATTTTCAGCTCCAGTAGCAAACCTGAACGTGCCAGCAGGCACGACGCCTCTTCATGATGTCCTCTACTGCTGGCAATAAAATGCCTAACTTAACCCTCAAAACTGACCTCATTTGAGCGCCTTCCGTTCTGACTCCTTTGACTTGAAATTTGATTGGAGCGAATTTTTATCTTGATTTCAAAGGAAGCCTATGGAGGTAGACGCGTGAAACGTATGTTTTGAGCAGCCAGCCTCTACTGCCTGCCGCCCTGTGCGAGAATCAACGATTGCTGTTTTTCGTTATGCCTCCCGACCGGTCTTGTGTGTCTGTTGTACAATTTCTGGACCTCTTGCGTTTGTTTTCAAAATTCGTCAACATCAATATTATTGTTCTTCTTCCGCCCCTTAACCCCTTTAGGGCTGGATCGCCTTTTGGGGACACTTTTTGTCCCCATCTTCTTCACCAGCTCTACCTCGCGAAGATTGGCATGATTGTCTCTCCTCCTTTGCACTACTCGACCAGGGGGGTGCCAGGGTACACAGGGACGACTCTAGTCTAGTATGGATGCTTTGTAGAGTGGAGGAGTATGAGGGTAATGAACAGGTCGAATCGCGGGGCGATTACGCCGCCGGTTCAACAGCGAAGTTGCGCCGCGTCTGTTTACCCTTGGGTGGAAAGCGCTACTAGGGGCAAGCGCGGAAGAAGTACCTAGACCACCGTTGATAGGAGGCACCAAGCAACCTAGGGCTTGAGTTAGAAGGTCTCGCTTTCCCTCTACAGAAATATCTTGAAAACCTCCTTTTCGTGCCCCGTTTACCACGCTCCCGCCAGTTGCTGTCTATAATCCCTATCAAATTCCCCTCGTGTCCCCTCGCATCGAGGGGACAATTGATAGGGATTATAGACAAGAGACGGCTCAAGTGGGAAGGCAGCTTTGCACTTGCACCCAGGGATGGAACTGTCTGCACCATCCAATCAGCAGGCGTCGTTCGCTCTTTTTCTTAAATTCCAGAAATTGCGCAAGACCGCCGAATTTTCTGTGCGTGGTAAGGGGGTTAACAGTTGTTTTCACAGACAACACATATACATACATCACATGTATGTATGTATTATGTGGGGCTGACGCGGGGTGCCATCGATTTTCGCTGAGCCCGTTTGCCGTACAGTATTCAATTGTTCTCCTTTTTTTTGTGTGGACTTGCAACCCGGCCGGCCGGGTGTTGTTGTTGGGCGTCATCGTGGTCTCCGTGAATATTCCGCATGAATACATAGATAGATAGATAGATAGATTGATAGACGACTATGTATGTACGTATGACAGAACACTGACTAACTAGCAGCTGCTGTGCGTGGATCTTCAGCGCAACAGATAGACAAATAATAATAATGTAGATCAAATAATAATATATAGAGATGATACTGTTGGCTACCTTCTTCCCGTCAGCAAGCCCCCGAAAGTATGCATAGACTATATCAAGAAGGGCTGCTGGCCCCACATTATTATTAACCAGCCACAGTGGTGAGGATTGACGGAGACGGGAAGAAGAGAGTGCCACAGAAAAACAACCGAGAGCGTGATCTGCTATTATTTTTTTTATTTTTCTTAATATGACACAACGAAACCATCTCTATCATAGAAAAGAGTCTGAAACAGATTAGCAATGGATTCTTCATAGCGGCGTCAGAAAGTACCTGCATGTCTACGATTTCCCAGACAGCATATAGGGACATCTCCCCTGCGGGTAACAGGCTCAACAAAAGACAGTTTGGTAGCTGTCTTGTGTGTCTCATATATGTTATTTTGGGAAAGTGCAGATGATATATATGTGTTAGGTACTGGTCGGTCGGGCGTTTTGTGTGTGGCACCCTTTTAGCCGTAGGGAATGCAATCTCCCTCAGTTTTCAAACGTATTTATTTATTTTCAATGTGGTAAGCGTATGTACCGGGTGTTTGGGTATGTATATGTCTGGATACATTTCGGAGTATGTGCGGACACACGGGCGTGGTCTCACCATTTTCTTACCTTTTTTTGTAATTTCGTGTAATTTCGTGCTGTGAAATCTGCAAATGGCACGGGAGAACATTTTTTCATATTTTCTTCATTGCCTCCTGACGTGGTCGCCGATCGAGGAATGTGGTTGAGGTTTCATCACCGACATGTGGGTGTGTGTTAAAGGCAGTGGGTATGGCTACCTATCTCGCCCGTATGTAGGCAGAAGGTATGGCTACCTCTCCCACTAGTAGGCAGCGTGGACCACAGGTAAAGACAGGGTCGATCAACTTACTTATTGTCTCCCTGTCCTCTCGCGTATGGATACCACGCGTGCGTGCGTATGGAAGCCATGCATCTCCATATGTTGTGGTTTTTTGTTGTTTCTTTCACATTATTATTAGCTCTCTCTGTAGTCCACAAAAACAATGGGGAGACCGTGGTCGCAAAACCCGGCACATACGACGCCGCTTGGAAACAAAACAAGAAAAGAGTACAAACCACTCGGAAAAAGAAAACAAAAAAGATAGAAAGAAAAGAACAGCAGCTACCTACCGCACCGACCGGTCGAGAAAAGGAGCCCTAGGAAAACGATCAAAATTAGCAACACAAAAATAAAGGCAAAAATTAAACGGGAAAAATGTATCTGATTGATTGTCATTGACAGTCGATTGATTGCTTCATTTTCCCCTGAATAGAATCTAAACTGTGCTGCTGCTGCAACTAATCCGAACAGCACGGTTGTGTAGATATAGACTATTTAAAGGCGAGAAGGAGAGAGGAGGCGCAACCAATTCATGGCTTTTGGTCCACTCTGTTGCTTGCTTCAGGTGGGGGCACGTGGCAGCTAGCTGTCGATGTGCGTCTTGGCAGGGAGTGAAAGTGTGACTCGTCTTTCCACAGAGCATATCTCCCGCCACAGGTCGGCACCGAACGACGGAATGTCGGAGAGAATCTTCTTGTGGAATCTCGCCGAGCTTTGGTGGGTCTCGTATCGGAAGTGACCATCCAACCATCTATGTAGTCTATCTCCCTGTGGTCCAATCGATGTCCACCTGTTGTTCCGCGTCAACCCAACAATAATCAGGTACAGCATGTATGTATGTATCCAAAAATCAAACGAAATTGCCCAAATTCCACACACACACACAACGAGACTGACGTCTTTTTTTATTGGTCAGTCAGTCGGTTAGCACGATCGATGCTAAAAAGATGCTACGTAAGAAACACCCAACGAACGGTATGCATGCATAACATGCGCTCAACATCCTCCCAACATCCATCTCTCTTTACGATTTCCCAACAGATGGCCTGATAATAATGCACAACATGGCCACCGATCAGACAGACAGATGATACCGCTGCTCAGGGACCTACTACCCGTGAGAAATATAAGGACATTCAGTCAGGTTGTCACCCATTTATCTCCTGCGGAAACGAATGAGGTGGGGCGAAGAGAGTATCTCCGGCCGCTGGTCTTGTAAAAAATAACACATGTACCACCGACGTGATGTCATGATGTCGCCATGCACACACCATGATGATGCGTACCACCACCTCCGCTACGTTCACTCCTTCCGCCCTCTCACTCCCGCTCTCCCCTCACTCACACACATCGACCCCGCGCACAACGGCAGTCGGCGGGGATTTTCGGCCACGAGGCGATATCCGCCATATTGAGCTCGTGCTTCTCGAGCCCCCGCAAGCAGCAAGAGAGAGACTTCCACCACTTGATCAAGGTACTACAGTAGGGCGACGTAAAAGTAAAGGGTGCGCGAAAATCTTGTAGTGCATCGAATATACTCACGGCTGGCTATGTATTACCCAAGTTTGCCAAAAGTAATGCCGGGAGAATGCCTCCCCTCCCTCACAAACGAATGAATGGTGGTGAGCTGCTGCTGTACAGCGCTAACTATCATTCCGTGCGGGCCTCACATATCTCACATCCCTTCATCCAAGCGTCCTCGCTGCCGACTTGAAAAGGACCCAACGAGGATGCCTATCTAGCACTTCAACATGCGACGGAACAGGAAGAAGACCTAGATAGTTGGAGTAGGTTCGCCCGTCGCATCGTTCAAGACTCCACGTACCGCTTCGTCACGTGTATGCTAGAATAACAACTGCTTGTGAGCGCGTGTCGGCCAAATATTCAGACTGCTTGCTTTGTGCCGGCGGGATCGTGTCTGCCTGTCTGAAGACGATAGAGCAGACAACAAGCACACCCGCAGAGCGCCAGAAGGCATCTACACATTATAACAGTAATAGTCGCCCTGCTCCCTGCAAAAATTGATAATAATTTCACCTGTCTCCTCGGCATCATTTTTTTTTTCTTCCGCATGAATCTGCCCAAAACATCAAAACATTGCCTACCCTGGCCTGGGTCTGCAGCTTTGAGAAAAGCATGGGACGCACGTGTAATCTGGTGCGTCTCGCCGGCTTTGCCCTGGTTACTGGGATTGCTTCCGGTGGATGCCCGTTCCTTTCAGGTCAAGAGGTGAGTGGACTGACTGCTTTGACAAAGTTGTGCTCGCCTCTTTGTCACGAGTTCGTTTTCGATTTCCCGCAAGCAATAGACTACAGGTTGTTCCGACCCACTCATTAGAAACAGACACGTTTGTTTCTTTGAGCCAAGGCTAAAATCCCCCGTGTTGGTTGTGTCCAAAATGATTGGAGCAGGAACAGGTTGTTCAATGTACATGTAGCATTACAGTCCATCCCTAGGTTCAGGACACCATTTTTTTTTCAGCACACTCACTCCTCCCCCGGTTGAAAGGGCAATTTGTTTTTCACAGGCATGGTGGCTGGCAGAATGTAGAAGAAGTACATTAAGGAGAGGTGTCAACCTGAAGGACCCTTCCCCGGCGTAAAATTAAGGACACCTGTTGAAACGAAAAACAATGGGTGACGTGAACCGAGGTGCCTGTATTGATTGATTGGAGGAGAGCCGTCGGCTTGTCCGATTGTGTTTTTTGCTGCTACTTGAAATATACTTCTTGTATAGTGTTTTTGTCCTGAAATATTAGACTATTATGGCGACAGTCCCCCCATTTTCGTGGTGAGACGTGTACTACATTTTTTCGTACACTACAAACATTTAGGGGTACACAGGAGAGGGCTAATTTCTTCTTGTTGTTTTTCTTTTCGTGCCCCACCTTCCTCCTGCGGTGCGTGTTGGACTATATTCTTTACCGCGAGAAGGGTCCAGTCGTCCCTTTCCCTTGTCAACAGGGCTTACGTCGAAGTTTGGTACTCACGAGAGCTTTTCAGCCTTGTTTTCGCTCTCACCCGCAAGCGTGTAACTTTTTCTACCCATGGGGATTCGAACTCAAGACTTTGCGACTACAGTGCAGCCAGTAGCGGTTTCGAGGTTACCACTAGACCACCGGCGCGACCGCTTAGATACATCCAAGAATCTGAGCCTGCGATATTTTACTCACGTCTGTAACACTTCCATTCCCCGACGCAGGAGTAGCACCTTCCTCCCATGTCTCAACCAGAAGACAGATAGTGTCAAGCGAGATAAAGACCGGGCACGAGATAAAATTCATGACTGATTGCTGTGGCACTCCTTACAGAATAAGGAAGGAAGGGTGTGGCAATTCGTACACACATTTCAAGAGAACAATAAACGACACTTTACGCCCGACTCCCTTACCATGTTTCGGCCAATTTTACAGGACCAGCAGCAACTTGGCAACCACATCGGTGGGGAACGCCTCCTCTCCACCGACAGCGGTTATGAAGAAGGCGCCGACTACTCCCGAGAGACATATGAAGCCATCAAGGCCGACATCTTGGCTGTGTTCGTCGACTCCAAGGACTTCTGGCCGGCCGATTTCGGCAACTATGCCCCTTTGATGATTCGCCTTGCTTGGCACTGCGCCGGTAGGGACACACATTGCGCCGTCGCGAAATCATTGGCGCCGTAGCTGTAGGGGTTCATTGTCGATCGCACGGGTAGCCAATGATTTCCTAATGGTTAAGCTGCCGAACCAAGTGGTTAGGTTCAGAGCTCGTTGTTTGGGTGTCTCTCTCAGCACATCCGGAAAGACAATACTTGCAGGACCTCCGGTATCAGCAAAGGTAGCCGAAACCAGAACCAAGCAAAGCGTCTCCGCTGACACCCAATCAACAGTTTGTGGTCGCTACGTTGCCTGTCACTTCACCCTAAAGAGTAGGCAATTTCTTCTTCGCCCCTACAGTACAGTGGTACGTCACATTCCCCCAACATGTGGACGCAGGTAGCAGTGTTCTTGTGAGTAGAGTAGAGTGTTCTTGAGGACGACTGGCACTTTTCGGAGTTCGTGCACCCATCGGCGACCTTACGCAATACGTATGTCCGTGCACATCCCGCCGAAACATGTACCACAGCAGATGATTCGTCGCACCTATCTCTCCCTTATTTTTATTGTTCGGGGTGCACCATGCGCCCCGTCTCCGCAAGTGACGACCACGCGCCTCAAACACAGAGACACTGGACAATTCTCCAGACACCCACGATATCACAGTTTCGGCACATCCGTTTGTGCATTCTTGGCCCCACATTTATAAGGTTGGGATGTAACTGTATGCACACCAGGTCGTGGTTAGGCTGGCCCAGTATCATGACGCTGAACCTTTCGATCGTTCCATTTAAGTGCGCATTTCGCAGCCGTTTCCTCGAAAGTTTCCACGGAGTACAGTCAAACGCATCCAAACCATCCACACATCTGCCGAAGGCTATCTACGGTCCGTCAATGTCTGCCTGCATTCGCAGGAAGCTACCGCAATTCCGACGGGCGAGGGGGCTGCGATGGCGGTAGGATCCGCTTCTTCCCGGAGCACGGCTGGGCTGACAACACCAACCTGGACAAGGTAATTACCCCTCCTTGCCTCGCAGTCGGCGAGTTGTTCCCGCGTCCTGACGTTTTAATAATGGACAAACCCTCCCGCTCCTTTTGAAACGAACTCCTCGACATAACTGCCCTCCCCCCCCCGCGCGCGCACCCCCCTCGCTCGGTGTTTGCCATCGGGGTTGGTTTCTCGTCGCTTGGCAACGACGTTGTAAAACAAGCCGCCCCCCCCGGTGTTTGCCATCGGGGTTGGGTTTTCGTCGCTTGGCAGCGATGTTGTCAAACAAGCCGATCACTTCGTGAGCTCGGCCACCAGGTTACCGCTTTTTTATTGCCTTTGGCCTTTTTTGTGCGGTAACCACGAATGGTGGTCGACTAGATCATGGTGTGCGGGGTCGAGAACCCTTACTTCGACAGTGCTTTCGACTGTCTCTGGAAGTGAAAGCACCAGAAAATAAGTCATACACAGCTGTCATCCGTACGCAAGGAAGTAAGCACAAGATGCCGAAAACCCTTAGCAGGATGCAGCGCACCCTTCATGCGACTCGCCGAATACGTCACGGCGCTTCGCGCTTGGTGATGTGAGAGCCTGGTCCGGTGAGAACCCGGCGTGCTCCGTCCCGGCTTTGTAGGGATGCGAGGTCAATGGTCTAACGGCTACGGCATGCACGACTATGAGTATACCCCCCCGCGCGCGCGCGCGCGTCGCCTTCGGCGGTACAAACCAACAGGCCCTGACCCTGCTGACGCCCATCAAGCTCAAGCACGGCGACGCGATCTCGTGGGGTGACCTCATCACGCTCACGGGAGACATGGCCATCTCGAGCATGGGGGGTCCCATCCTGGGATTCTGCGCTGGTAGGCAGGATGACTCCTCCGGCTACGACAGTCTCGAACTCGGCCCGACTGAGGAGCAGGTGCGGGGCCCGATACGGGGGGGCGTCCCGAATTTCCGTTCTTCGGAAAACGCCGTACCGTTGAACCGTGGTCATCGGTTTCAGCCGATTGATTTCGGTGCCGATGTTGGAGACTGCAGTGCGCGTCGACTTGGGATTAGAACGTTTCGTCCGTGACCACCATTGTCGGCCTCTTTCGCTCCCATCGTTGCAGCTGACTCGGCCGTCTGGTTTTCATGGGACCAGCTTAACCTAATTATTCATGTTCGATATTTTGGACCAGGAGAAGGTTTTTCGTTTGGTCGATATATCGAGAGGAGTCAAAACGGTTGGTGCTCCACGTACACACTGTTTGACGCAGGGTTGTTTGCCGAAACTCGTACCACTGCGAACCGATGTCGTCTTCTGGTCGTCTGCTGCGCAAGAACCAAGCTGAAACAATCTGCGGGCGGTGTGAATAAGATAATCTGAATTCGACAGGAGGTCGACAATGCGTTCGATTCTTGATCGTGACAACAAGAACAACCAGTATCGACATCGGTATGGTGGCAACTAACATTCGAAAATTGTGAAAACCACCTTGAGCAGGAGGCGACTGCTCCTTGCGCCGTGAACGGAACGTGCGAGGTTCCTCTTGGAACCAGCACGGTGGGGCTCATCTACGTCAACCCAGGTGTGAATAATCTGCTGCTGCCCGAAAAAAAAAACTCAATTGTGAACCATCAGTTGTGCGCCACTACCGGCAATCCTTGGATCGTGAAACGTGAACTATTGTGCACCGATAATAGTACTGTTTTGCACAACAGCAAACGTTGACCCGGAGAACCGCAAAACCGTGCTCGTTACCGTTATCCAGGCGGGCCGATGGGTGTCCCTGAGCCTACGGAAAGTGCACCCCAGATCCGTGAAGTTTTCGCGCGGATGGGTATGAACGACACCGAGACCGTGGCTCTCATCGGCGGAGGGCACGCGTTCGGCAAGTTCCGCTGGCCCTCTTCGTAGGGTAGATCTAGGCTCGAATCGGCATTTCCTGTATAGGTCATCTTGCCCCCAATAGCTTCGGTAGAATGCGTTGTAGGCCCATGTCTTCTCCCGATGTTTCCTCTCGCTACGTCCCTACGATGGTCGGCTCCCTGCCTGCCTCTGATATGACGTTGCCGACGGGATTATTCAACGGAGAAACGGCACCGACGCATGAGGACGTTGAAGGCGAATTTTGCAACATGTTGAAAATGATGTTCCTACTGACGCATTATTGGCAACCGTGCCCCACCGCCCCTCCCCGCACATGACGTCTTCAACCTTTCCGTCGATGGTTCGTTTTCAGATGTGAATTCCCGTTTCTCTATAGGGAATTTCGATCAAGCACGCTTTTCTCCGGTCTACAACACTATGCCGCTCTTGTGGGATGGCCACATAAATGCTCGTCTCCCTAGCAACACGGTCTCCCTCGCGCCGTCTCTCCCCTCATCTAAGCGACCGCCACCGCGATAACCTGCTTGCCCCCACGTACGCTGGTCATCCCCGCTCGATGTCTACAGGAAAGGTTCACGGGGCATGCCCTACCGGTCCTGGCGCGGACCCCATCGACGCCCCCGAAGACCCCTGGCCGGGAACGTGCGGGGACCCCGATTCCGACACCTTCGGGAAAGGCGATAACACCTTCACCTCAGGCTTTGAGGGAGCATGGACTGAGGAGCCCACGGTACGTCGTGTGCGGTTGCGATGCTGTACCGGTCGTTTGACGACATATGAGGGGCTGGGCAAACGCCTCCCTCCGCACCCCGACCTTGAAGACCGAGGTCGGAGGAAGTAATGTTCAAGGACTGGCAACGACTATGTTGAAGCGGCACAGCAGTGTTCATTTCTCAAGGCTACGTGTTTCCAGGGTGCCATGTCCTAGCGGCCTTTTGGACTGATCATTGACGTCTGGAAAATGGAAAGAGTCCGCTGATTAACGGTTCGTGCGAATAAAAACATGTCTCCAGCAGTATGGTAGAGCTGCCTTTGCTATCGAAAATCCGACTGCACGTGGGGGCTTCATGCTACAATGTACTCGTCAGAAGCGCGCATGGTGTATCTCTGCTAGTTTGATGTACGGGTGCTACTTTTTTCGTATTCAATGACAAGCGCGCACGTGCACATCTGGCCTGACCTCAGTGAATTGCATGGTTGGTTTCCCTCTATGGAGTTGTTCCCAGCCTACAGTGGACACAACATCTGATTCTGATGCTATTGTCGTTCCTGATCCTACCACTCAGCCGTCTGGATTTCCTTTCGCATATTCTTTCCGCTTTTTGCCGAATATTGAAGGTATGGGACAACCATTACTTCATCGACCTCCTCGAGTATGATTGGATTCAAGACGAGAGCCCCGCCGGCAACATCCAGTGGATTCCCGTGCTGAAAGAAGACGCCACTGAAACTGACGTTCCCGACATTATCATGCTAACTTCGGACGTCGCCCTGTTGATGGTGAGGACAAGAGATATTGGACACCAGCTGCCACTCATCTCTGATGGCTGCCCGGTAATTTGTCGGTGGTAAAGACCCCGACGTGAACTAATCAGGAAGGACCCAACCCATCACCATCCAAAGCGTTCTGGTACATGGCACCTTGGTTCGACGCTCGCGTCTGTTCGTTGAGTATACACCACTTCAAACTGGTTCCAGTGCCTCCTTGATCGACAGGCGTTGTGTCGACCATGTCCCGAAAGAAAGAATCACGTCCATATCCGCAACGTGTGGTAGTCAGTTGCATAGCTTGTCTGGGTCTAGTTCCTTGTTCTCCTATCCGGACCCTGCCGCGAAGCCAACCGTGGCCCAAATTGTCAGCAAACAGGCAACGTGTCGTGGTGGGGACCTAACAGTAGCTCCCACCGCCCGCCGGTTGTTCTAACCTTGCACGCATCCGGCACGGCGTACCGACGAAACGGTGCGAGCGGGCAGTGGCTTGCGCAAGATATCACTGTAGCTCTTGCTCAAAATAGAATTACGGCTGTATTCGTTGTGACAATGTGGTTGCCCGCGCAAAGACACCCTTCTGTTGCCCTAAACAACCTTCGTGTGCCACTGCAGGACACCGAGTACCTCGCTATCGTGGAAGAGTTCGCCTCCAACCAAGAAGCCCTGGATGTCGCCTTCTCCAACGCCTGGTAAGGCCCACACGGAGACTCGAGTAGTACAGGGCACCAGAAATAGTGTAACTTGAGCAAACCGGACACATGTAGACCGATCACCCCGAGCTCCGTCTTCCGCTCTTCTAAGAAGAGACGCAGTGCACTTAAAAGAAACTTCAACAAGAAATTTTGTCTGCGGGTACGATTTACACAACCATGCGCGTAACCTAGCGTGAGACGGTGTGGTAGACGGCAGCCCAACTAGAGTAGGCGCAGTTACGCCGAAACGGGTATTTCTACCTTGTGCCCTACCATGTGTTCGACCCCTCCGTCCGACGAGTGACTTCCCACCGGCAGTTAACCGAGCCGTTGGTGAAATACGACAGCTACCGCCGCGCTTGCTAGTTTACTTGTGGGTCTGGTCTTCGTTTCAACGTCCCCTCGACAGGTACAAACTCGTCACTCGCGACATGGGCCCGTACACGCGTTGCGTCGGGACCGACGTCCCTCCCCCGCAAGATTTCCAACTCCCGCTCCCCGACAAGCCGACGGACCTCCCGAGTTCCACGGAGGCCAAGCGAGCGATCGGCCGAATCCTGGAGGCGGATTCAACGTACGCGTCCCTGCTCGTGACCCTGGCCTACCAGTGCGCGTCTACCTTCCGGTCTACGGACTACATGGGGGGCTGTAACGGTGCCAGGATCAGGTTCCCGCCTCAGAGCGAGTGGGCTAGCAACGCGGGCTTGAGCACGGTGAGCTTGTGTCACTGGCCCCGTTCGTAAGAGTGTCGTGCGTTGTTGGGCGATGTTGTGTCCTTCTCTGCTTTATTGAGTGCCGGGAAGTTGTATTGAAACCGCATGTGACTTGGTCCTCTGAGCGAGGATGGCTTTGTCCCGCAGTGGTTAAGGAGGTACTACCGTAGGTTGCGAGTCAGCGCACCGGAGTGCGAAAACATTTCAAAGCGAAATTTCTCCACAACCAGGAGGATACCACTGTCGAACAGGGCGGTTTTGGAATATCTCGTCGAGAGCTTTCCTGAGAAGTATCAGTTGGCGCTCGCACTTTCCTGGTTGTGGAGAAAATACTCTTTGAAAATCGCACCCCTGTTCGCTGACTCGCAACCTTACGGTACAGCCCTGGGAGATGGAGATTGATCGCTTTGGATACATCCAAAGGCGCTAGACTAGACTTGCTTGGACACCAAGACACGCGCCTCTATAACGAAGCTCCACACGAAGTCCACCATCGACTCCCTCCACGTTCGCTTCCACTCTCATCACTTTGCATATCCCATCCAATCTACGGATGCCATGTAGGTGCTGGACCTGCTGCAGCCCGTGAAGGATGAGCACCCGGACATCTCCTTCGCTGACCTTATCGTCCTGGCTGGACATGTCTCCCTCAAGGAGGGCGGCTCTGTCCCGAATCTATCATACTGCAAGGGTCGCGTCGACGCGGAGGAGGACGATCCCAACCACGAACTCCTCGATGTCCTCGAGCCCACGCGCGAGTACGACGGCGTCATCGTCGGAGTACGCGACCGCATGAAGATTGCCGGCCTCTCTGTGAGTGCTCCTTAGAAATTGCGTCCCCAAACTGAAAACATAAAACACCCATCCAAATTTATTGTGTCTTCGGTCCATTCATTCTCTCGGCTTTTTCACACGCTATGCGTAATGTACCCGCGTTTCTTACGTGTCGTGGCACATGGCGATTGCGATGCTTCTAGTTCGGCAGGAATATTTATTCTTCTCTATCGACTTCTGCCGCGTCGTGTCCAACGAAGCGACGGGTCTGGATCGCAGGGAACATCCAGTACGATGTTGCGCGGGGCTGCTAAACTATACTTGTTCCACGGTTTCGGTAAACATGGTCTCATTGTCATTGAAATTGTCGTTTCGTTCCCGTCATCGAGCAGGTGGCACAGATGGTGGCGCTTGCGGGGCGCCCTCGCAGTTCTTACATCATGAACGCCCTTGGATACAGCGGCTCCTACACGGACGATGACGCAGGTATATGTTGGTGCTGTTCAGATGTTCTGGTCGGGCATGTAGATCGGTCTGACAAACGGCTGATTGAATGAAAAGAACGAAACTATTGTTTGAGACGCTTAGCCATACAGTAAATCCGATGCCACTTTCCTTGCGAAGTGCAAGTGAAAACCGGCGTATGTCGGTGCAACCTTCTTGACCCACCATGCTTCTGTCGCAATCCGTCTTGTTGTAGGCATATCTTGTTTGATGTATGCAAGCTCGTTCTCCATGAATCAGCACGCTTGCGACAACGTTTGTGACGCAGCGGACTTTAGCGGATTTTGCGCCGCTGAGGTAATTTCGAGCACTGCCAAAAAAATTCTGTACATGCCAATGCCGTCCCCCGGTTGGGGACGAATATTGGCATGTGTGTGCCACCACCCGGGTCGTAAATAGTGTCGGACGGAGCGCCCCAGTGCCGAAAATTCAGTGCTGTGCCGCTGTTTCGTCTCGCGGTTCCTTTCTAACTTGTTTGCTTGTGCCTCTATGCCGTTCCTGGTCTTCGTGCGCCGTCAGTATTGTCGAACACCCTGTACACGCTCATGCTCACCGAGACCTGGGAGGAGGTGGGCGGAATGGACGGCACGGAGTACCAGGCCGTCGGCAAGTCGGGGGTGTATGTCCTCGCTACGGACCTAGCCCTGGTCTGGGACCCCGAGTTCAAGGCTCAGTCCATCCTTTACGCGCAGGACAACGACTACTTCCTCGAGCAGTTCGGATCTGCTTGGACCGCTCTGATGAACGCTGATCGCTTCGACGGACCCACCGGAAACGTGTGCGAAAAATAAACATCAGCCAACGTTTCCTTCCCATCGGGGGTGCCCAGGCAACCACAACGCCAACCATTGTTGCGCGATTAGAAACGGCCCGCCTCTCGACACCGAGGTCGATAAGGCAGGAGTTGTTTGCTATCCTGTAGTTAGCCTGAATGTATCAGTAGGACTTATTTGGAGTGCCAAGCCATGCTGGCTTGGACCGGTTGAGGTTGTTGTGTCCGCCGATTTGGGTCGACATTTGACTTGGACGGACTCGGGGTTGTTTTAGGGACAACTGTAACAGTAGATAAGAGGAAAATCTGGGAATCAAATGAGCCTAGGGAGTGTTATCATCGAAAGAAAAACGCTCGTTCGTTACATTTACACGTTCGACGTCGAACGTATACAATGCTTTCCAGGTCGCTAGAGGCCTGAGAAGTAGGATTGGGCTGGGCGTTTTGATCCTTTGGGGTTGGGCGCGAATGAGTCTTTGCGTGTGCTGTATGCTTTGCTATTTTGGGGGATTGGAATGTTGCAACCAGGCTATGGCCAAAGGTGGGGTTAAACCTATAGATGGTAGCTTGGAGAAAATGCATGTAAACCTCAACATTTAGAAAATGAACCAAAGTTGTTCGTACCTAGCACATTTTCCTGCCTGTTTTTACGTACAACGGTCGTGGAATTGATTACCGAAGGGTGAAAGGATAAACAGCGTTTGTTAATTATGGCACAGGGGCACTGTTGGTGAGGTCTCCTGCGAGCGGTGGACAAACTTTGGTAAATATTTACCAAAGAAGTCTGGACGCTGGCTGATCGTATTGCTCCTAGACGCATCTTCTGAGCACCAAATCGGGCAAAGGATATTTCTGCTTCCCATGAAGGTCAGGACGAATTCGATTATCACTGAAAGGAACGAATGACTGTACCATAGTATTTTCGTGCGCACCCGTAAAGCTTCTCTGCGTCGTATACCATGGGCTGACCATGTGACTACCACAACTCATTTAGGTTTTCAGTTCCTGCCAGGCCAAGGTAGTCAGCTCCGCCGCCTCACGACGATGTCTAGCTGTCTAACCGCGATGCTGGCATGGACGTAGCTGCCACATTGGCCAACAGATCGTTCGTAATGGTGCAGGGCATCATGAGGAGATGAAACGACAAGTCAGTTTCTCTGACCCCCACGGAAGCAAATGTTTCTCGCCACAATAATATTGATCTTCTGAACAGGATTCTATGCTACCCCGCGTGACGCCCTAAACGCCCTTTGATCTTCGCAAACACCCCAAGTGATTTCCCTTGCTTCCGATTATTGCCACGGCCGACGGGCATGTCGCTACCAGCTTCACTTCTGCTTCCTGTGTCAAGAAGTGATGGAGCGCCCTCCCGGGCATCTTTCGCTCGTGTCATGGCCACCGAGGCCTTGTCAATCATGAGACCTTGTGCATCGCTCGTATCGGGACCACCAGCGTCCAGAGGTGACGAGGAGGATATCGCTGCGCCAGTTGTTCGGCAGTCGCTCCCGCCTTCCTCCGTCACGGTTGAAACGGAACCAGACCGATTCCACGCGGATACATGCTCGTGACACGTCCAAGACACCTATGCCATGCGTTGGTTTTAGGAAATCATTAATTTCGCTTCCAAGCGCACACCAAATGAGTTGAAAGAGCAGGCCAATCGAGACGCTCCGATCATTGTGATGCCTGTTCAACGGGTTGGATCGCTACCTTGCCTTGTGGCATTGTACAAAGTCTGGGTTCAAGGACGTGCGAACGACGATAGGCGTAGTGTGTCCACACACCGTCACCGTCGTCGCTAAGGATACTCCGTCAAGTGATTTCGCTAGGGATACTCCGCCAAACGCTTGCCTTTCCATCCCCTCTGATCGCCTTGGTCATATCCACAGCCAACGTTGCTCTCCATGACGGGACATTTTCGTCCAGAAAGGACACCAGGGCCTCGTACGCTTCCCCTGAGATAACCGTTCGAGAAATGTTGGGGCAAGGGGTTGTCGTCACGAATGCATGGACCGATGTAATCCGTAGTATTCGCTCCCCAGGAGACACGTCCAGTCTACTGTAAGTCGGACCATTCCTCCACCTCTAAACCTAAACCCACCGAGCGAGGTTTGTTTTCTGTCGCGAGTGCGCAGGGGACTGTTCCTTAGTTTGAACCTACAAACGCCAGCCTAGTTCAGGAAATAAATGGTTCCCGATCAGTCTGTTTTTTCGGGGGTCTGGAGAGAATGTAGAGAGCCGGAAAGGAAAACTTCTGAGCATTCGAGATCCACCTAGAAAATGCTGACACATCCCCTGAGCATGCGGACTTTCGGAGTAAACAGGCTGGTCAGGACCAGCTGCGGTGTCCCAGGAGGACTACGTGCTGTTCTACAAAGGTAGGGATGATATTCGAGGCAGGTGGAAAGGATTATGGTGCCGTCGGCACTGGAGGAGTCATGAGGCGGCTAGCGGACAATGCGGTAACCAAGCGGCCAGAGATGTGTTGGGTGGACCCGACAAGAGGAACCGCGCAGAAAAGCGAAATATTGTTGAATGTCGGAAGATCCCTCGGTAGTGAGCGGGCTGTTCGTTATAGATGTTGTTCTGCCGGCTTGATTTATCATCTGTTCGGCAGTGCTTACGCTAGATCGATTTTGCCTGAGCGCTTGTCCCAGGTTGACCTATGTTTGGTTCCAATTTCGTCCTCCCTCAGATTCTCGAGGCATCATGGGGACCGGCCGTGATGACAAATATTCCATGCCCTGGCCTTAGTCTGGGATCATGAGGGGTGTTCACCTGGTTGGCGGTGCGCCAGGCCGAGAGCTCTCTGTCACAGGAGGCGCTTAGTGCTTAGAGACATTGCCTGAGGGACACTGTACGAATACCTTTGAGCAGAACAAACATGATGTCGTCTTGTTCGTGCTCCAAGAAAGACGTCCATTTCCCGGAACGAGACCCCACTAGAATATCGTCCAACGTCTGCCACCAAACGTGCCTGAGAGTAGCCTGGTGTTGGCATGTAGAGTCACATTCGCACTAGAATCTAGTGAGAGCCACGACCGTACTCTTCTTTTTCGGCATGGAGGGCGAGAACCGAGCCTCTATTCTCTGGCGTGCGACTTCGTTGTTCAGCAGTTTTTGTTTCACCAAAAACCATACCCAGCATTAACGGCGTACCACGGGGCGTCTGCCGTACGTACGTCAACGTCTACGACGTCTACTCCTCGCACCTGTTAGTATCCGTCCCTCTTCTTCGTCCGGCGTTTCCGACCTTTCTTCGGTCCGCAACGTCTGGTTCCCGGCAGTGTCGTGCTTGGCGTCTTCAGACCTGGAGCCCTTGACGTCGCCCAAGGCCTTGCCAGCGGCCGAACGTAGTGCTGCTGACACCTAAGGAGTTTTTCCGACGTGGGATGGCATCTCTTCAAGATATCGAAATACAAGCCTTCGTCAGGCATGACACGGCGAATCCCGACAAGAAACAAATATGTTCTCTTCAGCTGGAAAAGGGGGGGCAGCGTCCACGGGGCGTCCGCCATGGTTGCTCAGGCAAGGCCGCGTTGGGCACAAGAGCACGAGTATGCCTACGAACAGAAACGGAATGAATGGATTCCAACCAACCGGAAGGTTACGTGCGAGGGGGTTTGGCAGATATTGTACGTTGTACTTTGCCACGGTCGGAAGCAAATACCCCGGCATTGGAATCTGTGGACGATACGTACGAACTAGGCGAGAATATAATGCTACACGACCCCCTTTGACATTGAAAGTCATTATACCTTCCGTCCAGCGAGAAAGTTGATCCCTAACGCGGCCGACATTCCATCCACGGCCGCAGGCGAGACTCCTACGGTCATGCATGCTGCCTTGGACCCCAGCTTCAAGACGAAAGCGCTTGCCTAAACGAACAAGCGAGCGAAGCGCGCGACTCGTCACTGTGAACGTCTGGTGGTACCTATTGCGTGCGCCCAAACAGGTTCGTTCGTAGAGCTCGTTTCTTTGTTTTTATTCGTCGTTCATCGGAAAATTGTTCTTGTCTTCAAGTAAACAGTTGTCGGGCCTCTGTCCGCCTCCTTCTCCTCCGTGCTCTTGACGGCACTTTGGCACCGCGAATGGTTCGGCATGCGTGTGCCGGTCGCAGCGAGGCTTGATCAACAACCAAATTGCCCTTTCCTTCATGTACACAGCAGATGTTGCACCAGAAAAGGTAGGTAATCAATTTTGCATCAACAGAGGAAAGATGCATGTGTACCAAAAAGAAAGCCTACTTTCGAGGATCAGTCTGACTCTGATTGTTTCGGCCCTCACTCTCCCTCGTAAAAACCTTGCCCTCGCTGAACGGAACTCTAGGTTAATCGATTCAGCCCCCATTCTCCCTCTAGAAACCTTGCTCTATGTTGTTCGCACCCGCTTTCAAGGGTGCGGCCCTAGCCTGATCCAAGGGAAAACATCAAAGTGTATCAACCCTGACAGTCTTCAGTCTTTTTTAGCCTATGACCTTCGGTTGGCCAACCCGCTTCACCTGTGGCATCGAGCCCTACTCCACAGTGGTCACAGAATCTTCACTATCAATAGACAATATTTGGTCTCGCCAGATCAAGCCAACGCTAAGTAAAATGTCTGGCGAAAACCTCGCGCGATGCACATCTACTAGTAGTAGGGGAAAACCACCCGCCCGAGTCCATTCCAGGGGGGTGATTTAACAGGCAACGAGGTCCTGGGTTCCCCTCGCAAGTCATTTCTCTGCAAAACCTGGAAAGCTTGCCCCGGCTGAAGTTTGACCGACGTCTGTGTAGGAAATCGCCGCCGAATTGACTTTCACATCGCATCACGGCCATGGCGTACCACTGACCAACAACGCTTGCTTCTACATGGAAAGCAACTGGAATCCAAGGAGTCTTCATATAAACCACAGGAGGCCACGGAAACCCACCGGCCCTCCGCTCCATTACTGGGAGGGCGATCGATAATTATTTTCTTCGCATCTCCAACGCGAAAACTACTCATTTATACGGTGAGGGTGGGTGCGAAGCTCAAGGAATGAGGGAGGTTTCTTGTGTAAGTGGACGGCATCTCAAGACAAACAGACGAAAATTCTCCAATGGTTATGAATATACGATGGCTGCCACACATTTCCAAAATGGCAAAAATGGTTCTATTGCGTAGGAAGAAAACCCTACCTTTAGCACGATTGCTGCGCCTACCTCAACGCCTCGGCAACGAACTTGACCTTGCCTCTGACCTGAATGGCTGGTGCCCATTTTTCGAGGTTGCTCCTAGGGCATGGGACTTTGATACCCTTGCCAATCGGCGCTAGGTCGTGCGCGCACAGGAAGGTGAGCAAGTTGTAGTCCGAGAACCACGTATCTGGCTTCCATATCTGTGTTTGTGGACGGACGTGAAAAAATGCGCGAAACCACCACTGGTTACCTGCGTGCGAACCTTGAATACGATTAGTAAGAATACCTGACAGTCACAATTGCTTCATACCTCAACACGAGCCAGGTTCACAAGGGGATTGATTTACGTGCACATGATTGTTTGGGTGGGGGACGGCATTGGATGGGAAATATCTTGACGGTGTCATCGGTTGCGTCTTTGTCGTTGTGTAGGTTACCTATCTCTATGGAACAAGCGGATGCGGAGGAGTGGGGTTCTGCCCGCGGACAACGGAAGCAACTAGCAAACTTGAATCAAACCGACGGTAGCAACGTTTCTTCATGGTCTCAACAGTTAAAGCAGCAGCAACAACGACAACCGACGTGACGGTCGGCAATTAGAATGTACAGAGACGCTGAAATTTTCCCGCATCGGTACTCGGAGGGTAAAAGTACCAGAAACGAGAAACTTGTAGCAAGCTTTCGTTGTGCCAACATCAGTACAAGATGCACGTGAGCGTTCGGACCTCTTGAGATCCTTCGACAGGAGTCAAGACGAACAGACGGGGGCAGTCTGCGTTCCCGTCCACCAAATGGTCCAGCATACGATCCATCCTCCCCAGCTTGCTCAAAATCTCGTCGGCCCTGGACTCGAGCCGTTTCATGCTTTCATCCAGTAGCGATCTGACAGACGGCAATGTCAAAGGGGCATTGCGGTTTGAAAGAGACTGATATCATCATCATTTACATAAAACACATCGAAAGGCCCCTATACGCCATGTGCAGTAAAATCAATAACTGCTGAAGAAAACGTATCGAGGAAGGCCCAACCTGAACATCGGTATCTCACGGTGGAAGCAAGCTCCCCGTCAAACGACAACGTGCTCAATGGGATGGTTTGCAGCTCACCGCAAAGCTCGAGCCAGACCTTTCGGGTTCATGGTCATGGGTGAGGGCATTCCGTTTCAACGCCTTTACCAGTTCACGAACCCACTTCAAACAACCCGGAATCGACGAGGCAGAATAGTCGAAACTGTATTCAAGCTTCCTGATACTCAACGTGAAGTGTAGAAAAGAACGAGGGGGGAATAGAAACAAAACGCCTGCCGGTGGTAAACGCCAGCAAAGACTTGCTGCAGCGTAGTACACATGGCTCACTGGTAAAACGGCGAGGGTGTCTGCGGCTGGTGCCTTACGCACCTCTGGTGGCGATATGACGGCAATATCCCAAAGCCGCATTCCCTTCCCACTCCAATTGTTTAATATGCCTAGTATTACCGTACGTACTCGTCACGACCGCATTTACGGCATCGGTTCCCCTAACCCATTTAGGACATCGGCCGTGTACGCGGTGCGATCGAGAGTCCTAACATTCTCAGTAAACGTTTGGGAATGCCCTCGAAGGTCACGGGGTAGCAACAGAGACACGGGGTACGGGTGCGTCGGTCGGTGTCGGGACTCGCCTAGTTGCGCCGCCTTCTTCTCGGATGGTGGCTTCGAGTCGCGAAGAAACGCCTCCGAGCGAGGCCGCCATATCTGCCTGCCGCAGCCAACGAACGTATCCGTGGGGTGTTGTGGTTGAGGTTGATGCAACCCTTGTCGTGGATATTGTTGTTGGTTGTTGTCGTGGCCCAACCGTCCAGAGGAATGCCTTCCGTGGCCGCACGAAGGTATTTTGGCGGAAAACTTAAAAATTTGCCACGGTGGCGGCTGTTCACATCACAAACATCAACGAACATACACTTGGAGATCCCCCACGTATTTACGTTATGCCACATGGTTTGTGTCACCGTCCTTCAATGTCTCCCCGGCGGATATGCCCGTTTAATCGGAACACACGGAGTGAAGCTGGTGATTAGAATGAATGGGACCTAAGTCAATTCAGTAACCGAGGGGATGTTTCTATATTGTCGTCGTACCCTTGTTGAACTAGGTTCCGACAAAACGGTACAGATTTCCAACAAACGGTTGAAGTTTCATTACCATGAGAAAGGATGAAGGTGTGTTCGCCTCATTCTTTCCTCTTGAAAAAAAAAGGTCAACTGTTGGACACAAATGGTTCGTTTGCACTGGGCCGTACAAAACGAAATATTATTGTCGCGGGTTGCTGTCTACCTATCCGCGATGCGTCGATATACTCCGGCCGTGTACACCTGACGAAGCGCCTGCCTTACGAGCATATGCGGGAATAACAAGTCATGGGCATCAGCAACAGCAGGGGCATCAAGAACCAGAAACCAAACGGAAGCAATTTCGACGAGTATGGAACAGCGCAACAAACACACCTGCATTTTTGCCGCGGTCACGCTCGCACCTCCGGCAAAGAAAGCCCGACCAAGGACGCTGTCCATGCTCCCCCGCCCTTGGGGTATGTGGCTCAACATTGTCCCCAACAAGTTCCTAGCCTAGAACAAAAAAATAGAAACAAAAATATTACCGATCGAAGGCGGACAACAGGTGGTTGTACAAAGACCCTTTCTTGGCCTGCCAAATCGATTTTTGGGAAAGGCGGGTAAACACGACACGTGTATTCCCTCTTCGGATACGTACAACGGCTGCATTGGACTCAAGGCGCGCACCCACGGGAGATTCTCATATACTACCCTGCGACGTTTCGTCATTCAGCAACGTGACCTGAGGGGTTGACCTCTTGCGTCGTCAGCACCAGCATGCTGCCTGGTGCGGGTGTTTTTTGCTGCATTTCGCAAAGTTGGGAAACATCGAACAACAATCAACCTGGGAAGGTCAACTCTGCCGTGGATCATGTGTCCTGGTAGTTAAATATCAGTACCATGTTGGGAAGACCGGAATAGGTATCATGTAGACATGAACAGACCAATGGTTCGAACATTCACCTGCTCTTGTTTTGGGTCGACGCCCGCCAACGACACAGTAAACCCCGATGAGCACAGGGTCATCACCACCTCCTCATCCGCCAGACCGTTTTCAAAGTAGTCCTGTGCACCGTCGTTAGATTATCTAGGGCGTTAAGCATCAGTATATCCTGGCGAAAGTCTGAACGTTTGCACGAGGATGCATAGAGCAGAGCAAATATACCTAATTTTTTAGGTTTTGACGTTTGGAACCTACTGCTGTGGGATGGCGACAACAGGATGATGTCGTGAAGTCCATGCAGTTGTAACAGCGCAAACCTGAGAGGTTGGCATGATGGTATATCCAGTGAATTGTAAATTTTTGGCTTCATTAAGTTCGCGTGTCGTACTCGGCACTCTCGGTCGATAAACGCAAACAACCAGGTAGGTCAGGGTGCAGAAACCATTGTCTCAGCAGTATACGCCGTGAATACTCCCCCGTCAGTATGCGTAGCCTTGCAAACGCTCCGCGCAACCGCCGGACCTATCAGACCCGAGGGATTAAAGGCCGCCAAGCTCAACCTAGTGCTGATGGCTCCCTCAACATAGTGAGATTGTTTCCACTCTAGGACGACATTCCACCCCCCCCCCGGATACGGACCAAGTGTTGCAGGAAGGCTGCAGCAACAACGACAGGAACATTGGCATCCACGCTATCCGGTTCCACCCCCATGTCCTGGCCTCGAGGACGCCGAGAAGTCAAATGGACCAAGCACCTTATTCTTTCGTCGGTATTGACTCGACCACATGGCCAGCTTCAATGATTACCGTCCGCGATGTTTTACGATGGCATGCACACCTGCCCGGTGAGGAGCCAGAATAGCACCATCCCTGCGGACCAGATGTCGGTTGCCTTGGTGGCTAGGCAGGACTCTCCCGACACCGACGCTCGCGCTCGCTCAGGCGCGCAGTACCTGGAACAGTCGTTTCGGTAAGCGGTAGGGTCTAAATGCCAGGTATGTGCGGCCTCGCGAGGTGTTGTGGACGACGTCGATGCACTCACTGCAGGATGGGTAGCAGTGGCGTCAAAAGAGAAGACACGACGGAGCATTCGCTGGAGACGGCAAACAGGGGACGTTTCTCGCCGAAGTTCTCGCCCGTCCGAGGGCATCGTGGCGGACATAACGTGTATGGCGGCAGGGGAACACAAGGTGCCATGCCCAAAATGTGGTCAAGCGCGTACGAACTCGGCGCGAGATCATTTGATCATTGAAAAACAAATATTATACGCCTAGGTCTTGGTTGCTTGCAACGCGACCAGCTACTGTTTCTGGACCGAAGACGTGGGTGCCGGACATCACTCAAGCACGGCCGCACGGAGATCGTACACCAAAATGTGATCTGATTGTCACCGACGCGGTCCATCTAATCGAGGAGGATGCCCCCTAGTTCTCCTTCTTCTCTTTTCACAGCCATGAATTACCAACCTTCCGGCCAAAATTGTTTTTCGGCATGTGCTAGAACAGAGCCTTTCTGAGTATCCTCTGAAGGCTGTTGCGAACTCTCAACGACATTCGTGGCACAACGAGTGCCGTCAAAGCTACCTATTGCGCCTGCGAGAAGTGGTGGCTCTCTCAAACATTTTGATTTGTCACCCACGAACGAACGTCTTTAACACACCTGGGTGTGAGAACATGATCGGCACTGAAGCGACGCTGAACACGTTCTGCGACGTCCTTGTCCAGGGAGGCCATACCCCCGGAGAGACTGCACGCCGAGTCGAAATCTATCGCCTTTAGATCGTCGTCCTGAGAAAGCATCAGGGCCGAACAAGGGTCACAGCCAAAAGACATTATGCTGGTACTTGTACGCAGTTTGCCGGCGTATGGATACCCATCTGTGGTCTTATTATTTTCGGCGCGTGAAAGGACTGTCGAATGGTCGTCGATAGGTTGGGTACTGGGGCATGGGGCGTAGCACACGTTTGCGTTTTGATGAAGAAAAAGCGTACTAACGAAGACGGGCCGCTCTAAGTAGTCGAGTCTAAGATCATTCATGGGTGATTTGAAGCTTGACGTCGAGTACAGCTTAATTCCAATATCTAGTGCGTCTTTCCTCTCTGGTGGGCAACACGCGTACTTAATGTATTTATAGGAAGAAACATTGTCGGAAGCACTGTTAGCGTGAATATAATCCTCCACCGATACCTCGTGTACCCTCTATTTCCTTCTTCGATAGTCTACACACAGAAGGAAGTTTGAACAGCCTCATTATCAGCTTCGAGGCGTCCGTTTCCCGATCTCGGAGCTGGAAAAGGACCGTTTTTCTCGTATTCGTTCGCTCTGGAATCATCACTTCGATCTCGATATGGGCTTGATATGGTCCCATTAACTTAATCACTTTTCCACTCACACCTGCAGTTCTAGCAACCACAGACCACAATTCCCACCACATCAACTGGGGCGCATGCACCTACATTCTTCGCAGCGTCGTGCTCCCACAGTGCTGTTTCACCTATACTACACTCGCTAGGTTATCGATAGTGAGAGGTGGACCTCATGGGATGAAGCAAGTCTGTGGGGGGTAGCGTTTTGTCGTAGGATTCGACGACAATATTCACTCTTGTAGTGCGGACTTAATAGACGTTTGATTCAACACTTGAAACCCAACATTGTGAAGCAAATCTATCTGATAGCATGTGAGCCGACCAGCACTCCTCTCGCGATGGTATGCTACATTTGGTCGTAAGTCGCAGACGTTTTCGAAGGATAGACGAACTACAATAACTGACCGAACGCAGGGAGCTACAAGGAGAGATCAGCCCATCTCGAGATCGGTACCTTTCCTTTTGATCGGTTAAGACATCAAGCTCGATCGGAAAGCCGACCTTGGCAAGAGTTATACACTCGGATTTTTTACGAAGCAGTCGCCACAACTGCCAACCGTTTTCCCGTTCACTGACAGAAGAGGGTTATGCGTACAATCCCTCTCTGCGCTTTGAAAACCCACTTTGGGCGTAATTACCTGCCCTTCCACGAAGTTTTCGGGCTTCACGTCTCCCCACACAATGCCCAGGCGGTGGAGCCACTGGCAGACCTCCACCACCTTGTCGGGAATGACCAGCAAACAGCAAAGCAGGCATCTCAGACAAGCGGGTGAGAATGGTTGGGGGGAAGTCGCGTACAGGTCGATGTAACGATACAAACGCAAGAGTGGAAAATCTCTTGTCTACATTGGGTGGAAGTAACCGCGAAAAATGTGCCTGGAAGACAACACCTGGTAGTCCAATAGCGAGGACGTAGTAGAATTGGGCCAAAGCGATGAATGACGGCTTACCTGTCGTGCATATGGTCGAATTCGATCCATGTATCCAGCAGAGTTCCCGGAGTACTTGTGGTAGAACTTCTGACCGATCTGCGAATAAAAAGCGCGCGACGTTCAGGGAACATTTTGACACTGGCTCAGAACTGCTCCCGTTCAACCACCTCATTTTCACGGTACAATTGCGGAAGACGTAGATTCGGAGCCCAAGGGTTTCGTGCCTAGGAGCTCTAAGGGGTGTCGTGCGTAGCCATGGTCACTCCGCAGATACGCTGACGAACGGCTTTGGTTGTAGCCAAGGAATTTGGTGATGGGTCAACATCGAACACGTTCCCAACTAGGGACAATAGAAAACATTTCGCACGACAATGCCAGTATAAACGTACCAGCGTCTGTGCCAGCACTGACATCCGCAAGTTTGACCACAACAGGAGTTGAAGCACAGAGCCCGGAAACGCTGTCTGTCGGTCACTGGAGTTTTTTCGCGCATCCACATGCCTAGCCGTCCATACCTAGCCTTCGTAGCATGCTTCAAACCCTATGCTGTTCAGCAGGCTCAGGGATACGGAACAACGGAAGCAAAACCGATCTTGCCGTGCATTACTCTATAGTACGCCGACTCAGATGAGTCGGCTTCAAACCTGTCTCAGAGTTCTGCCACCCCGACCCAGGACGAGACATTGCAGCCTGGGAACAACGCCGACGAACGGGATGCTATGTTGGCATCCCCCCTGAACGCCCTGCCGTTGCAAGAACTGGGTCACCCGGGTCCAACGCGTTTTCGGATCGGGACGGCCAAAGAGTGATCTGATGTTGTGGCGTGAATGGGTTTTTCTGGAGGAGACGCAAAAAGTTCAGTCAACACGCGCTCGCACGCACAGATAGCAAGGTGAAAGCCGTCCTCTTCGGTCTGTAAAATAAAGTGTGTCTAGGGGGGGTGGACAGCTAGTATTGGTTGAAACCGTCAGGTGAAATCACTGCTTGGTCTGAACAGACCCGACTGTCCAACGGGGTTCTTGGACGTGAAACGCATGTTCTGTTCGTGTTATGTACGCGTAGTAAACATTTGTGCTTGCGGTTGTCTCGTTTCAGGGATCTCCACATGACACCAGAATACTCGCCGACATCGGTGTTATCAGTGAAACGCAGCAAGCATTAAACAGCAGCAAGACTTGAACCCACACAAGCAAAGGTCAACAACCGCTGATGCTGTAGAGATGGACAGACGTAGGACCAATGCAGACCGCACGAAAGATGACCAAATGTCGTCAGAACCAACAGTCCTCACCAATAGAACGGCCCTCTCTCGCTCGAAGGCGACGTGCTCGCCTTCCAGAATTTTCTTAACAACGACTTGCTCGCCCGTAAAAACCTTGCTGGCGAACCATAACTCGCTTGACCCACTGGAGCACGGCAGTGCCTACACGGCACGTTTGAAATCAATGTTGCCTACAGTCTTTGTCATGTTTGGGTCAATTGCACGCGGTTCGAAAGAAAGCTGACGACAACACGGTACAATTTTTTATATGCAGATCCTGAACCTCATGCTGAAGCCCCAAGCGAGAAAAACGACAACTGTCGTGATGATATCATCGCAAAGTGCGGGGAAAAGCTTCATACCACCACTTCTCTGCAGTGCTATATGTCTGATACGATGAAGGCATCTATCCTTTACACTGCCATATTTCCGTGCAACCGAAGACACTGTAGTGCAGCGGCAACCTCCTTTTTTGAAAGCCCACAACAGCAATCATGACAACCAAGATCCGCAGGAAGCAAGCACCCCACCTTTTCTAGCTCGTACTCTCCCTCCAAAACCGCGCGGCTCGCGAATTCTACCGCGGCAGATGTCGCCGCCGGCGCTCCCGCTGCTCCGCCCTTCCCACCCCCGGTTGCCGGCGCAGTTACCACCGAAGCCGCGTCGTGGGCGCTTGCTGCAGTTGCTCCTGCTGGTGCTTGATTATTAGAGTGAACGTTGACCGATGAAGCAGGTTGTTCTACCTCTGCTGGACCCTGTGTTCCACCGGCGTCCGACTCAACAGAAGCTGCGTCTGTACCCATAGCCGCGGCAGTCGCCAAAGGTTTTGGGGGAGGGGTTGGAGGGAGCGTTGGCGGTGCCGACAGCTCCCGCAGTAATGGCGCCGGCGGTGGCGGCGATTGAAGCGATGGCGTCAAAATTTCCGTTTCGTTGCCTTCCTCTCCGGGAGTAGTGACTCCGGCGGCGTCAGACGAGAGTTTTTTCGGTGGTGGCGGTGGTGGCAAGGATGACGATGCTGCTGTGGCGGTCGGCGCAGCAGGGATTATACGATCGCCAGCATCGGCGGCAGGAACAGTAGCGATGGCAGCATCCACGGCGGCAACACTACTGTCTCCGTTCCGGCCTCCCTCGTGCAGACCGCGGTGTGCACCGGCTGCGTTTGCTGCGAGCTGCTTCGCGGCAGCTGCTTGGGCTAGAATGGCCCTCACGGCATCTTCTTGGACTGGATACTTTCCAAGGCGACCTGTCGTTGTTTCGAGGCGATGTTACACTACTGTGAACCAGCAGACATTTGTCTGATGACAGAAGAAGTTAGTGGAGGCAGCCAGGTAATTTCGGATGACTGAAAGCGTACATTGTCGCCAGCTTGGCGACGGGTTCTTCGTGTACAGGTGCGTCGGGCGGCGATATTTTTCGCGTTCCAACACCGCGGGCCTTGCCCAACTAGGTGGATGGCGTCGGGGATAGAAACAGTTGCAGTTTACAGCAACAGTGAAGCACCTTGACAAAGACGCAGTAACCCGATGCTATTGTGGGGAGTCTTGCTGTGTCGGTATACTATTTTGTTGGTGCCCTCGAGAAGTCTTACAACCTCGTGCTATCGTACGTACGGCACAAAGAATCATGTTCCGCCTAAGGAAATGGAAGGCTTGCAGAGACACGACCCTGTCAAAACAACGTGCACCAATACCGGTGCATCAAGAAACGAAGACAACGGGCAAGGATCAAAGCGAGGCTGTGGATTAACGAGGCAAAGACTTGCCTACGATTTGTTCTGGGGTCCTCTTCTTCCTGTCCCGGGCGTTTGTGTCGGCCCCCCAAAGTAGCAACAACGACACCATTTCGGGGTTGGGCTTGAGGCAGGAGACGTGGAGCGGGGTGAGACCCTTCGAGTTCTTCGCTCCCACCTCCGCCCTACATGATCGACCAGGTTCATGAAATAATCGAGTGGCGAGGTGATTCCGAGTGAGCTGAATTCACAACACATCACGTAGTCAACCAGAAACGTGCGTAACATCAAGACGACACACACACAGACTCCACCAAGTCCTCCCATCGACGTGCGAATTAATACGTATTGCTTTCTCATCTTAAGCCCGAACTGCACAACCCCTCGTGAACAAAGGGGCAGTATTGCATCCCGCGTTCCCTTCAGTTGCTTCTCACCCGCCTTCCAAAAGAACACGTGCCGCTTCCAGATGTCCACCAACAACGGCCAGAAGAAGCGGAGAAGCGTCGTGAGTCGCCCCTCCTTTTCCTCCATCACGGCACACCTTCAGGTCTGTGTCGGCCCCCGCGGCGACAAGCACACGGATAACTTCCCACTGCCCCTGTACGGCAGCACTACAGTACAGTGTATGACGAGGGAACGGGATGCATCGGATCCATGGGAATGGGATGAAGTGGGGGTATACGGGGGTACGTGCGGCTGTCGATGTGGGGAAGCAGATTTCCTCACACTGACTCTGTATTCCTGGTGATCGACAAAATAGGCCTGTCTGCTGTATTCTCGCCCGATTGGACGAGTATTCTGACAATCTATTTTGTTTCTGTGCGCTCCAGTTGGAATGGACCGGGGTTCTGATCTACGTACAGTAGTAAGCGGCATGGGATGTACTAAACAACGTTCGACGGACATTCACAATATCAATGTGTGTGAATTACATGTCTGATGTCTGTGTCGTTCTCTCTCTCTCTCTCTCTCTCTCTCTCTCTCTCTCTCTCTCTCTCTCTCTCTCTCTCTCTCTCTCTCCATGTGCACATGCTTGCTGCTCGTCCTAAATATGGAGAACAAGACGTACAGTACGTCGAAAGAGCACGCCTCACGAGGCTCCATCGTGCTTGACTTCGGATCTGCTACAGCACTAACGCGATCCGCACCACGATTTTTTCTCGAACAGGGAGCTTTCACCTATTCTACCAAGAGCAAGCTCTACTCTGGACCCTGGCATTCGTTCCGACCGTACGCGGGGGCTTGTCACGGACGTCGTGTTGCAGGTGTGTCGATAATACCTCTCCAGGAGTATCAATTCCCCCTGGTACATGATTCATCGTCATCACGACGAGCCTACGACAGTTCGTCGGAACAGCAATACAATGGTACTCCTGATAATGATTGATGATGAGGGGGATTTGTACATGCTTGACTCTGGATGATTTGGGGTCAGAACGCATCACGTTCCACTGGAGCAACGCCAACGTGTGTGTGTATTGGGCAAGGCCTTCGAAGACCCCTCTGTCATGGTACAGCAGAGTAAGCCTGTGTGACGGGATCATGTTGTCTTGCGGCTCACCTGTGCAGCGGCGTTATGCCAGCATCGTTGAGAATGTTCGGATCACCCGAGCCCGCGATATATCGGCGAACATCTTCTACATCACCATTCAAGGCAGCTGCGTGCACATCCATCACGATGGTAGGCAGCGTTGGGACGATAGAAATGCTCGCTCACGTGTGCCTCAGGATAGGTTCCAAAACAGCGACGGGAAACGTTCGGGACAACATAAACTGATTGCGCCGCATATCCTCTTCGCGGATCCCCCCCCCGACTCTCGCTCTGCCTTTGTTCAGACGTTGCATCATGGCTTTGCCGATACGAGGCGGGTGTTGCGTAGGTGGCTTGACCGCGTTCGTCCCTGCCGTACCACCTGTGCCGGGACTGGTTTCATGGCGATCGACATCGCGATGCGGCGGCAGGAGACCTCGTGACTTGCAGGCACTCTCCGCGGCTGTCGTTGAGGTAGGTGTGCGTAAGACGGCTGTGATGGCACTCGCACGTCAATCCTCTTCAACTCTCACTCTTGGACCCGGATGCCGCAGGCCTCAATGTGCAGGGTGCCTTGAGAGCAGTAGAGCAGTGGTTGTCTGCATTAGGATACGGAAGACATGAAGTGACGCCCAAAATTGGGTGTCGGAGCCGGCCGCGGCAGGTTTGCTGCTGCTGTGGCGGCCTAAGGGAGCAACTGAAAGTGCTGCTGTCTCCATAGACTAGGTTACATGTCGTGGGTTGTTGAACCGGCGAGCCTGCGGGGAACTAGTACAAGGCCGCGTGGCCATCCCGCTGCTGTACGAGGAAAGCACTGTTACAGTACAGATGTGCTCTTGTTCAATGTGTTCTTGTACAATGTGCTCTTGTGCAATGTGAAGACTTGCGCTCGTGCGTGTACTCGGGACTCTGTACTCTTGTCCCACTTGGACGGTACACTGCCAAACAATGTTCACATCGACACACAGCGCGCCGGGGAACGACCAAGAATGTCTTGAACATGGGCGAAGCTTCTTCTTCGGTGGAGGCAGGGGCCGATTATGATTTCAAGTAAATCGGGGAAATACTCAATAAATCACCCAAGCAAGTTTTGCGCTGCATGCATGAACTACAAGCAGTGCATTTACCACTGTAGCCCGCCGTCCCGCGTGGTGTACTTCCCCCGCTCCTCCCTATCCTACCGCGTTTGTGTTCCCAGCAAGGTGACGACCATGACCAACAGAACCAAGGCGAGGATATACCCAACCTGTTTAGGGTGAGTGGGGGATTCTAAGGTCATCTTTGGAATCTGCCTGGAGTGAGACAAATAGTTTTTGGCGTGGAAAGCGCAAGCGCATGGCCAAGAGTAAACACGAAAGGACCGAAGTGGCGAGCGCTGCACCCTTCTCAGAGTAAAGTTGAAGGGGAAGGTAGAGGGGGGGGGGAACAAGGCGCTAGCAGTGTTTTCGATCCTCTTTGTGACCTCGGCTGGCGCCTCAAACATATGGTACCAAACACTAATCGAAAGGTGTTCAAACTTTCGACCAGAATGTAGATGGGACGAACACACAAACCGCACACAATATGATACACGTAGAACATACACCCGGTGAGGATATTTTGAAGTCAAAAGTACCCTTCGGGATGAGGTTCCTCCTTTGCGTCGGAGCATTTGGTAGACTGCAAGTCCATACATATCCTTCCGCGTCAATAGAAACAGAACCAAGACAGCATGAGGGCACTCCACTGCCCGCAATAGGCTCAAGGACACACGGCAGTGGCTGGCGAGGCGGCCACAAAAGGCAGGGGCTGCATCATCATGACACCGATATGTGGGATTTGATCTGTCAAAGCCCGCGCGGCAAACCCCTCCGATGCTGGTTGGAAACCAGGAAAGTTGGTTTTGGCACTGCCCAGCCACGTCGATCACAGAAGGGCTAGTCGGAGGCGATCCATACCGGTTGAGAAGTGTATGCCACGCCATTCCGGAGAAAAATCCCGGATGGGGATGGGGTGACGTTGTTGAGTTTTTGTTCGGGCGGAGGGCGTTTGCTGGTTGCGTGCCAGACGTGTTGGTGCGATAGACGTTCTGGTGGCGGACGGCCCACGAAGGGAGTCGTGTACGGGAACAAGCACTCAAGGCAGTATGGCAGTAGGTGCGACTTCCTTACCTTCGAAAAACTTTAGGGTGGTTCTGTTTTGTGTCCTGCTTTTCCGCTGTGACACCCATCCCCACGGATTCGTAGGATCCCGGCGAAACCACAGGTTCACTTAGATGTATACATTTCAAAGATTTTTCGTATTTTGTCATTCCTATCCAAAGCGACTTGTTCGTCTTGGTTCAACGTCTTGTCCTGTCCTTGTACTGCTATGCGCTACTGCCCGCTGGTGTAGGTGACACCCGTTCCTACCTATGAGGAGATGCTCGTGTGGGCGGAAGAGACGGACAGGCGCATAGCCACCGGGCAGCTTCCGCCTTTAGGCTCGCGGCGCCCCCCCTCAGGAGATGGAGCGGTCACGGTGACAGCCGCAGAGCAGCAAGGGGCGGGGGCAAGCCTTCTCAGCGACCAAGAACAGGCTCAGGTGCGTGGGCGTGCTCGTGCTCTGCATAGCTGCTGCCTCTGCTGATCAGTTGCCGCTGCTGTTGTGCATATTTTGTGGCTTTGGTGTTTGGTTGCCGCTGTGGGCGAATGAGAAATTTTCGCCGGTGATTCGACCGTGCGTGCGTTCGGCAAGGCTGCTACGCGCGAGCGGCCCGTCTGCCACGCGTTATTATTGCTGTTTGTAGTTTCTCGTTTTTTGCTGCTGCATGTTGCTGGTCTATCGAGACGGGTAGCATTTGCGGGGAAGATTTTCATGCACGGTTGTTTTTTTATTTTTGGCCCCACCGTTTGGGCGGCTCGTTCTGTGGCGGTTTCATCCATGGCGCAAAGCAAGAGATGCGTTGGACAGAATATTTCGGTAGGCTGAGGGCTTGTCCCTTCCAGCTATATTTCAGCTGTTATTGCCTCATTGAGTACGAGGAGTATCCTCTTTCGTGCACCGGCGTGTTTGATGAGTATGAGTCCTTCTCTATCAGCGGGCCAATAGTTGAATCAAGGGTGGTACCGTATTGGTCAACGGGATTTTGCGTGATTACGCTATCGGGTGATTTTGCCTAGGGGTTTGCGTCTCTTCTCACTAGTTTTTTGTCTGCAATGCACGCTTCCTTACGGGTTCTTTTCTTGCGGTTTCGGGAGCACTCAAACGGATACGGAACATTGCATGCACAGATGGCAACCCTTTCGGAGCTCCTGAGCAAACGGCGGCGACAGAGCCCTCCCTTGTCTGACGAGGAAGAGTCTGCTCTAAGGTGAGACGACAGTAGACGGCCATCGGAATAGAGTAGTTGTCCTGTACCTCTAGTGGTTGTGTTTGCCGAAAGGGCTGGGGGGCAAGCCGAGAACGATCATGTTGCGAATTTTTGCGAACAGCCACAGAAAAAATATTATAGCAACAACACCAACAGCAAGAATCGCGGCTACTTCCGGGGGTAACAAGGGCGGCCGAGGAGTGGTTGACCCGACGCACCGCCTTTGCCTCTTACCATGTTCTTCGCGACATCCGTAGCTTCTCCAACCGGAGGTTGTTAATGTGACGCCTCACGGACCCTTGCGCTAGACAAGATGCCACGCCCGTCTCTGTCACTTCCTGTTACCTTGCAAGTTCTTTGTTGTGAACCATGCTTGACTTTCTCTCCAGCAAACTCAATCGAGAACCGCGCTTTCGTCTGTTTGTTTTTGCACAATAGACCTTGGTGATCGATGCTCCTCTCATGTCGTTTCTGTTCGTTTGCGTCCTGCCAGAGCCGCCATAGCGGGCCTGTCGGCGTCGGTGGAGAAAGACACTGACGCGAAAGCCCTTGACGTCGCTGCCGACACCTCGTCTGGCCCTGACACTTCCGATGGTGACGTCACCGCTGCCGGTCACGTAGCGGAGGCGGAAGACATAATTCCAAACCACATCTATGGCTCACGAGAGGTAACACTGGGGACTATTCGTTGTTGCTGCTGCGGTCGGTTTCTGTCGGGGCTTCGTGCTTGTCGGGGCTTGGTGCTTGGGGCGTTTCGGTCCAATCGCGGGTGTGGGTACTTTTGGGGAGCGGCGCTTCTCACGTCAACCTATTCCACTAGCGATGTCCTAGTTGTGTGAGTGAGGGCACTCCCCGTAGACAGGCTTTGGTAGCTCGGTTGTTGTGCGTTATGCATTGTGACGATGGCGTGGCGGTCCCCCCCCTCCGCGTGTGCATCGCTGCTCTCCGACCATCGCTCTGCTTGGTTCTGCTTGTGCCGAGAGAGAAGGTGCGAGACCAGGTGTACCTCTACGCTTGGTCCTTGATGAAGAATAGGCAGGACGCGGCCGAGGGAGAGGCCGAGCAGCGAGCGGGGGAATCGTGACGAAATGCGGGATTCTCGTGGACTGGGATTGTGCCGCGTACCTGCGAAGCAAGTCTGTGGCCAAGAGGCGTCCCATGCACAGTCAAGCTCAAGATTTTATGCTGTTTTTCGCGGCATCCGACAACGAGAACGACACCATCACGCCACATGCATGCTGTACGATGCAAACCCTTCGTCACTGGCACCGCCGCGCCTGTTCTTGGAATCGGCTGGACCAGGCGGGCAAGGCCGTTCTTCGCCATGCAAGCGTTGCAACCGACGGAGGCAAAGCGTCCTGAGGGATTTCGAGGCCATGTATACGTATTGCTCCAGCTCGAAGATCACGATTGGCCAGAAGCTCCGATCACTCCCCACGGAGCTCCCATCACTGACAGATTTCCCCCGCCCATTTTCGCAATAAAACTAGGTTATAGGTATGTCCCAAAAGGTTGGGCGTGGATTGATGCCCCAGGGCGCCGAATCGTCGGAGGTGCAGTCACGGTGGTGTCTTCTTGCTTTTTTTTTTTTTTTTTTCGGATCGGTTTGGCACCGAGGGCAGACTCAATGCTGTTTGGCACGGCGAGTGTTTTCCTGCATCTGCTGGACACATAGATGTATTCCAAGGTCGATTCCCGGCTGCGCACTTGATCGAGTCTAAACGTTTTGGTGGCGGTTGTTGCTTGTTTGCTGCGCTAAATGATCTGTACAGCAGTTCGTTGTCTTTCGTCCCTCTCTCCCTGTGTGGAGGTCTTCTTCTTGAGAAGGAATGTTGGTGATCTCCACAGGATAGAATGAACTGATTTCGTCCAGCGAGGTGGACGGAATGGTGAAATGTTGTTTTGTACGTGCTGATTTCCTTGGTATTGTAATTATCCCTGAGGTGCCCCGATGGGCCAGGTGTTAGCGTTGAGCTAGTGTAGGAAATGTAGTAAAACAACCCAGATCTTAGCACGCCTGCCCGAGATGAAGAGAAGGCCGGCCTGGAGTCAATAAGCACTAGAATACCGGTGTTATCTGTTCGCTGGTACCCATTTCATGTTCCCAAATCCTCTTAAAAGTCGCCGAAAGTCTTGGCACAGAACAGAGCGACGCGACGCCCCGACATGGGGCACGCGCCTCGCAGGCTCTTTCGTAGGTCCTCTGACTACGCCCGAAATGCAATGCCTGGTTCGGCAACCAAGGTCAGCACGAAGAGGTACTTACAGTTGTTGTTTGGTTCCTTTTTTTACCTCAAGGCCAGGTTCGTTCAGCGCTTACTAGAGGAACAAAAATGATTCGCAACATTTTGGTGTCTACTCTCTGGAAGGGTGGAAAGATGACAAAATGACAGAATCGCAATTGATCGGAGATGCACTGGCTGGAAGATCCAACCGAGTGCCGTTCCTCTCAACGTACTCTTTCAAAGAATTCCATGATCTCAGGGAGAACGGACTGCTACCTCTGAATCACCCTCAACAGACTTTGCAGTTGAACGCTGGATACTGCTGCGCAAAGCAATGCACTCAAATTCCCGGAGGCTTGGCCGTTGGAAACGCGGCCGGCCCTCTCCTGCGAAATCTCGCCCACGTGAGCGCGCAGCCCGCAGCCGCGAGGGCGTACCTAGGCAGTCCAACAGCGGGACCCCGGACAAGATAGATGCAAGTGATTCGGGGTTGGAATAGGGGGAGGAAACGGGCAACTTGAGTGGTGTTTTCCTGTTGCCCGAGTCTACCTACGGCGGTCACGGGCCCCACGATAGGGCAAAGCATAGTACGGTTTTTGTTTGCAAGGCAAAAGCCACGTGTACCGTACGACGAGCCTATTCGCGGTCTTCGTAGCTAGCCTGCCGAGCCACCTCCTTCGATGCGTCACATTGTATATGATTTGTCATCGCATCCCTCTTTCAAGCCGGTGCGAACCCGACGACAACAACAACAGCAGCAGCAAAAAAACAGAGCGACAACAGCAGCAACTGCAACAAAACCAGCAACAAAACAACGCACTGTATTATCATTTCCCGCAGTAACCACATGTACAACGACATTGGCATGAAGAGAACCTCACCAAGTGGCCGAGTACATGAGGTGAGTCTGAGGCGTGACGTAGAAATCCCCAAAGTGTTTAGGCTTTTTCGCCATGGGCATGGTCTTCTTGTCGCCGTCCTCTTCGCCTGCAACACATCAGCACGGCCCGAGGCGTGACGTCCGATCAAAAGTTGAAACATGAACTACTGCAGCACTACACCAGCGAAGTGCTACCCCGTAGGAGATACTACTGTTCGACAAGAAATCGTGCAAATCTCGGCTACCCTCTATAACCAAAGGGAATGGTCTACAACAAGACCCTTCCTCGCATTCTTCAAGGGCGCAGGACATCCCGGAAACGCTTGTGGCCGAAAATATTTCCCTTGCCCGGCACAACACAGCCTTGCGAAGTGATGCAAGGCGCCGACTTGGAGTGAGCGACTGATCGAATGCCTTTAACAACAGCACGGTTCACCACACCCTGTTCGGCCTCGCCAAGAGTGTGTGTGACTTCATGACGCAACAGGGGTGACAGACAAAACGTGTTTCATCATGTACGCGCGGACACACATGCGGGATCGGAGAAAGGGGCCAGAAACAAAACCGAGCTAGTCGTTCTTCGCAACCATAGCTCTCACCGACCGCTTCCATCAATATGGGCACCGACTGCACCCCCTCCTCGGCCCCGTGTTGGCCCAACCCCGCCGCCTGCAGCAGCGCAGCCTTTTCCGCCCACAACAGGTGGCGGGTCTCGGGCTTGTTGTCAGGAGAAAACGTGGACCGCTTCTCCGCGGCCTTCAAGACGCCAACCATAGTGACTTCTCCCTCCGGGCGAGACCATTCTGTGTGTCCGCGTGGGCGACAGGATTTGGGGAACGAACGAACAGCACCACGACAAGGGTGAATGAGAACGGTATGCTTCGACAAGTAAAGGCTAATGTGTGTGCGATGTAAAAACCGCACTGGCCAACACGCACGCACACACTCGTCTGCTGGCAAAAGAAGAAGTGTGCCTTCGACATGCTTGTCTTGATGTGCTTCTAAGAACGTGCTTCTAAGAACGTGGTGGACTGCAGTCAAGCTGGGCCCCCAAGAGGCAGCTCACGTCAACAATATGCAAGGGCGGGCGTTTCCGGTTCGTTTCCGTTTCAACACGCGTACCAAAGTGTTGGTATGGCCTTGCGGTCGAGAGTCTAGCAGCCGGCCTACCCCCCCTTCCTCTCCCGAGATAACTCGACGACAATATTAACTTCGGCGCAACACTCTTTTTGATGCTTAGAGCCACGGAGACATACTTGCTCGGACACGAAACACAACTACGACAAGCGCGCGACCTTCGTCGGGCAGGTTTGCTCTTCTCACCGAACCTCCAGCACGACACACTCTGAATCTGCACATACCCCCCTCGTCTCAAGATCTGCCGGAGAACCACAGGCGGCGTCTGCTCACGCCAGGATGCTACACTACCCCCGATGCTTTAGAACAATTAAAAAATTGACCAAAAAATACCTTGCAGCGGCCTCGTACAGCATAGCACTGAGACATGACATGACATGAACCCCAGAGCGTACGAATGAAGTTCACGGTAAACGTGCGCCAGGGATACCCACTGCCGAACAATGTCACAGCTGCTTGCAGGACCAACAAAAAGCATCGACTAACCAAACTCAGCCCACTCGCGCCCGCTCAGCAAGCACCACGAAGCCGTCCCCTCCCAGAGGCATCAACGTCTACGCCTCGGCACGTAACAGAACATGTCGATTTCCACACAAGACCAAAACAGCGCCATCGATGCACTCACGGGGCCCCTTGGAGCGAGGTACCCATCCCCTGTTTACGAGCACCACGGAGCCGTCTCCCCTCTTGAGCGGGGTGTGGACGAAGTCGCCCATGGGGCTCGGGGCCATGGAGGACGGCCCCGACGTTGCCTTCATGCCCGGTGGAGCTCCTCTGGGTCCTGGAAAATCGGCCGCAGTGGCAGAAAAAACGGATTTAATCCTTTGCTTCGCTGACATATGTTTGCTTTGGCGGGTGTTGTGGTTCGACTGAACGCTTGCCTGAGTTGTTGTTGGTCATGGTCCTATTGGTGCTTGTTCGTTGTTGCACAGCCATTTGGTCTCAATTCGTGTCCAACCTGTCCACACCACTAGTTGTTCTCTGGGAGTGTGGAAAGCGATCGATGGGGCGATGGACGTGGACGAAGCCCTGCAGCGGGACGTACGAACAGACCAATGCCAGTCGCCAAACAACCCGACACACGCACCTACGCATATCGATCTCATGCACTCCGACTACTCCCTGGAATCATAGCCAGTTTGAGGGGAAACAAATCCGTGCTTGGATGACAGATTTGGAGCCAAGTGACCACATCACGTTCCAGTGCCGCTAGTGAGCCCCAACAAGCGCCAAACCCAACATCCCGGCCAAGAGGTTTTGCCCGCACGCGAACGGACTCACCGACTAGCACCTCCTTGCCGTGATCGAAAACCCCGGTCACCCGCAACCGCCTGCCCTCCAAACTCTCCAGCAAACCCTTTCCCTCCTCACTCCCCCCCAGAGTCTCTCCGTTCGGCCCCTTCGACGCCTTCCCATCTGCTTCCTTGTCCAAGACATCCATCATCGTAGCCAGCGTGGCGCTGCCGAAGAACCAGAGCATGAAAGCAAGGCGCTTATTCACGTGTTGTGCAGGTGCCAAGAAATCCTATTCGTCCACACGGCTACAAAGTCACCGCATTTTTTCCTCGACGTACATAGCTTCCTGGTTTGTAAGAGCAACGTTGCGGCTGCCGCTGGGCCCAAAACGCCCATCATGGAGACAAGCGTCACCCCGGGGGTTTGCATGCAGACCCCAACATACCAAGCCATGGAGATGTTACTTGCATGCATCTTGCACAATCCCATCTCTGTACCGTTCTGCGGGAGATCTACAACACCTATGGGGTCACAGACTTTCTTCGTCCACCAAGCACCAGGTCAATTTCTTGACAAGAAATACCGCAATCACATCTTCGGCGGTAAAATAAGAACGCAGCAGCGGTGTCATGCAGTCAGGACCAAAACGGCTCACCCTTCTAGACCTTCAGGAAGATCGACGGGCTCGAATTCCATTCTGGCCTTCCTGCTTTCGATCAAGTCCAGCTTCCACGAGTAGCGCATTGCCTGCCACGTTCCCAGGCATGCCGTAGCTCCTACCTGTGTACCAGACAAAGAACAGAGAGAGAGAGAGAGAGGGAAAACAGCCGGGGACACGGTACACATGTTGATGCCCTGTTGGGTAATATACTGTGCCAAGGCCAGGCTAGTGAGAAGCACTAGGATGCGCGAACTATATACAAAGGCAGCTCTGGACAACCCACAGGTGTGCACACGGGGACGACCTTTGACATAGAGCCAGTGCGGCCACCCGCCGCTGTAGAGGCCTCCTCATGTTCAGAGCAAAGCGCTTGTAACGGAAATCAACGGAGAGCTTCGCTTCGCTATCTACTTTCAGTCGTGTCTCGACCCGCCATTACAAGTGCGGCGGACAGAGAACCAACGGTGCCAACAGCATTAGGGGAGAGGGGCTGGACCTGTGAGTCAGATACAAAAAAGAACGCCCGTGTCTCCACCCCAGCAGCAGCATGAGAAAAAAGCACCAGGATGACATGACGTCAATGATCCACAGCACATATCCCTCTCTAAATTGTCAATTGGAACGATATCTCTAATGTTTCGGAGTGCAACAGCGGCCAGAACATAGAGCACGGGTGCCCAAGCATCAAGGGCGGGCCTCTTTGCGCAGACGCTCTTACGCGGAAATGCACACAATAATCCGGTACAACACTGCTGTACTTCGCCGTACAAGAACTCGCTGATCTATTTATTATACTTCACCTAGATTCACCTAGATACAGCAGTAGCGCCGTGTAGGCATGCAAAATATAGCGTTCACAGACTACCTTTCACAGAATACTCACTAGGGACGAGAATACTACAATGCCGAGTATTCTAGCTCCTGCATGGCCTCCTCGTTCGCCGCCGTCGCCTCCAGTCCACCCTTTCTCTCCCTGCCCGGCTGCCGCTTGCTGCTGCCACCGCGCTGAGCTGTTGTGCACATGGCGAGCATCGGAGATTGTCCCTGCTGCTGATTTTATCACGGCGATCGGCTTCCGCTTCGAAGCTGCTGCGGTGCTACTGTGTCGGAGAAGAACGATTGAACCACGCTGGCGCAAGGCATGGCGACACGCGGACAGAGACATACTGCTTGCTCTAGTCGACGAAGGGGAAGTGCTACAGCGCTACGGCAGTGCTACATGTACCGCATTTATTTACCATTTACCGCCAGGGTGAGAAATGGAGAAATGCGGCGAGATTACCGACCGGAGTGCAGAGCTCTTCTGGATGAGCAATTCACCGGCTCTCACCGCTTGCGGCGCGTGGCCGGATTTCGGATTTCTAGACGCTGTTTAAGACCCCGCCTTACCTCCCGCACCACCCGCCGACCGTCTCTTGCGACAACACGTGCTTCCACCACAATCTACACGGCACGCTGATTCGCGAGAGTTGAAAGAAGAGATCTACAATTAACCGCAGCAGCAACTTTCACCCGGGCGTCCACCGAGAGCGTGCGTCACCCCGCGGGCGAAGACAGAACAACACCGCCGAATCGATAATCATGATCATGAAGCTGGTGCTAGCCGCTTCCGCGGCCTTCGCAAGCCTTACCCCGGCTAGCGCGTTCGTCACCACCGCTCCTAGAGTGGCTTCATTGCCAGCAGCAGGGCAACAGTACCGCTCCTTCACCTCGACGCATGCCGGTGCTAGAGGTGCAGTCGCAGCACCGTTGTCCATGATGTCGGGTGACGGGCAAGCGGGGCTGGTGACTGTCTACCACAAGGAGACCTGCCCGTACTGCAAGAAGGTGGGTTATGGACTGCTCCGCTGAGTCTCGAGTTGATGCACCCGCTTGAGGATGTAGGTCATCGTATATAGCTGGGCGACTGCGTCAGGTCTACCTTCAAGAAACACATGTATCGTAGCTGAAAACGGCCAGCAAAGTGTTCATGTTGGAGCAGGAATCCATACGGATCCTATCAAACAACCACTAATCTATTTCGTTGGCACGCGATACAGCAGTTGCCGGCCCGAGCGCAGAGATTCGCACGGTAGCTACGACAGGAGGCTGCTACAGCAGAGTTATAGCAGTAGTGTACATCTGCAAGGCAGGAAATGCCGTAGGTGACATGACGGAAGATATCACACCCCTTGGGTCGATTTTAAACCTGGAATGCTCGCTCCGCCCTTCCATCCTCTGCAGACTGGCGCCCGAAAAGGTGGCGTTTGAACCGTCTTGTCGAGAATACTCCGAAAAAAGTATGTATCTGGACAACGTCTCACCATGAAAAATGGGGGGACTTCCGCCATAATAACTACAGAGTTCCAACGTCGTGTCGAGGGACCTCGACAAACGCGACCCTCCGTTGATTTTGAGTCGTCTGTCAACCAGCCTGCTCGTTACTTACTTAAATCCGGTGCTCGGGAGACAGCCCGGGTGCGGCAGCGTCCTCTTTCCGAGGTCATGCATTTAGTATAGGTATGTCCATCTGCCGGCGAAAAACGTTTTCTTGAAAGTTATGCTCTTGCCGGACGCCGACAATAGACAGACGTGAAGGAGCGCCGGACAGGGCGTTATTTGTGGTTTCGACAAGTTTCGAATGTAATTGCACGCACGTCAGCCCTCCCTGGTTTGCGTCTGTCCGTGCATGGTGCAGGATGTACAGAGTTGGCCGTGCGGCGTGCTCCCGTTCAGGTTTGCCGACGGGTAATTCTTGTTTGATTTGTCCTTGCAAAATCACGCGCACTCACGGCGCAGACCGCCTCCATTGTTGAGATCCCGCCTTGACTCTTGGCAAGACGCTTTTTCTTGACCACGAAGCAGCTTTTCCTTGTCCTCGTCTCTCTCTTGCCCCGCCTTGCGAGTCCCGCGCAGAGATTCACGCTAGGCATGTGAAATCCTGGATGATGAACCTCTTGGTAGGCGGACCATTTCATGACACCTGGAGCGAAACGTCGCCTTTTTTGTGGTTTTTTTCTTGCGGAAACGCAACGATCTCTAAGGACAGATAAGAGGGGTCAAGGATACATTGTATTTGGCCGCAAGACCTCCAACCGAATCTGTTGCCACCTGTAACATATGTCCACGCCACCGTTTGGCGGCCAACCCGAAAGCCCTGGTACCTGGCGCCGCGGACAAAAAAAGTACCGCTGGTGTTGGCATGCTACGCTGACGCGTTTTTTGCTCGGCCTGAATCCCGACCTTGGCATTTCGCCGCAAGGACAGAATTCTCTGTTTCACTTGCCATCATTCATTTTTCCTTAACCTTGCAAATGCGATACCTTATTTTTATTCTGTGCAATCCTTGTCACATTTTGTGTTATTTTTTGACCCGTGCTTCCTTTGCCGCGAACCCGCTGAGGTTTGCTGTGCTACAGCAGTATTTTTATGGTGCTTGTCTCCTCTGTTGCCGCTGCTGTCATTCGTCTGTGTTTGCATTTTATCCCTAAGGCGTTGGCCCTTCTGGAGAATGACTACTCGCTGCAGGTGACGCGCGTGAATGTGCTGGAGGGCGAGGACAGCGAGAAGAAGATAAAGCAGATGAAGACCTTCAGCGGAGCTAACACCGTCCCTCAGGTGCTGTGGGGGATTGAAAGATTAGTATTCTGCCCGACCAATCGGTCTTTGCTCCGTACTTTGTTGAATGGGGTGTGAGATGTACGATTTCCTGTTTCTCCGATCGACGGTTGGATTGAGGGACGGTGGAACAACACAACGTTAACCGTTGTCTTGTGGATGGTGTCGTATGCACCAGCTACAAATTAGCACTAACTCGGATTTGTAAGGTATCACAACCCGTTTAACGTGGTAGGGGGTCGCTAATTTCTTCTCTGTTTGCTGTGAGGTGAAGTAGACTCTCGATGGTTGGGCGTGGGTGGCGGTGTTGCTTCCTCTCGTGAATGCCAGATACTGGTTGTTGCGGATTTTGTAGACGCCCCTTTCCGGGAAGGATTGTTGGGTCAAAGTGCCAACGCAAGCAAAACCATGAGACCCCCCCCCCCCTGCCCCCCTCCTGCTCGCACGTGTGGTGACAGGTTTTCTTTAACTCGGAACACCTCGGCGGAAACGATGATGTCCAGAAGCTCCACGAAGACGGAAAGCTCGAGGAGTTGGTGAAGAAAGTGCGTGCGGAGGCCCCGGGGATGATGAAAGATTCCTGGTACCACCCGTGGTACTGACCAGTCAAGGGTAGGAAGGGCGCCGCCGGTGGACGAGTGCTACCGGTGTAGAGCCATTGTCCGTGTGAAGTTTGTCTGTTGTTGTTGATTGTTTTCCTGGTTTCAATAGAGGAATTGTTTTCCATGCTGTTCTGGCAATTTTCAGCAGTTGCGGGTCGCCACGTTCATATTAGAGATAAACGCCCCATGGATGCATGATTTGATCGACGGTCGGGCACCCTCCGGAGTGCAGGACTTGCTTGGACGATGGAGGGGTGATTTTTCTGTGTGGTTGCGTAATGTGTGTGCTATCAGCAGTTTTTTAGAGGAGGCAACAGAGTAGTAGCCGTGAGTTTGACAGGGTGGTAGTAGAATCTGGACATGCTTGTCACTGCACCAACTGTTCTTGGAGACGGGTGACGGCGCTATTTGGGGGCGCCCTTTCTTGGTTGTTGGCAATTGTGGAGGTTTGTGTTCTTGTCGGCGGCATTTTGTGTGCGAACGGTTCTTGACTTCGCACATCGGTCCTTGCGGACGGGATATGGGTGATTGTGATTGGTTGTCTTGGTTGCTGTTTGTGAAAGGAGTTAACGTGCGACGACGAAATCGTGGGGTCGCTGAAAATATGACGGGAGTTGCTTTGCATTGTTTCGAGACATTTCCGAGATGAAATGTAGAACAACCAGAAATTGCCTGGTGATAAAAAGGATTTCACCTGTCTGTGTTGAGCGTCCATGTGACAGAAAATAGTAGTTCGATTCGACATTGATTGGCTTTGAGCCCCCCGTGCGTTCTGTGCATGCCCTACAGTAGATTCTTCATCCAAATTGGAGGCCGGTTTTCACCATCAATTTTCAATTTTCCCAGCTAAAGTACTGCGAAACTGATTGGAAACGAGACCAACTCAACTAGAGAGATCAGACGTGTTTTGACTTATGTCTTCCAGGCTGTGGGTTCCGTTGCTGTGAACTTCTTCAAAGGATCCAACTCCTTAGAGATGATAGGACGTACAAACGCGTTCTATCCCATTTGACTTTTCAACAAAGCAAGGTACGGCGAACGAGATGGCTGTAAATTCCGAGCTGGGATTTCCCAGTGACGCACGGACGAAGGACCGATTATCCTCCGCCCTACAGCTCCCCCCCCCCCCCCAGCAGAAAAAGCTACAGCAATTGTTGCATGCGTACTATATGCATACGTCGACCTACCCACGAATACACGGCAGCAGCACCATTTGAACCAATGCCACATTTGATAGCGAGGGGAAATTGAGAATCCGCTGCTCCTGGCGTTGCCGGGTCTCCCACGGAGTGTTGTTACATCCCGACTACAAGTATCGCTCACCACTCGGTCGGGAGAGGGAGAGGAAGAGAGCGGAAGAAAACTTGTGTATGTGTACCCTCGGAACCATCGACTGCTTGTAGAGGTTCTACAGTAGTATACTACTGCTACACCGTTCGTTTTGGAGTGGATAACTGGAGGGAACAAAAAGGCTTCGTTCTACGGTACATACGCTGTATTCGAAGGTAGATATGCAGAGCTACACACACGACGACGGTTGGTTCGTACGGTGTGAGACCCTCGACCCTAAAGCCTACTACGACTTTGTCGCAGGAAATGGCTGACGCGCCGTAAACGATCAGCCGGTGCCGGCCAGAAAAAAATAGGAGTACAAGCAAGTGTACAGGAATAGAACAAAGCAGAAAAGAAAGAAAATATCAAAATATAAAATAAAATAAAAATAATTACATCGCCAGACAACGCCAGACAATCGTTCATGCAAGGAAATTTGCTCCAAAATTCGGGAGATTCAAGTTTCAGCGGGGCAATGGGACGCGCAGAAGTTACATCACATATGGCAGAGCGCAACGACAGCTTTCCGCGAGGCGAGCGCTTAGTAACTCGCTGGGAGCCCTAAAGGCAGGATTCGGCCGGGGCGAGCAACGGTTTCAGTTGGACTTGGCTGTGGCTAAACGGAGAAGGGTCCTCCCACCTACTACGTTGGCGCGAGACATGGTGGACTGAACCTCAACTCACTACTACGGCTGGCGATCCCGCAGGGAGGAGCGAGAGAGACCAAATCACGGGCCGCATTCACACTGTGAGTTACAGCCAAGCACGAGGTGGAGCCTCTGCAACCCCTACTACGGTCTGCTGTTGCTGTTGGTAGCATGTCTCGGTTGATTTTCAGTTTGGAGGGAGAGACCGTACCGTACGATGTGATATCTGCGGGTCGACTCGGGAGCAAATTTACAACTTCCGTTTCAGTACTGCTGCACAGAGCAAAACCAGCACTTGTGTGCGTTGCGTGTCGGGCTTTGCACCCTGTGTTGCCGTTGGTCCACAAGGGGCGGGAGCTTTCCGCAGCCCATCTGTGAATGTTTTGGGGCCGGATACGGCCAGTGGAGAGCGAGATCTACAATAGAGAGAGAAGAGAGAGGGAGGAAAAGAGACGGCAAGCGAGGTAGCGGGGACAGAGGAATACCGAAACGGAAATAACTGCCAAACCCATTTGATTTCCCTTGAGCGTGGACTCTTGGGACCGTGTTGAGAGTGCGCGCGCACACACACGGGTCCTAGTACTCACTAAGTAAACACTCAGCTGCAAGGACTAAGTCTCGTCGACACTGTCTCTACGATTGGTAGCTTACTGAAATTGTATGCATGGTACTGGTGACGCCAACCTTTCTTTCTCCACCGGGTCCTGCGACAATCAATCTGTCGACAGAACAGTCATTGGAAGAATTTTCGAACCGCCCATGCCACCGCCCTCGGATTGCTTCAGGTATTTGTCACGCACCGTAATCCCTGGTGTGGCCCTGGCCAATACGTCGAACACTTGCGGATGTGTTCGGAAGGTGTGGGTAGACTGGGGCCGGAGTAGATGGGACACACGCACACACACGCCATTGGCGCGGTCGATGCTAATATGCACAATAAGGACACCCACGCAGGCACGTCAATCATCCCACAATCAAAATTGTGCCCGTGTGTGCCCACGCCAGCTCGGGAAGGCAAGCTGTTGTACATACGTACAGCAGTGGCCTAGATTAAGCTGGTACAGCGTCCGACAAGTCCACAGGATCCGGCATAGCAGTCAGTGCCTGCCATCTGTATTGTGAGGAAGGCACCAACCCTTCCCTGCGCCGCAATGGACTGGTCAACCTCGTAACCATCAACATGTCAGTAGTTTATGTAGAGTGTCCAGGTTGAAGTTCGCTTTCCTCCCTGCTCTGGAGGGGAACAAAACGTTTATGCAGTGGAACACCATGCAACAAGGAGATGGTAGCGTTTGGACGCGCTTCCCGCTATGAGCCGCACTAAGACCGACCCCTTTTCATCTTTCATCGGTCAGTCAATCATCGCTTGCGATGCGACAGAGTGATATCCAAGACGGACATACAATATGATACTCCTACATATTTTTCGAATGGGGGGGAGGAGGGGGCGTCTGAAAAGGGTTGAGCGCAGGCTATTCACTGAGCTAGGTGTCGGCGCGTGTGATGCGTTACAGTACGGCGCTCGCTAGCGGGCTTTTGTCGAGAGCATTTCTGCGCAGAAGAGGTTAAGTAACAGTGAGAGACAGGGCCGAGGCCAAAAGCGGCGACTCGTTGAGTCCTCTTCAAGCCCAAAATATCCACATATCTCCGGAGATCTCGGAGATCTCGGAGATCCGTATTCCGCCGAGTCTGGTACCAGAGTGCTGGCAACTGAGCCCAACACTCTCTCCGCCATGATTATTTTGTACCAGACTCCAAGCCTGGCAGGATTTGGTGTGATGTCATGAGTGAACGTGTCACTGACTGTTTGCGTGATACGGGGATACTACGCCATGTGTATGGAACGGGGGATAATAGTGTCTTGATCTTGAGCCTCCCACACAATCAGATATTTATAAGGAAATGGGATGGCCGGTTCAAATTCGGCAGTGACAGAACATATTCCTGTCTTCGTGGTGTACGCCCCCCCCCGTCGGTTAAGAACTCGGCAGCTAAGAAGGTGGACCCACACACAACAATCTCTATCAGAGACCTTAACCGTTGGACCAGGTGAGGTGCGTTCTCAGATAAGAATCCTGCACTCCATCCTACGTACAGAGTGAGTCGATGCTGGGGTACCCCACAGAGAAAACTGTAAAACGAGCCAAGGGCAAAACAAGAGCGAGTGCGTGCGGGCGCCATCCGTATCTACAGGTATTTAGAAAAAAGTCATGTGAACTTCGCGTATCGATCGGTGACACTGATCATTCTCGTTCGATATTTTTCTTGGCTTGGTCTCACGTGCCGAGTGGGACCGAGCGTTACAATGATAGGCTTCGGCCCCCTTCTTCCGGGGACCTTGATTTTTCTTCCTGCTGTCAGCCTGTATCCCGCCTAGAGTGAGCCACGGCTGGGGGCGTGCCGTGGTCTTGGTTAGCAGTTTATATGTGTGTGCGACGAATCTCTCAACAACCTTGCTTGGTGTCCTACGGTTTAGAAACAAATGGGAAACGAACCGGGAAACCAACTCCTCTTCCGCGAGACTAAATCACCGCTGCTGTACCGGAAACGTGCCGAGGATCGCAAGAATCAAACTTCCACAATCATCGCAAAGCCTTGTCCCCGTTGTCTCTACTGCTCAAGCGTGATCTACGGTGGTGACCTACAGGGCGTGTCGCACTCGTACCATCAGTACGTGTAAAACGTGCCCTTTTTCGCTCTCAGCAAGCTAGAGATCGGTTGGCGAGTCCTGCGCTACGTGCGGCTTTGTCGATGCCTGACCATCCCGACATGAACGCACGAAGAGACACAGAGCCAAACACGAACAGTTCTTGTGCCCTTCTGGTTCACAATGTACCCGCATGACCTAAGGGTTTCGAAATGAAATGGAGGGTTGCGCAAGGTCCAGCAAGAAAAAAACGTAGCCCTGGCGGAACTGCGTAGATGTGCCACGTGTTGACAAATGGTTCTGACCTTCCATGCATGTGGCTAGAGGTACCAGGTTCCGAGAGAGATTGAGAACGCTCCCTACCGCAGTAGCCTCAAGAGGTTGTGTGGTGCGCTTGGGAGGCCGGTGGGCTTGGGAGGCCGGACAGTTCCAAAAAAATGGCGCCGCGGTGATTGACGATCACGGCCTAAGAATACGTCGTTCCCCAACTCATTCCTTTCTGAGCGCATGCTCTGTTGAATGTAGCAATTGCACTGACACTCACGGTTTTGGTGCGGCCGGCCTCTCGTTAACCGGCTCTTTGTTCTCTGTTGTCTTGTAGAGCACGAGAGGAAGAGAGGACGAGGCCAGGAGCGCCTGCTCACGCCGGTTGGAAAACGCCATCTCATTCCGGTTGGAAAACTCTGCGGAGGCCGAGGCTACATCACGAGGGAAGATACCTCTAGGCCCTGACTCATTTTTCCCGTCAGAAGCTCCCACTTTCGGAACTCCGGCATGACTTCTTGCTACAGTTCGTTCTACGTCGAGGTCGACTACAATAGCGCCGTGGATGGCTGCTACGAGGACACCACCACGAGCGTCAACGACTTGGACGGCTACTTCCTGGACGGCGTGGAGGCTGGAGGATCATCGATAGTATATGCCTCCTCATCTTTTCGGGATGATCATGTGAGAGAGTCATGCGAGAGAGTTGTCGGTCACGCTGACTACATGATTTTGGAGTCTACTCTGGTTGTCCATCAGTTGACGGGACACACATGTTGAGGTTTTTTGAATCAAAGCGTAGGACGCGTGCACCTGGAGCACGTGGTCGCAATATCCCGACATCTACAGTAGATCATTACTCCGGTTGGTAGATGACGTCGTTGCAGCTGCTACATCGTACCATTTCTGTCAGAGCTGCAGCATGCAACGCATAGGTGCTGTCTGGAGTCGTGATGTCACGGCGGAGGGTTGTCTTCCTTGGATATGTTTTTGCCGGCCGTCGTCCGTTGGTTTGTGGTCCGGCTCGTTGTTGGGTGATCCTTGTGTTGCTTGATTTGGCGGATATTGCGCAGAACAGAGCCACCAAGTTTTCTTCTGGTGCGCATTTCTCAAGCCATGTCTGACATCCCTTTTCGATCGACCAGGTCGCCCGCCAATGCTTAAAAGTATCCCACCCTGTAATACTGTTGGCTTTCTCCAGCCGACGAACACGATATGGTCCTCGCTCGTGTTGATTGAGCACGGTGCCGACACATCATACCGTGGCCAGTCGTGACTCGGCACTTCCGGAACTTTCGTTCTGGCTACCTCCGATCAGATGTCGGAAGTCTTCACAGTTTGCGGGTTTTCACGTTTGTCTCCCACGCTGTATGGCCTCTTGTTCCGTTGTGGGGATAGGCTGGGAGGAGTCGTGGGCGGGCTACCTAGTAAAGCATCAGGAGAAATCGAACGGAGGTCTGCGCTTGTGCTTTAGGCCCGACGCGAAGCGGCTTACCATGCACTGAATTGTACGTCGCGCTGTTTACTTTCCCGCCGTTTCTCTGCAGTTTGTCTGGGTGGTCGCCAACGTGTACGACATAGACGTTGAAGAAGGCATTTTTGATGTAAGCATAACATGTAAAGATGCCTACGAGGACGACGCGACTACGTTGCACCCGGTGGAGGTGATCCAGTGGAACTGCTACAGCACGGCAGATGAGGACTACACCAGATTGGACGAGATAGAAATCACCTGCAGCTGCGGCACCGTCGCGGGCTACACTCCATCTCCTGTGTACTCTCCGATCGCCACGCCCGAGCCAACCCCTGCTCCTGTGTCTCCTCCGATCGCCACGCCCGAGCCTACCCCTGCTCTCGTCGAGCCTACCCCCCTTACCCCCGCTCCCATCACCCCAACCCCAGCTCCTGTGTCCCCTCCGATCGCTACGCCCGAGCCTACGTCCCCTCCGACCACCACGCCTTCTCCTACACCTGGTGACCAAGCCAACGCGCTCACTGCCGCTCCATTCGTCCTCTACGCACCGGACCCTGTCCCCTCTCCGACTGCCACGCCTTTTCCTACCCCTGCTCTCACCGAGTCTACTTCCCCCTTCACCCCACCACCACTCCCTGATATCACCACTACTCCGGCCACGGTGGCTTCATCTGGTGGCGGAGGTAAGAATGATGACGTGGATTTTGTTCGGCAACTTAGATGTCGCCGTCCTCATGGAGATGTGGTACTGGCACGACCGGTTCTTTGGTTTCATTTGTGAAGTTGTGCACCCTTCGATGGAGATGGGTGATATTCAAGATTGTATCCTCCAACAACTGCACACACTTTCATTCTTGTGTTTGATTTCAGGGCCTTTTCGAAACAAGTATTCCCGCTATATCAGGGCGTCAGGCAACCTGCAGCATAAGATCATTGCATGATCACTCGGGGGTTGTGGTTGACTAGTCTGAACGATTCTTCCGCGATTATGTCATGTGTCTGCTCGTTGTTTCTTCCACCAGATCCGTCGACAATGAGTGTTGTAGCCGTTGCAGTGGGTGGCGGGCTGGTCGTAGGGGCGATCGCGACCTTAATCCTGCTGTTCAAGACCGGCCGACTAAAGCATTGCAGGAATGGCAGCTCACACGGCACGTCACGGGGGGTGGGCCCAATACCTGCTGCTGCCGGACCTTCTGCCATGGAGAGTGCCAGGCGGGGCATGCAGATTCCGGCCGCAATCCAGTACCCCGAGGCTCTGCGCGCATAGCCCCGACGAATCCGCGATCGTGTTATCCCTCAGCAATCGTGTTATCCCTCAATACCTCCGCTCGTGCTTCGGTTTCCTTTCAACCGAATATAGGGTATGATGGTTAGGGTGTTGTGGCCGGTGCGGTGGCGGCCGGGTTGGTCGTCGTAGAGGCGATCGCGACGACAATGTTTCTGCTGTTCAAAACTAGTCGGCGACAGACTGGCTACCAGCTGTGGCCAGGAGGACCACTCAGCTTCCAGCCATGGACAGTACGCTGAGGCGCTGGGTACGTAGCACACCCGACGCCTACCCCAGCTGATAGGTTACCCAAGGTGGCAGAACCTTGTAGGGTGTTGTCTTCTTGCAGCAGTGGACGTTCACCCACCTAGGTACAGTAGTTGAGGGGAAGGGGTTCAGGCATTGCGTCGGTTTGTAGTCATGCCACGGCGGCAAGCAATACCACAACGACGGTGATTCTATCCGCTATTGAGAACTGTCGAGATGTGTCGTGACGATCGTCTCGAGTGTCAAGCACATCGCGATGTAGGAATTTACGTCTCTTTTGCCTTTCTTTTGCATCCAAGGCGATATACAAGGTTGCAAATGTCCCTTTGAGTATGGATACGTACACGCCACTTTTTGGTCGTGCCAAACCCAGCCTTTGCTGGCGAGGGTCATTTCGTGTTGACGTTGCTCTTGGTTGAAACATGTATCGTCAAGTCATTCGCAGACCTAGCGCTCGCTTTAGACTCGAGGTTATCGTAAGGTTCGGTCTTGTTCGGGTCATCGGAAAACACTTTTTGCACATGTATGAGTCGCTATATCGTTATGTCGGCAGCTCAGTTTCTTGCCCGTGGACAAACCGGTACATGCATGTTCGGGTTCGGAACGTACACTAGTCCGTGGGGTTCTTGCTGGGTTTCAGGAGGACGGCTCGCCAAAATGTCGTTTCACTCCAACTGATGACTCCCTCTCTTTCACTCTCCTTCACACCCCGCTCCCACCCCTTGTAGGACGGTTTGCTACAGGCTACAGGCCCTTGGACTCTTTCCTGCAGGGATTCTCCAGCTGATGGAATCTCTTCAGTCTACCTGCTCGCCCCCAGATTCCCTCCCTCGCCTCAGAAACGCAATTTCAACATATCTTGACTGTATACAGCACATGTGTACATGACCTGTGCCCACTGGAAATCGGTCGTACCGGCCCAAGTTCCCGCACTCCAAAAACAATCGATCAGCACTAGAGTAGTATTGCATCGAGCGAAGTGTTGCCGAAGATGCAACCAAGGGTTTACAGAGGATACTTCGGCATTTTTCGTGACTCCCTGAAATCGAACGGAAACATGCAAATATCGACACCTCATCATGTCAGTGCAGTGTGAAACTGGAGATGTAAATGGACCCGGCAAGAGGATGTCGAATCGCCAAGTAAGAGCCTGTTGGCCTCCCCCATGGATGTCTTATCACATTCACAAACCGTAAAACCGTGACTTCCCGTTGCCTGGTCACACGCACGAACGTGTTCCGTGGCAGCCATGGGTAGGTTGGGTCGCTTTGTGTATACGGTGTCTTTTGGGGCCTTCGCTGGTGGCCAGAGATGGTTGTGGGAAGGTTGGGGCACCGACTATGGGGGGGGGTGCAGGGACGATTCAGCCCAAAGTGTTCCAAGTTATCCCGTCTCTCGGATAGTGGCGTCATTCCAACCACCACGGTGGGCTGCACGCATAAAGACAAATTGCGTTCAAGGTCGAACTCGGCCTCCCAACCTCCCACCCCCAAGTTGTAGATCGTCCGCAACCTGCCCCTCTGGCCAGCAGTGTTAACACCTGCTGTCATACATAGAACTCCCGCTCCACCGTGTACTGCCTGTACGTCGCATCTTGTGGTGCAGCGGTACAAACCGCCCATATTAGAGGCAGGTCACCGTTGGTAGCGGTCTTGTGTCAGGTCATTGGTATAATGGTAGCCCATGCGAATAGTCTACGAGTCACTTTACCGTTGTATCGGCTTCGTGCATGGAGCCCATGCACGAGCATGTCCGCGTGTGAATAGTCTACTGTTTGTCGGTCGGTAACGTCCTTGAGTGCGTGTACTCCTAGTCGATTTTCAGGAGGACGGCTCGCCCAAATGACTTGCAATCACACAAACGCCAACACTCGGGGTGCAACCACACCAATCGTCGACTGTTGGGTTGTAAGGAAATCGATGTGCCTTGCCCCCCACCTAGTCAATCACTTTCCTTCACGCCGCTCCCACTCCCAGGGCCGTTTTGCTACACGTCCTTGGCCTCCTTTCCACAGGGGGTCTACGGACTCTCTTCGAGTCGGTGTACTTTGGCCCAAATCCCTTTCTTGGCAGCATCAACGCCATTTCAAAGCATCCGCCATTTCAATGCATCTTGACTCTGCAACATGTGACCATGCGAACTTGTTTGCTTCAGTATTTAACTCTGCTATCCATATTGTTGATTTTTCCTGCGTCTGGTTGCAAGGTCAACCCAACAAACCACCAGCAGACCCAAGTATCGCTAAGGAGTCCGACTTTCGAATCCCCCTGCTTGAGTACGATCGGGGTTCTAGATGTTGTGTGACTCCCCCCGGGAAACGGGTGCCTCATTCCTTCATATGGCAGAGTTTTTGTGGTCTGGATCCGGCGGGTCGGGGATGGATCAAAGTCATTCTGTGTTGGCCGAGCGGTCCACCTTCTCAACCTTCGGCGTGTGGGACCTGGAATTGCATCTCAGGGCAGTCACACAAAATTGGATTAGTTGTCATATTTTATTGATAGGCCTTATGCCAAGCGGCGTGGGAAGCACAAATTCGCCGGAGGTGTGCGTGCGCTCGTTGCATTCGTTCATTCATTCATTCATTCATTCATTCATTGATTCACCGTTCAGTTACATTGCGTGCGGTGGATGAACGGCTGAATCCTTCTCAAGACAACAACCAAGGCAAGCACGAAAGGTCTGTAAGTTCAGGTGTGTGTTGGTTTCGCTTTTTTTTCTGGACTCTAGCCTACCTCATCAGTGACTGTTGTCAGTATTTTATTTCTGCAGCATACAGCACCGGTGGGTCACACCAAACACAACACAAACACGCTGGCAGGTGACCTATGTGTGTACGTACGCAAAATGCACAAGATTTGACGAGACGGATTTTCCAAGCTCGATTTCTCCACAGCAGAAATAGTGGCGCTGCCAAAAACGGTGGCGTTGGCCCGTCTCGTCGAGAGTTTCCGAAAACGTGTCGTTCCATGTATGCATCCTCTTCCTCGTGTGAAATAATCGAAATAATGTTGCATACATGTAGCATTGAAGATCGGTCCAGGGGGTGTGATATCTTGTGTCATTCGCCTATGGTATTCTCCGTGTGGCCCCTCTTCAACGGCCATTTGGGAGCAGACCACATCGATCTCAAATACCTCCCTTGCCTTCCTCTGTCTCTCTCCCCCCCGGCCCTCACACGTTGCACGACACACACAATAGACACGCAAGAGGTGGGTGCATGGAGAGTTGTATCATATGCGTTTGTTGGGTGTGCCCTTGCCCTCGGCACTTCACAGCATTGCTTCATACCCTGCCGCAAATCGGACATGCTGGCCGCTTGCTCCCTTCCTGCTCTTTTGCTCCGCGTGTTCTCAAGAGGGAGCATGGGAGTGTGGCTTTGCTCTGTCTTGTCAACCCTTTTCGGAGATTCCGTCCACTGCCATGCCTTATGGCCATCCCTACCTCACCTGGCTTTGATGCACGTAGTTGTCGCCCACCACCCATCAAGATTCCACCTGTTGTTCCAGCAGCTGTACAGTGCAGCAGTGCACGGTTGGTTGCATTACGTGTGTGTTTTGTTGCGCCACCTTTCTTTGTGGAACAAGAGCAGTAGAGGAGCCAGGAGCTGGCCTCTGTCTAGCCACGGGTGTCCACGCGAGAAAAGTTGGGTGCGTGTGTACAGCAGACATGCCAGCTGCCGGCGCGTTTAGATGGGGCGGGGGCGCTGAGCTGGCGGTAGTTGACTGCTTGGATGTTCTGGGCCTCCTTGAAGTTCCATTTGTCCGCCGTGCGCCTTTGGCCGTTGGACAAGAGTACAGCATGTACCTCGTGCCTCTCGGATTGAGAGGGGCACACACATCGTGGTTCTAAATAGATGCTCCAATACTGCTGTACACCCGAAACGAAGGATGAAACCGCCCTGTGTCGTAGATTAGACCTGAGACAGCCGAGAAAAATACCTTTCGTTACTTACTGTACTCATCGCCACTTTTCTTGCTCCTAGCCGCCTTTCCCGCTGCTTCCCGCTGCGGTCTGAAACGGAACACCCGCCGCTCTGTGTGCTACTTTTACTGCTGTGCTACTGCTGCTACTGTACGCAGGAGGAAGCTTGCCCGCGGAAGTAGCACGCGGCCGTGAAAAGCTGGTCAACATGTTGAACGAGAGGCAGAGAGCGGTGCGTTTCCTGTACCACAACCCGTTGCCTAAAAGCTACTGCTGTAGCATACATAAGTCTACTGCTGTAGACGTTTTTGGCAGCAATGCAAGGGTCAATGCAACAGGGTGGCACCTGAAGGCGTCCGCAGCTGTCTGTGCAACGCTTCATTACAAGAGATTACTGTATGTGCCTACCGTCAGTTCCATAGGTGTGTTGATACTATGATACTGCTGTTCACAGCATTCCTATTGTAGTTTGGCACCCTCTTCGGAGTTTGGGATTGCTGGTATGTATTGCCCCCCAAAAGACGATGCGCAGTTTCCCATTATGCAGGGATCAAATATCCCTTCCTATACTTCATGGCGGTGTATGCATAAAGCAGCAGGTTTGTGTTCTTCATGTTGAGTTGTTGGGGAGCCATACTCTGCACTCCCATGTTACCACAGGGGACGCCATGCCCAACATTACAACTTCGTCGCCAAAAACTGCGGCGTGTTTTTATTTCAACGAAGGGGTTGACCCAGCCCAGCCCCTCCCTACAACCTCCCGGAATACTCGAGTATATTCTGTGTTACTTTTCTCACAGACGAAGTGGATCAGCGAGGGCTGCACGAACGAAGAGTTTCCGGAGCGGTGGTGGCGCATTGTGTACTGCAAGTCCGCGGCAGCAATAGTAATCGCCGGCTGTTTTCATGAAAGGGGTGTGCTGCGAGTCGCCAGGTTTACGGATAGTCTTGATGGTTTTGCACGCATGCCCTGCTGGTGTCCTGCTGATGATCTCCGGGACCCAATCGCTGTGGAATTGTCGACAGAATTGAGCGCACACAATACCGTATATGACACAAGATAACACACCGCCTTGGCCGATTTTCAAAGCTCGATTTCTCAACAGCAGGAAGAGTCACAGCGCCGAAAACGGCGGCGTTGGAACCGTCTCGTCGAGAGCTGTTCGAAAACGTATTGTTTCATTTATGCATCCTCTTCGTCGTGGAGTAATCGAGCTTTGAAAATCGGTCCAGGGGGTGTGTTATCTTGTGTCATATACGGTATACCCCCACGACCTATGTATCGTGTAGACTGGACAGTGTAGGACAATAACAACCAACAGTATCGCCTGGGATTATGGTTTTTCCTTGCTTAATGTAGCGGTAGGCTTCGGTGCCAGGTTGGGACAGGTGAGGAATGTACACGAAAGCTCACAAGTCGGTTGATCTACGCTGTTAAATCGTTTAGTATGCTCCGTCCTTCGTACAGTCCCGTCCTGAACAAGTGATGATTGATGACGCATCGCCCACCGTTGACAGCCACCTAGAAGTCGGTGTCGCCTGGTGCGTGGACTTAACAATATACGTTCCCAACAGACACACCGCGCTGTACCCTTCGGTCCAATCGATCAGGTGATGGTTCGCAAGGTGAATGATGACCTGGACATCCCCCTCTTGTCGGAATCGCGAGAGAGGCGGCTGATTGAGAAGTTCGTTGACAAGATCATGCCCAAGGTGGAACCTTCCATGCAGGCCATCATGCCGGACGTATACGTCAGGTAACGCGAGGCACAGCAGGGGGATGAGGCCTCCCATATGTGCTATGTAGCATCTTGGTACTTGTCATGTTCGGGAGGGTGTCGAGTCCATGGGGCATGAAGAGCCAAGCCTTGGAAGCCGTGACCGGGTTGTGATATATCTACAGTACCTGTCGAAATCGGCAAGTACAGAGTCATCTATTTCAGGCCAGTTGCCGAAGAACGGCGAACACGATTTATCAAAGGACAACGTTGTGTTTACATCCAGCGGACCTACAGGTGGTACGGGCTGTGTCGCGTTGGCGCTCAGGCATGACATGAACGCCTAGAGATAGAAACGCGACGACTACCATTCCAAGCCCCCCACGGTGTCTGCTCACTAGAAGTACCCCTTTTTCTTGCTGCCACCGAAACCAGGTGCATCAAGAAAGCCTTGGACGAGACTGAAACCATCAAGAACAGGAGGAAGCACATCTCGACCCTCCTGCGCGGCGAGCTGTCCGAGCCTCTCACCAGGTGGGTGATTGTGATTGGTTGGGCTGTCTGTTGTCTGTTGTATGTCGATATTGTTGCTGTCGTTTTGGCTAGTTTGTTGCCCACGAGGGCTCATTGAAAGAGTTCCAAGCCCCCGTGATCATGATGCTTATACTTCTAGAATAGGGAATACATGGTGTACTTCTTGCAGCCTTGAGGTTTCCTGTCAGGTCGAGCGGCGCAGGCAAGTTGAGCTGCCGCAGGTGTGCCCTTGTGGCTGTTGAGCCGGGTTTTTTTCAGGTCGTTACGTTGATAGCTGTTGTTCCTCGAAATCTTGTTGTTACCCTTGGTCCCATAATCTCAACCGGAAACCTCCGATCCGATGCGATGATCTAGTCAAGAACCCATCCCAGCGGGTGTCACTGCTTTGACAGATTCCGTCTCACACTGCGGTGTAAACAACAATCGCGTCTTTGACCTTTGCTGTGAACCGCCACAATCTTCGATGCGGAGCTTCGTTTTCGTTGATACAGGCTCGTTAGTGAAGTGCCCTTGCCTCTGTTTGCGTTCTTGGCATGTCGCCATGCCGATCCTTGGTGCGATTTTTTGTCGTGGTAGACAACTGAACGAGCGCGTGGACTGCTCCGGGATCCCCGAGAAGTGGGAGGGCAAGGTGCTCAAGCTCGTGTCAAACAAGGTAAAGAGCTGTCTCACAACCACGACGGCATCCTCCCTTGATCATGACCTTCCTGTTGCGTTGACGAAACTGTCCCGGGACGCAAAACACAAGCGCCTGTAAGGGCCAGGGTTTGTCGAGTGCCCTACGATGTATAGCTGTTCGGGTGTACGGTGACTCTGGCGATGGGTTGGTTATATTTAGCAGGCGCCGTCAACCGCATGCCGGCATTTGTTTGTCGCGCATTGCTCCGTTTTCCCCGTCGGCGTTGCTCGCATTGCGAAAAGTTATGTAGTCCCTGGCATGCTATTTTCATGTTTATCCAACGCCCCCTGTATTCGGTGTCGGTTGGGCACTATTTGTTTTTGTTTCGAGTCCTGCCCTGCCCTGCCCTGCCCTGCCCTGCTTCTTCTGAGGGCCCCTGCAGAACGTCATATGCAGTGCCACACATATGCAGGGAACAGGCCCTTGTCTTGGCTGATGCATGCATGCGAAGTATGGTAGTTCACGCGATGGGGACGCTTGTTCACATGTTTGAGGCTTCCCAACTCGTTGATTTTCATCGAGTATTCTTGGTGTTGGTGTTCGTTGTTTTCGTTGATAGTGGCTCGTGGTCTTGACACAGCCCCTCCTAATCCCGTCCCATGTGTGTACGTACCGTACCGCACCGTAGGTGATCGACGAGTTCGTGGAATGGACCGTTGGTGAAGTGGACGAGCGTCTCCGGGTCGTCCCTGGTTCGGACAGGTCGACGGACGTCGACAGGTCGATGCCCGAAGAAGAATCGAAGATGCCCGAAGAAGAATCTGAATCTGTTGATAGATCTTTGTAAGAGAACCCCCACAGCAGGGTGCCGCCCGCTTTGGTGGGATGATCACGGAAGCGTGATTTATCGAGATCGAGCTTGACGTTGACCCTGCGCACAAGGCTTTGTCGTTTGGCGGTGCGGTTAAATGTGTGTGACACTTGGATACCCGAGGTGTGTTGGCAGCGTACGATCGGACGATTTTCGTAGACAGGAAAGTCATTGCAGTTTTGCCCTAAGGCACAAAATCCGCGTTTATCTGTAGACCAGTGCTTCACTAAGTAGTTCATGTAGAAAGGATGTCCAGACTGTTCTGCAAACCGCTGTTCGAAGACTAAAAAACATTCTGGTTTTCCCTCATCACCGGAAGGATATGATCCGTGCCCCTTTTCAAGGGTTGGTTTGTATCAGCCAGTGTTATTCCCGCGGCAATATTGTCTGCATCTATTGGACCAAAGTGTGAAAACCCCGGGCCCCGCTAGAGGATGCCCAGATCGCTTATCCGGGAGGGGTCTCGTTTTTGTTTTCCGGATGGGTCAGACACTGGTCGGTGTTGTGAAGGTTTCGTCGATCAAAGTCGGACGACAGCATCTCAGAGAACGATTTTCCACGTCCGCCAATTTTGTACAGCGTTGATGAGTGGCCGAAGGCTGGTCGGAGGGGGAAGAATCCATTTATTCTCAGTCAGCTGTCGTCCGGTTTGTATTTGTTGTTGATGCTGCCTTCATGTATTTTCTGTAATGGAAAACAAACCGCTCTCCCCTTGATATTATAGTATAACGGTACTGTAGTGCTGTCTACGTACACTCCGGTGTCCATAAAAGCTACAGCATGGCCTTCGAAAACGAGATACCTAGAGAAAGCCCCCAACGCACAAGGACGAAAGGCAGGGTACAGCGGTAGGGCAGGAGAAGAACTCCGAGACGTTTTTTTAGCCTGACGCTCGAAACCAAACCTGCCACAATTTCACCCACCGACGCTACTTTCGGGTAAGAGGAACGTAGTCTACGCATGCATACAATATAACACATCGAAGTAAACTATCGTGCTGGGAAACACCTGTTGAACGTTCAAGGTCCATGGATACTGGATACACGCCTCGTGACATGAATGAGCATGACCAATGAATGCCTCGGCCTGCAGGCTGATTGTTCCACCCCGGTGACCCCGCCTGCCGACTACAGTGTACGTCACGGTACTATCGGCAGAATTTTCGACACGAATGTATCAGCAAAATGTGGCTCCCAGAGCTCCGTTGGTAGAGCGCGGCTCTGATAAAGCCGAGGTCCCGGGTTCGAACCCCGGTGGGAGTAGTTTTTTCAATTTTTTGGGCACTCCCGCTTTGTTTTTTTCCCCTCTGAAGAAACCGACAGATAAAGATGCAACAAGTAGACTATTGTATAGGCTCGTCCTGTAGTCGTTGAACTGCTGTTATGTACTCCGTAAGTATAGAACAAAGTTTGATTGCAGATGCCTCCAGTTCATACGTAAACATTCACTGGAGGCGCGTTCTGTGGTACGCATATATTGCAAATCCATGTGAACCCTGATCACAAGAGTCACGTGTCCTCCTTGAAATTGATTGGCGGGACTGTGAAATGCTCCTACTCCCGGCATGGACACGTATTTTTGATCAGCACGTACATAGCACGTTGTAGCACACCCAGCTTCGCCCTGTTCCCTGCTGCCCATTGAAGCGGGATACTCGCCAACGCCCTGCAAGGTTGCTGCATCGAGAGTGAGTACCATCAACACACAAGCGTCCTGTAGTCGAAGCTTTTGTCCGCTGTGTGTCTTGGCAGACAATGCAACTTCTCTTGCAAAGAACGAACCAGCCCTCCTTCCAGCCTGCATTCTGCATTCTCATGTTTGAGCAAGGGAATTGCACGATGACTGACTCCGGACGGTTACGCGAGGAGGAAGAAGGGTAATATTGAGCGATAAGGCAGCGTGGAGAGTCTGGCGCTTCATCCGGGGAGGGGGAGGAAGTTGCAGTCATTTTTCTGTCTACTACTCCGTGTCTTACAATAGTTGGAGGATTTGGGAGGATGGACACCAGTCTACACAGAACACCAGGCACGTGCTGTGGGCTGGTGGTCTACAGCATGGGGTGGAAGGGAGACGGCAGAAACCGCAAACGGCTATGATATATATGCGCTCAACAGAGTCCATGTGCACCATGCATTAACTATGCTGTTGTTGTTGTGTTCCCATTGAAAACCTTTCATATCTCTCTACCCAGTACCTTCATCTGTCCGTACTAAAAATGCATACAACGCGGTCGATTCTCGTGGTCACAGGCTAACTTACCCAATAAAAGGTACACTAGAACAAAATGGACCCGAGGGATCCGCAAGTCAACAGAAATTAACAACAGATGGCCTACAGGACCCTCCGCTCGCCTCTACACACTATGTGAGGAAAACCTAGACTGTAGAAAGAACGGGGGAAACAAAAAAAGGAACGCAGAGGGAGAAAAAGAGAAGCAACTAAAGATATATATGCGTAGTACACACGCCAAATAAATAAACAAGCAAGAGATGCCAAAAAACAAGGAAAAAAAGAACCACCCGAGACAGCAAAGGCATGCCATCGCTCGTGCGGGGTTGGTGCAATGGTGCAGTGACGGGGGGCGGGGATAAGTCATTCAAGGGGTTCAATCCGGCATAACATGTCGCGCCGCTCGGTCCGACTCTTCTCGTTTTCTTTGTTCCCTCGCCGTCTCGTCCGTCTGCTATCCCCCTCCCGCCCCATTGGTTGTTACCATATCCGTGCTGTTGCCGGGGTTATTGTTTCGTCTGAGCGCCCGCTGCCGGCTAGCCTCCTCTTCATCCTTGTGCCTGGCGGTGATGAACCTCTTTGCTCCTGCAGTACCCCGTATGCCACGGTACACCCCGCTCCACCTTCGCTGCTCCGTCCAAGTTGTCTGCGGGACTCCGAAGACACATGGCTCGGGGTCCGTAGATCCATGCTCTGCCTCGAACGTCTTGAGGTCGTCCTTCAGCCAGTTTTGCTTCTTCTTGAGGGGCGTGTACTCACCTCAGCGCACGCCGTAGCCGTGAGACCCTTTTCCTCGAACCCCTCTATAAGGCCGGGACGGAGCGATATGCGGGGGTTTCGCCGGCTCAGGCCACGTTTCACAAGGAAAGGATGAACCCGGAGCTTCTGGTCATCAATTATTCTTGCGTTTGCTGCCGGAGAGGGGGGGATTTAACGGTGGACGGAACGGGTGTATCCCTAGCTTTGTTTCCCTCAAATCACAGGCGAATTTTCTTGGCTTTGGAGGCATTGCATGAAGAGCCTTGTTCGCTTGTCAACCTCCTGAAAATGGTCGTCATCGGAGTTGCTTCGATGACGCTTCTTAGGACTCGCCTGCAGTTTTTTTTTTCCTTGTGCGGAGAGCTCTCTCGGGTATACTAATGAGAAAGAGAGAAGGACAGAAATTTGCTCTATCTACTTCCCAATCGAATAATCTACCCCATCAAATAGTCAGGTATCCGATGAAAAAGATAATTGCAGCATTGACTACGTTTGATCCCACACATTGCAAAAAATGTCTCCCTTTATCGGAAAAATCATTCATCATCGAGGGAGGGCGGATACTGTCGATAGCTCGTTCCTGCTGGGACAAAACGAAGACTGAAAAAGTTGGAGCCGGCTGTCCACGGCAACACCTACGAAATATCCCACGTTATGGCAAAGCTCTACAGTACTCCGATTGGTTCCGAAAATATGTCTTCCCGTCCTCCGTCATGTTACAGTCCAATCATCGGTTCCTGGAATTACTCTCTTGTTTCACGCAGATTTACCGGAGTCCGCTTACACGCATCGCAGGCGCTGGACGTGATCAAGAACGCCATGCTGAACGACAAGCAAAAGCATGTGGGTTGTGGGTTGAACGTAGGCCTTCCTTGAGCCGACAGACAGGGGGTCAGGTATTGGCGCGTGTCCTTGGAGCCAGCTGGATTACATGTGGTACAACTCGCGTGTAGCAGAAACCAAAACAAACTGTGTGTGCAAGAGCACCGCACGGAGCCGAAGCAGGGCGGCGGGGTCACCAGGTTAGCCAGTTCAGGAGATGAAGCAACGTGATGCTTGGGAGTATACGAACGTTATATCTTTGCGGGCGATGGAGTGTTCTCTTGCCCTTGGTGTTGTCTTTTTTCCTAGTTGTGCGGGTAAGGGACGCGACCACCGAAGGTTTCCGTATTGCTGAGCAATCGGGAATAGGGGTTACAGGTTAAGAGGTGCAACGACCGCTCATGGAGAGGCAACGGCAAACAACCAACATTCCAGTAACATCAATCCTTGTCTGTGGGTCTGGTATTCGATCTTCCTGTGATCAATCCCTCACTGCCCCTCATATCCCCCCACTTGAGAGTCGTGTACAGTATGGTACGCCACACCAAACCTATCGAATGGAGATCCCGATGTACCTGCAACAGAACAGGATCACATCAGTCTTTTGTGCTACCAGCCCTCAGCCTGTCCAAAATGACGTTTGTTCCAGGATGTGATTGACGCCGTCAATGTGGATATCGACATCCCTTTGGTCTCGGAGGGAAGGGAAAGGAGAGCTATCGAGAAGTTTGTCGACCAGGTACCCAAAGAACTAGCAGTAGGACGTGTAGAACACCGCATGGACAAAGCCACATGTTTTTTCCAAGACCTTAAGGTGCATAGAATCGAAAACATGACCGGAGCACCAAACGAAAAAGTCATTTGCAAGGCGGGCTCAGGCGCAGTCTCCCGGCAAATGCGACTTCAAGTTACGTAGGTTATCCTTGACGGGGGCAACGAAACACGAAATTGAGGCCTGACCTGAATTTGACGTTTCTGCCCAGCGGGCGGCTACTGCTGTAAGTGGCACTAAAACTGTTCCGAACTAACAGGACGAGCGCAGAAATTTGCGACCCCTCTGGTGTCTGACCCCAATGCCACCGACGTGGTGTAAGGAGCTCGAGGTTCAAACAGAACATGAGACATGTGCAACTCCCCCCCTTCATGTTAGTGGCAAGCGACCTGCTTGCCACACGTATCTTCAGGCAGCCAAACTCGCCATCCACTGCGTCCAACTTGTCGTGCGACCAACATATTGTTTACCGTCACTACATGTATGTAGGCGGTGCCCGCGATGGAACCATCCCTTTCGGCGCTCATGCCACCCGCGTATGTGGATCTGGTCAAGGTCGTGCTGGACGAAACCCTAGCGGCCGCCGAAAGGTGAGCTAGCTCAATACATGTACCCGCTCCTCGTTCGCGTCTGCTTGAGTTCCAAACGAACAAGTAGACAGACATGCTTATGAGATTTCATGACCACAAAAGTCTACCAGCAAGCATGCTGGTGCGTGCACACGCTCTCTGGGTGAGTTGTTCCCGGTCAGGTTGAAAACGTTATTTAACCGCCGCTGGTCGATACGATACCAGGGAAGACGTTTCCCACCACCCCAGTGGGTGTACTCCAACGCCGTGGAACAATGGCCTAATCCCAATTGTTTCGAAGGGGGCAACTACAGTAGCTACATCGCACATTCGCCGATCATCTACACGCACATGGGCTCGTGCACGATTGATTGCTGTGTAAACCGACCAGGAAGGAACGCATGGCCGAGCTGCTACGTGGCGAGCTGGCCGTTCCGCTGTCGAGGCAACTCAACGAGCGCGTGGATTGTTCGTACATCCCGGAGAGCATGGAGGGAAAGGTTCTCAAGATCGTGGCCGAAAAGATGGTCAACGAAATCGTCGCGGCGGCCGTAAAATCGGACTAGGGCGGCCAGGCAGAATTGAGTGACCACGCCGGCAAGCTTGGCTTCGTCATTCTCGCTTGACCAAGGCAGCATTCATGTTGTCCTTGTGTAGAGTTTTGCTATTCATGTCGACGAGACAACAATGGCAGTGATAGCCACGTGCGGGCCTACTCTCAAGAAGGACGAAGGGGGGCCGAGAAACACCTCGGCTCCTTCCCCCGTACAAGTAGGCCTTATAGAAGAAACTCTAAGCCTACAAGGACGCGGTAACCGTACTGTCGTTTGTGGGCCAAGAAGGATAATCACCTTTCTATGTGACGACGGAGGTTTAGTGGACATGTTTTGGTCTCTATCGGCTGCCTATACCATCCTCCGTAGAGTGAGCCGGGGGTACGGGCTGACGAGGCAGGCACCCTCTTATTGAGGCTACCGTGGTACGTGTCATGGGATGTTCCATGACGTTGCTGTGGGCTGCCCACGAATCGCCATAGGGCTAGGGCCACCCCACGGGGGCCGACATAGGCCGTCCATAGCGGCCGCAGAAAGGGACTGATCGCGACCCCTCGCCCCTCTTGGTCGGCCCACCGGACCCATTGTGTGTGGGGGGTTCGTGAGGTCCCTTTGTCTTTTGCACTCGCGGAACATCCTGGTCGCCCGTAGTTTGGCGGTGGCGGACAATGGGCGGCCCGTGGGTCGCTTGCTCGAAGCGTATGTATGCATACGTCACAACATAAACTGTACTGATATTCCGATGGTCACCCACTGTCCCGACTTTCCCAGACGCGCTGTCACTATCTACCATGGACGCCCAACTTCGTCCCCTCTAATCTTTCCATATCCTAAAGGAACCCTGTCGAGAGCATTGTAGTATATTCTGTAAATCCTAGCACCAAGAGCGTAAAGTTGGGTGATACATGTCCAAAACGCTGGTGGTGCATTAATTCTATCACCGTACGTTGTTCGAGCAACCAAGAGAGGCATCGTAACTCCAGGTGTATGGTATCGGTTGTCGAGACTAAAGCAGCAAAGGCGTAATAAGAAGTCGTGACGTACTGTGATCGAAAACCAAGAAGGGAGTGGTGTCTTTGTGGGCGAACACAGGAACATACATGCATGGACGACCATTCCCGCGGGACTTGCGCACCCGTCACATGGTACCCAATACCGTCAACCTCCATCCACACCCATACATTCAAAGTGTGCGGTCACCGTGAACTCAGGGAACTCTTGCATTCAGTGGCCCTCGCTCATTGGGATATTGGGATATTGGGATGTAATTTTTCCGTTGGAGAAGAGCACACCGTCGGCAAGAAACAGCACAATGGCCTAGTCTAACTATTTGTGCATTGTACCTGGTACGTCGTGGAGTGATGCTCCATGTAGGCTATTTTCGCCCCTTCTACTCTACCGTACAAATCGCGCCTGTCTCTTCGATGGTCCATTTATATTTCTATCCTCTCCCTCGCGCCCTGTTATCTCGAGGAAGGAGCGTCTTCTACGACCCATTGGATTACGGTTGAGTCCATCCTGCGATTGTTCCAACGACCGGTACGATGACAGAGAAATGTCAGCAACAAACTTCGAACCTACCGAAGGAGGCATTAGTGCTTGGGGAAGAGCTGATATCATCGAGGGAGGCAAGGGATGGTTACGTTTTGCAACACACAAGTGTTCTTAACCGGAAATAATTGGCGTTTTCGGTGGCGGAAATTATTGTTTTGCATCGGACAGGACTTCTTGCGCAATGTGTAGTTCATGTGCTTCCTACACACATGCATGGCGTCAAGCTATTGCACCGATCCATCAAAGAGTCTCACCCGCCAAGCGTGATGAGCCTGGTTGGCTCCACCCCGACGGTGAACCTCGCACCCATCACGTGCGAGCTGTGCGCCGTGTAGCTACGATTCCGCGCGCCCCCCCTCAGCACTGGATATCTCAGCAATCTCACAGTCTTCGCGTCGTCGGCTGCGGCTAGGAGTTCACGGTCTTTGCACAGGTCCACGGCGTTCACCTCCGTGTTGTCTGAGTATGCAGGGAACACTCCCTGCCACCACGATTTTGCACATACATAAGATTTCCCATCTATAGACTATAGGAGCACGATGTACCAACAACGTGAGCATGTGATCATATGGAGAAAAATTGGGGTCGTCGGTGGTAACAGGTTCTTCGATCTTGTGCGGTTTCAGTTGGCCACGATGATAACAGTCGTTCGCCCCCCATTTTTTTCTCATCTTGAGGATAATCATGGTTTGAAGCAGAATGTGCGACACACTCGGGGCACCCGCGGACCGCTGTTGATCTTCGCGAATGTTGTCCCGGGTAAAGTGGGCCAAGCCAAGGTAAGGTGGGCCAAGCCAAGTTGGCCTTCCAAGCCAAGTTTCCCTGAGAGAGTCTTCCCGGGTATGGCTGGCCTCGCGGAGTCTTCCCTTCTTACAACGTCGAGTCCTGCATGCGCTCGGTGATTGCTAAATTGCCGCATTGAACAGACATGCATACCGTACGACATCGAAAGGCAGAAAACAATCGTTGGCGTTGGCGTGTACGTGTTCGCTCACCTGCACCGGCCATCCGATCGTGCTGGACCAAGTCGCCCACGGTTCGTTCCTCACCAAGAACGCCCGCTTGAAAATTCGGGGACGGGACTCTCCCGCGAATGCCTCATCGTCTTCCTCGTCACCTCCACCGTTGCACGCGTCCCGGCCTGCCCCCCCATCTCTAACCGCATCGTCTCCTTGGCGATGGGAGGACGGGGGGAGAATGTCCCAGTGCAAGAGATGGTAGTCCTGTCCGCAGGTGTGCACGAAGCGCCCATCCTCGGTCCAATCTAAGTGGAGCACTCTAGAGCTGTGGCCCTTGAGGTGGGCTATTCGCCGGTAGACCGTTCTTCGCCCTCGTTTTGGTCGGTATGAAGGCGACGGCTCGCTGCCGGTGTCGGCCGAAAACTCTTCGTATGCGGGGTCTCTCATCCCCATCCCCGCCGGCACCCCTGGCGGCTGCTCAACACCCCGGCCTAGGCTGATACCTCTTGATGTTCCTCGTTGCTCCCCCGCGTCGTCGTACCTTCCGTCGTCGTGCTCAACGGCCATGATCACGAGACTTCCGTTCTTGCAGCCAATCGCCAGATGAGATCCCGACGGCGAATAACGCATGCACGACGCCCCCATGCCCCGTGGCGGTTCCCCGCCGCCGTCGCAGTATCTTCGACGGCCCCGTCTGCTCTGATCGTCTACGACGATTCGTTCGACAACAACGAGCGCACAAGATACTAAGATGGCAGCGGTTTGATGGACCGTGTGTCTCCGACACAAATTGGAGCCGTTTGTGGCGACCCCGCGATAAAAGAGGTTTCAGTGTTCTGTACACGAACCTTCCCCTTAAACAAGGAGAGGGTGAAGGAATATCTCGCGCAGGCTGCCACCACTCAAGCTGATGAATACTCTGTTCTAATCCTGGAAAACATCATTGGGACTTACCTCAACATCGCAGCAACACTCCCAAAGGAACGGTCGGAAAACAAGTCCAAGCGGCGAATATCTTCTGCGAGTGCTACGCTGAACGCCAGATGCACGAGAGCTCTCGGCTTGACAGGTTCAATTACGCACCTATCCTGAACCCCGCCCCTCTTCCGCCAGGCACCACCCCAAAGGTAGTAGGCCGAGAAGGACTTTTGTTTGGGGACATAGGCGTTTCGGGGTGCAGCGGGACTGACGGGGCTCTCCCTCGTCCTGTGTCGCACACTGATGCCGACCTACCAGCGGCAGGATAGGTTGTTGTTGGCATGGCGTTTCTTGATAACAACACTGTTCTCGATTGGAGCGCAACAACAACAGAGCCGCCTTCTTTGAATTTGTGTTTTTTTCCAAAACTATGTAGTGTAGTGTAAAGTTCATCTCCAACCGCAGGTGAGAGTCCAGCACAACGTCTAGTACGACTCTAGCCGTGGAGGTTTCGGCACGCATGCAGCACTGTAGCAGACCAGCAACCAACCGCTTCTCCCGTTTGCATCTCGGGGATGTACGTCTCTTGCAGTCCACCATACTAGTAATTTAGCACCTGGCGAAGTCCACTGTATATCAAGTGTCAGTGTCAGTTTCTCTCATTTGTTCTCTGCACCATACTAGTGGCACCTGGTGAAGTCCACTGTATATCAAGCGTCAAGTGTCAGTGTCAGCAAGTGCTATCCATTATCCACCCAGTGTTTCCCTGTCGTCCCCTTTTGGTTTCTGTATAACTTGCCAATTTTTTCCTACATAGTGAATAAGCGATTTTGGCGGTGTTTTCGTTAAATCACCTGGTCTAATCCTCGCTCTGGACTACGTTCTGATTTCGCAGACTGTTCGTGGTTTTCTCTTCTGTTTCGATATGCATGACACACGCAACACCCGTTTCTGCAACATCAACACCCGCGAAACCTAGATATTCTTCTCCTCGGCTTTCGGGTTAAGTCGCAACCACCTCAAATCTAAAGTTAAATGAAAACTCGGCCTCGGTGAATCGTACCACGAGAAACCGAAACCCCGCCGGCTGCGCTTTCTCACCTCACCCTCGAGCGAGCTGGCGATACCCTTGGAGTCGGGTGCGGCAAATGCGGAAGGCTCGCGCCACCCCCGCTCGTGCCCCCGTTGCTAGGTGCGCCGCCGCTGCTGCCCCCTGCATGCGGTGTGTCCTTCCCGTCCAGCGTCACGATCTTACAGCGGTCCCAAGAAGGCTTCGTAGTGTTCCAACGGGCGTTGGGGCCTGGTGGCCTGCGCTTGGCCCACGCCGAGTCAGGCAGCAGCTGTTTGGAGTGCCGCAACTCCATCCCGGTTGCCGCGTTGTTGCCTATACATCAAGTCAAGCCACAAGGAAGGAAAGTTGGAGATACACTGTCTGCCAGGGCAAGGAAGGAAAGTTGGAGATACACTGTCTGCCAGGGCACAGCAGATAACATTTCGGTCATCGAAACTATATCAGCATTTTCTGTCGAAGGGACACGTGCCTCGAAGAACAAACTAACCTCATGCTACGTGGAAGAACGCAATGGTGGTTTCTAGGCCGCACCGGAGGCCCGAAAACTACGGGAGAAGAAAATCGGTTCTCCTGGCAGTGTTTGTAAGTCGTGATGGTGTCTTACCGGGGGCATCACCCCACCCACGCTCCTCCTCTTGCGTCGGGTCGGGGCTTTGTCGTGCTCGGTGCACCTTCAAGAAGAATATCTCGTTGGTGTTGACGGTCCCGACCGCGATTTCTTCAAGGTCAGGGCTGCACGCCAGGCAGGATATTGGGCTGGGGAGGTTGTGGCACCAGGCCACCGGGAGATTTGAAGCGGTGTTCCAGATCGCTACCGACCTGAGCGGAGCAGGGAACGGTGGGGTGGGAGCGATGTGTGTCTCAGGTGTATAGAACGTGTTGGGTTGTTGGTTGCTACCGTAGTCGAACGTCTCGTGGACGCGGCACGAAGTACGTATCAAGGTAGCTCTCGAGCACCGTTCCTGTCTTGATGCCATGACGTCGTTTGGATTGGCAATGAGCGCTGCTTCGCGGATGAGAGCAGAGTTTTCTGCGAATTGCTCGTCATCTTCACCTTGCCCTAGCTCGCAACCATTCGACTGAGATGGCCCTCGGCCTTGTTGTCTATTCTTCCCTGCGCTGCACCTACCTGTCATATCCCGCAGTGACATACTCAGGAACACCTTCAAACACGGCCAGCGCCATTACGCTCCCGGAATGGCCTTGAACCAGACGCGTTAGAGAAGGTTTCTTCGACCATCCATCACCATGGACGGGGTTGTTCGAGTTCTTGAACCCATCCGAGTCGAAGACGGGACCGGTGTTTTCGTGCGCGCTCCTCCCCCTTGGCGAAACCGCTACCACCCGGCGGTCCGAAGAAGTTTCTCTTCGTGTAGGCGTTGATCATGGACACGGATGGATGTTCGACGGGGACAGAAGACGGCGGTTGGGGCACGTCAATGTGCGCGTCGGTGATATTGCGAAACCGGTGACCTTGCCACCCCCCCTCCCGTGTCTCAACTTCGACAAGTTTCGAAGCAGTGCCGGTTGTTCGCGCCCGCGGGTCAGCGTTTGGTTCCTGCAACAACTTTCGTATCATATATTTGGCTGGACTTTTACCAAACAAGACGATACAGAGCGCGGTCTGTCACCCCCGCGTGGGGCGGAACGCACCTGTCGTCGGCAGGGTACTCGAGCAGCAACAGTACGTTGGTGTTGAGGCCGGTCAATAGCCGCATCCCATCTTTTGACCAGACCAGACTCTTGCAGTGGCTTCCTCTCGGAAGCGGAGGGGACGTTCGGGTCGAACCCGTGCCTGCTGCAGTCAATCATCAGGGTAAGAGAGACCTTACGCAGCGAAAACACTGCTTATCTCTAGGGCAAAATAGGGAGCGATTGCCGAGCAGAGGACGACATGAAGGAGTGCAACAGGCGGGGGCGTGCTGCGCATGCCACTAACAAAGCGATCATGAGATGGGCGGATGCCCGGGCAACAGCGAGTTGCACGTGACACAACGTGACGGAGTACCCTCTTCTCCGGCTTGAATCCACCTCCTGGACTTACCAATCAAACCTACAAACAAAGAACGTCAAACCTCTCTCACCGTGCACTCGCCCCGTCAGGTGAACGTCTCCTGCGACGGCCGCTTCATCCCCCTCTCCCCCTCTCTGGCGGAACTCGGTCGAAAAAAACTCCACCCTTAGCCCAGACTCCACTCCTCCTTCAACTGAGATCCCCAAGCCCGGCCCATCACCGCGCCCCCCTTGGTCCCTTGACCCTCGTCTCGAGTCCCCATTTGCAGAATTCTCTAGGCCCCTCCTCGTGCTGGAGGACTCAAACCCGTCTACGTTTCCACAAGATCCGAACATGTCGACACGGGAGGGCCGGAAGGCGCTATCGCTTCCGTCGGAGGGGTGAGCCACTGTCAGGGTGATCTCCCCTTCGTCTTCTCGCCCCAGAGTGGTCTTTGGCGGCCGTGTTGCAGGGCCGCGGACAGGGGGAGAGCCATAACCATAAGTCACATGAGATTTGGGTAAGCTTTTCGTGATACGCAAGTGGGTTGGACGAGATCAACTCGATTTGTGCATCAGACTGGTGGGTGGTGGACAACAGAAAAGCGATATTCCGACGTTGGAAGCAGGGCGGCTGACACTTGACAAGGGGCCTCAACTCAGACGTAGCTCGGTTACACGCTCGTCGTGACTGTTTGCACGTCAGAGACCAACTGTAGCAGCATATGATGGTTCACGTCAAACTTGTCACAACACCGAGGTGACACGGTGCAGCAAGGGGGACGACGTGACCAACGACAATTCAGAAAGTAGTACATGCACAGACAATGAAAGACGACTTCTGTACGACCATAGCCATCCCAGCTGGCCAGGAGGGTGTACACGCATCGACCGCCTGCTTACCTGATAGTCCATCTCGAACGCATCCACTCCACCCACCCGACCATCCCCCCTAGGGGCTTCATGCCCTATCCGTCGGAGCGTCGGCTCCGAAGGGTCCCGACTTCGAAGGTTCTTCTGCAGCTTGTCCTCCTGACGGTTTCGCCTCGCGTTGATCAGACCGACAAGAGAGGCGTTCGGCGCTATCCCGTAAGTAGTCGTCTTGGAGGCAGAGGTTTCGGAGTGGCTGTCGCTGCCAGAGGGCTTGCCGGTCGCTGAAGCCCGCCGTGTCGAGGAGAGGGGGACCGTTGGGTCGAAGCAGACCGTTGGGTCGAAGAAGAACGCCTGCCACTGAACGACCTCCCCGTTGGTGCCAGCGGATACGACCTTGCCGCTGGGTATGGGAGAGTAGCATTTGGCGCAGCGATAGCCCACACAAACGGAGGTGCGGGAAGTATATCAATGCCAATCACGTCTGAAGTCAGCGACTACTGTGGCTCTAAATTGAAGCCCTCGCCTGATAGGCCCTGATTCTCAACGGAAGGGCAGGCTCTCATCCACGTGGAAGGTGGTTCCGTTTGCCGACAACACGCCTAGGCATACTTGGGGCATGGACCACACCGCAGCCCAGACTTCAAAGCAGAAATTCAGAAATAAAAGTCCGAAAAGGGTATCGATTGACAAGCGTCGATGGGTTAGGTAATATCGGCAACGAAAAAGATAGAATCCCTGATTCCAAACATCCTTGAGGTATTAGATATGGCGAAGCGCAGTGGAAGACCGGCGATCGCTTTCGTCTTCGATGATAGTCACTCTGTTCCGCCTACCTCATAACACCCCGACCAGGCGTGGCGGAGGCGTGTTCGGAACATCTCCAAACTTCAAGCCATTTAGACAACGAAACCCTTGGCTGAGTTGAATACTGCTATCATTTTCTCACGTTTCTCGGTTGAACGCAAGTGCCGAGACGCCTCCCTCGTGACCAGTCAAGGGCCCGGTGTACGAGAAGCGATCGTGCTGCCGCTTTAGCTCCTCGAAAACGTCCGGGTGCAACGGTCTGGCAATGAGGATACGTATGGCGAAATGAGGTGTTACAGTGGCACAGAGGCAGTGGGCACGGCCAGATGTGCTTCCTGTGAGTAACGTAGGGGCCATGATGTGTTATCCTTGGATCACACCAATTGGTGCTCGCCGACTCAGCTGCTGGGTCTTTAGTAGGAGGTCCAGCCGAGGATTGTCGTGACGACTGTGTCTTGAGATAGACCAACCATGTTGGAGGTTGATCAGGTACGTGTAGATAGTGGGTAAGGCAAAGACGCTACCCTTACGAAGGCTCACTTGACCGCCATGTTCTTCTCGAGTGCAAGCACCCGCTCCTTCGCCTTATCACTGAGCACCAGGTCATTCGCCGCCTGAGTTCGATGCGTTGGCGGTATTGAACATCCAACTAGTGGAGCACGATGCAGGAAAAGGATACTTGGATACATATCGTGCTTCGGGATTACGTTTGCGTAGCCACAAAGGCACCTAAGGGAAGGTTGTGGAGGAGCGCTCCTTGGCAGAGTGTTGTTGTGGCTGATGGTGTTGCCTTCACGTTCAAAACTGTTCTGATCTCCGATAAAATCTTCTACGGTTCCAACTAAGAGTTTTCCCCAGAACATCTACTCGAAATCGAAATGATGGCTCACACCAGGCGTGAAGCTGTGACGTACCCGTATGCAGTACAAGTCTAAGTGTTCTTTACTGAACCGAAAGATGCCAGACCAGTCTATTATAGATCCGGTACCCGTGACCGACTGCATGAATGTTTGTGATTGATCGGCTCGAATTCGTCTTACCCACTGTATTTGAAACCAAACAACACGAGCATAAACCACAAATAGTAGCTGACCTCTAACGAGTGTGGGATGTTGTCCACAAGCTCTGCACCCAGGTCCCAGAGCCGCTTGTTCGCCGTCACTTCATGCCCCGGACCGAAAAGCCACCACGGATCAAGGAATATACCCCTCCCCCCCTTCCCCCGTTTCACATCCTTCGCGAACTGCCCGAGCGGGAAAGACGCGCAAGCGAAGATAATCGGTAAGTTCAACTCTCGATGGCATCCGCCACACACACCATATGATTCCCTAATGCTGTGGTATGGGCGAGCCTGAGGGCTGGCCTGTGGAATTCGACGTCTCGAGCATCCAACTCTTTAAAACCAGGTTTTGTGCAGCTGTTCCGAGTTACATGACGCATTTCAAGCATGCATCCATAAAAGGACGGAAGCACTACTGTAATGTGCGTAACGGTTTTGGGACCAAAACGTATTATTTTTTCATCTGGAAGCAAGAGCGGTAGCATGCACAAAGCCTCGATAAGAGTATGCATGCGAAGAGTTGAAGGGTTGTACGCGAGATTTCTCGTTAGATTTTCTCAACAAATTTCTTGTATGTAGATCGCGATTGTGTTTCATTGAACATGCCATGATAAAGGGTTAGGCAGTTCTGCTCGTCGTGCGGCTTGGTATTTCTACTTAGATTTTTCCAGGGAAGGTTAAGGCGGGCATTTGTCCGTCGCCATTATTGAATATGCACACCTCACGAGGAATCAGGCGCACCCCCCGTTGAATGAAAATGTACAGATCGCCGATGGCGGTGCCGAGAACGGCTCTCCCGCTGCTCCGGTCAGACTCTTCTATGCTTTCGATGACCTTGTTGTTCTTTCCCCACGTCTGAAGTGGTGGCGAGTCGTCGATGAACGTCAAGCACGTGAAGTCCTGAAAGACGCCAAAAGCGGCACGTTTAACGAGCAATGTACAGTTGGCAGCGCGAACTCTTTGAGTTAAGCGGGCTATGGCCCGCACGATACTAACAGCTTGGTTGTTACAAACTGGTGACCAAACCAGGGAGGCCATAAGCCTACATAGCACCGCTCGTGCGGCAAACGCAGATCATCTCCTGAACACCTCTCGTTCGAACAAACATCGTTGGCTTTCGTCAAACGTCAGCGTTGGGGGTTGGGGTAGGTTCGACATGATCGGGGGGCGGGTTCTTACCGTGCCAGGAAATGAGGAGTGTGTGAAAAGGGGAAGATAAACCGGATACAGATGTCCCAATTCCACCATTCGTCAGAGTAGAGTGTTGGTTTCGCAAGGAATTGTTCCGGCAGATGAGGCACCCAAGAATCATCTCCAAAACGGAACGACAACGAGAAATTTCCATGTTGTACGCTCACCGCAGTTTTTCCCTTCCCGTTGAGCCTAGCGGAGGAACCGTCCAATATCCACCGTAAGTTTCCCCGTCCCTTGTTGTCCTTTTCCCTCTCTTCCTGAACGCGCTGAGGTAGATTTAGAACCAAGGGGCTACCGTTCAGTGGTACCGCATGAGGTACGTTTCTCCGGCCGCCTCCTACTATTCATTTTCTACCGGCGAATGTGGACGCCTTCCAGAATGTGTATGGGTCATGCCAACCTGGGGTATGTCTGCTCGCACTCCCTCCATACGCGTCGCCTATCGTCCCTACTCTTATCACTCGTCGGTGTAATTTACCCCAGTCCGCGAATCGAACCGCTTCCTACGGTCTGCAGAGGGGGTAAGAGTTGTACTTCATGCTTGAAAACGTTTCGCGCTGCTCCTCTTCCTTTTCGTTTTGCTTAGGACCAAATAATAGACTGTGTAAAGTCGATGCTCGTTATACACCTGTGACGATGTCCATTTAGCGTTGGCCAGAACCGGCGGGATCTCGTCTTTCGATGGCTCCTCCAGCCCTCTCGTCAGCAGCCAGAACTTGCTGTGTCGCACCTGCTCCGTTGTTCAACATGCGGAGAAGAGTCACAAATTGTAGGATCATCAGGTTGTGCGTGTAAGGTACCACCTGTCCTGATGGTTTCCAATCTACCAGTGAAGGCAAATGTTTCACAACGTACCGCCCGTTTCGCCGTCTCGGCGGGAGGAATATATGAGGCAACCATTGGCCTTCCACCTCGACGAATATCGATCTGTGGCCAGAACGGATCTCGAAATTCCCTTGAGCCGGGTCGGTCAGTTGTGACATTTGTATTCGATTCAACATTATCTCGATCCTTTTCAAATGCAGAGTGGACTGCTGAAGTTGGGAAGTCGTGATGAGTGAATGCTGATCAACATATCCAGCCCCAAAGGCGACATTGATAGAACCGCCGGTGCGCAGGGTGTCCACAAGCCTAGTCCCTCTTTCACACCGTGAGTTCAGTCTGTTCCTGCCCAACTATCACCCCCTTCCACCACGAGCTCTTCTCGCGCTCACTAGAAACCTCTGATACATCAGCCCTAGTATCGGGGTCGTGGAAAAGGTGTCTTCTTGCGTTGGTGTTGATGTTGGTTCCCATACTGGCACTTCTTGAGCCTCTCTGACGATTTCCCATTGCGCATCACATACAAATCCCACAGACAGGACACAAACAAACGCGTTCGGGCGACCATAGACTCAACGACGCAAAGACGTGAACCACTTGTTGTGTGCCCATCAGCAAACGTGGAATGCTTGGTGCTCACCCCTATGGAGACCAGGCAGTAGCACGCATCATCGATGTGGAGCGCTTGCCCTGGGATTGGCTTTTTCGATGGCACGCCGTATGACTGAGAGAACGAGGAGGCGTGGCAAATCACGACGTCAGGGCAAAATGGATTTTCACCGTCGTATTTTTTGCAGATTTGATCGACAAAGCCTCGGATTGTGTTTGGTGGGATGGAACATGTCAGGGTTCTTCCACCCATGCAAGCCGATCGCTGTACCCAACCCAACACGAATGTCTGTGGAGGTCAGGACGCATTCATGTTGAGATGGCGACGTATTGACAGCATATTTCGTTGCACGGGTCGGGACGGAAGGCTAGTGCGGATCGATCTGTCGGAAACCCATTATAACACTCTAGTGATCGGGCCAAGACATCTCTCGCTTCGTATGATTCATTTCTACAATGCAAAACGATTGTACACGTAGTTACACCGAACAAGTAGCACGAATGGGTTTCAATTATTCAACCGTCCCTACGTTCCTCTTGCCTGGTATGGGTTGAAGCGAAACGCATGGATCGGCCCCGGCCCTGCCTGCACTTTGGCGATGGCCACCCCTTTTCTCCAGTCCCAGATGTTGGTCGTGCTCTTGCAGTCCGCACCCACCGAGCAGAGCAGCCACCCATCGGGGCTAAAGTCCAAACAGCAGATCTGAACATCGGATCGTGGGGGGTGGTGGCGTTACAATACTGACCTCACATTTGTGCAACTTCGGACAACACCTCTATGTCGGTCTTGGGAGTCCAGAGAGTAGATCCGTCAAAAGGCGGGGGGATCCAAACGTAGTGGTGCATGTAGGCGGCACACCATCGACCATTCACGCGCCTTGCGATGAACACGAATCATTTTTTCGGTTCCGTCTCCGCAAGTTGTCCGACTGTCACTTTCGATATCTGCCCAACCGACGGCTAAACGTTTCAAGACAGCCAGCCGCAGGCGAGAAGGTGAGCTTGCCTTCCGTTCGTGTCCTACTAGCGTCGCTATCATGGCCTTATCCTTTTTCAGCAGCGCACTGCCCTTTGCACACGCAGTCGAGCTGCTCCACACCAGAACGCTGGGCGTACGCCCAACCTGTCATACAAAGGGCGAAACGTGCAGTGCTTTGGAGGCAATAACGACATCCTCTGACACTTTGAGGTTCGTGCTACGCGCGGCTCCCTGGATTCTGTACCGTGAGTACAGTATAGGCATCCCACGTGAACATTTGTTATAACAATATTGACCTAGTGTTTCCCTTCAGCAATCATGAGAGACCTGGGTTTGTGGGTGTCAAGTCTGTCCCCGAAATTGAAGCGGGCCGCACAACACCATGAGAACACATATGAGGGATCTTCGTGTAAAATGTTGCCATACATCGAATACTATGAAGGGTTTGCCCAGTCTGCCATGACCAAACGAACGAGATGGACTTTCCATGTAGGCCAAAGAAAAACGAGGGGGAAAACTCTGAATCCTTGCGGTCATCGATGCAGCGTTAGTGTTTTACCGGCCCCCTGCATCCGTTCACAACCTGCTGGCCGCAGCACGACGTGTTTCTCGTGTCGACAAAAGTGCCCTTGGCAGACGTAGCCCTGGAGCGGCAAAACAGCTCCAAACGTCGTACATAGTCATACATCCTACGGGCTCTGCACATTTCCTCGTGTATGTCGCGTCCCACATCGGTAGGCACGGCCCGGTATGTGCCCGTAGTAACTCAAGAAGGCTACTCGGTCACCTGCCCAGATGCCACAAACACGCCTCCCGGATGAACCGCCACGGCCGTTACATCGTCAGTATGTCCGTCGAAAAACCTTTGCATCATCTCCACGTCCCCGTCCTCCTTGTCCCCTCCCGCATCCTCGCTACTGTCGAATTCCCGTCTTCCCTGTGCTCCTCCCCCCGTTGTATTGTCCTTGCACTCCCCGTCTCGAATAGGGAATTTGTGCATGACGACCAAGGCCGCCGTGGGGTAAACCACCTCGAAATGCGTCTTTGCCTGTTCTTTGGCCGTGCTGCCACTGCCACGATCTCTGCCACCGGTCGGCATGTGGTGTTCCCCAAGAAAGAAGGCGTTGTTGTCAGTGGAGGGGTAAAAACCACCGCCGTGATACCCACGCGCTCGCTCGAGGCGCAGCCTGTGAGGAGGCTCAGAGAGGAGGGGCGACGTCGCCGGTAGATCGTCGAAGGACCCGTCGTCGGCGAAAGAAGGTCGAAACACCGCGCCTCGGCACTCCGGGTACCTGGTGCAATTTCCGTGTGCGGGTTCGGTCATCGTGTAGTTGTGTCGGTTCTTTTTGTTAGGCGGAAAATATACTGAAGAGAGTGTGCCGGTCTAGTCAAAGCCAGCAAGAAGGCGTGCTCGCCTTGGGGTGTCATCCAATCCAGTCAATGTTTAGTTTAGATCCGCTTCTCGTGTATAGCGGGGACATTAGCTGAGAAAGCTTCACGACCACTTGCGGTTTTGTAAGGCAAGGCTTGGTCGAGCAGTACGACGAATGTCCGGCCTTCCTAGGCTGGTGAAACGGCACAGGCCGGCGAACCGAAAGGTTGACAGTATGGACACAAGTCTACATGCCTGACATAGATTTTTCAGTGGAACTCAAGCTAGTGTCACGGTGTTCGTTTGCAGTACGGCCTCTTTGGATAGAACAGCTGGTGCATAAACTTGCAGCCGCTTCGGGAATATGCATTGCTCCAGCAAGTTACTTGAGCCTGTGTTTCTCACGGTCACTCGCAGCTTTGGTGACGGGTTATACATTCATTCCTCGTTGGCGAAGATCGATACTCGACTTGGTCCATCCCAGACCTCGTTTTACCCACAATCCTCATGCGTAGCATCTGCATGAATATCACCCACGTCTTCCCCAACCCCGAAAGCAGGCAACCATGAGTATTCACCTGAAGGCCGCCTCACTTGCTTCTTCCTGATCGTACTGCCTCACGGTGCCTGAGACAAGCTTTGGCGGCCTGAACCTTGGAGGGTCGTTCATCTTTCTAGCCTCTACCACGAGGTGCTGATCGAGACCGGGGATCTTGGCAAAGACTCCCCCCCTTGGAGTCTCCCTGTTGGACAAGCTCAATCGCATCAGGTTCTGTGACATCTACCACCCGGCGAAGAATCAGATGCGATCGGTAATCCCTGCACGCACTCCCGCCTCTTGGGCATTTCGTTTGCCACGTTTACGGTTAAGGTCAGAGGGAGGGTTCGTTGCAGAGCAAGGGTTGACTGTAATATTTCTCGCGGACTGAGGCGCTGATCGCCACAAGGACAAAATAACGCATCTCCGCTTCCCTTCCCACTGTAGGACTCAGTCAACCTAATCTCCATGTCCATATCCAATCGCGTACCCAACTCAGCTCTACTTGCGTGGGGGAGTCTATATCCTTGTCCCTTGAGATCAGGTCCAAGGCAAACGCTTGTATCTACTACGAAGGTCTCAACCCGTCCCTCCTCCGGCCTCTCACCTATCCTCGTCAAGGACGTATTCGTCGCTCGCCTTCCACCGCCTGCTTGAAAACGTGGCTGCTTTTGACCTGTTCTCTTTACTCTCGTCGTCATCATCATCGCCGTCACTTCCACCGCTACCCTCGACACCATCCGCCCTTCCCCCGTTTCGACGCTCGTGGTTTGCACTGACCAGCGGCTGGTCTCGAGGCCGGCTCCTTGGCGACATCGGCCGAGGAAGGTCCGGTTCGTTTCCCGGAGACCGGGTGATGATGGCGAGGTTGCCGCCCCTGCTGCCCCTGCGAGGCGGTGTGCCTCGGCTGATGGGGTTGCTCGTCCTTCTAGGTGGCGTCGGCGAAAAACCCTCCTCCTTTTCCCGCCCCTCCAAGCCTGCGTTGCCGTCATCGTCCTCTTCCGTTCTGGAGGTGACGCCTCCTCTTGTTTCCGTGCGGAGCTGATGACCGTCGTCCTTGCTCTTAGGGAGATCGAGGAGCTCGGCCGTGGCCCTGTCTTGGATTTCCTTGACTACGGAGGCGGGAAGGACGGCACCTGCTGCTGTTGTGATCTGCTTCGGACCAGGCGTATCCTCTTCCATATCCTTGGTTACAGAAGCGGGAAGCGTGGCATCTGCATCCGTCGTGATTTGCTTTGGACCCTGAGTCAAGTATTTCGTCAGGGGTTGGCCTTCCGGGTTGACAATGCTTGCGCCGGTATCGGTAGCTGCAGCGAGTGAAGATTGTGCTACCCCACCGCTCACATGTTCTTTCTTCGAAGCGGCACCAGCGTCGCCGTTGCCACCGCTATCCTCACCAAAACTAGGTTCGGGAGTCAAGGCCGTTTCCTCCGCCTCTCTCAGCCCGCTGATAACCGAAGAGTCGACGCCACCTGAACCACCTTCCGCCTTTGGTGCTGTTACCGCTGTAGACTCCACCGACTTCAATCCCCCGGTGTCAACCGCGTCGATCGTTGACCCCGTAACACTTGCATCCCCATCCGGGGCTGAAGCGGTAGCGCTGTCCCCGACGGAAGGGGCTTCTCCCGGTTCCATAGTTGTTTTCGAAGATGCCGACGATTTCGACTGGTGCATGTTTTGGGTACCGGCGATCACGGTACTCAATGAGGCAGATTTTCCTCATGCACTTGACTTTTGCTGAGCTCTAATGGCGAACGGCACGAGGCAAACGATCGTTCTGCCTTTCTCCCGTACTCAATTATAGCGTAGCTTGAGATGCGCCATCGCGTCCGAGTGAGAGCCTACTAGCTGGGTGGGTCAACCGCTACTTAGATAGCTTATGGCGATGTACTTCTTTAGCTGCTTTCAAGCGCCATGCGCCTTATCAGCTTAACATCGGATAATTTAATAACGGTGGTGCACGTTCTGGGGCCTTGGACTTGTTTCACGAGCCAGTTTTCTATGCATCAATCACCTTCGGTCATGCCCAACTCACCTTTCTTGAGGCCGACGACCGCCGTCGCCCCTTCTTCTCACGGTCCTTTTCGTCCTCTTTCTTCGCCTTCGAACCGCGTCGTTCTGTCTTGTCTTCGCGAGAACCTTGTTCTCCACTACCTATTGTCGTTGCTGACCTTATTTCATCCACCTCTTGGCCACCTGGGTCACTTGTGTGGTGTTCAGGCTCGTGTTTGGAGTGGCGGCGTCCTTTCTTGGCGCCACTGGGCTTTGACTTTCTTGCACTAGCCTCTCCCTCTTGCCCCCCTAGATCATTTGGGTTTTCTCCTATTGCGTCGTTCGGCCCGTCGATGCTCCTCCTGGTGCGGTCTTTCTTCTTCTCTGCGGGTTTTGGCTTCGACTCTGATTTTCTTCCTGCGTCCCCAACCCTCTCCTCTTCTGCTTGATCCGTCCGTTTCTTCTTGCTTCCGTCGGAGATGCTGGAGCTGCGTTTCTTTTTCCGGCTTGAGCTTGATTTTGCTTTGGACCCCTCTTCACCAACCTTGGTGGGCTTTCCTTCTGAAATAGATGACTCTGTCTCCTCTTGTTTCTTCGAACGGCTAGACGCTGACTTGGATGTACCAGTATCACCGAATTCCTCTGGTGTCTCGCCTTTCTCGCCTCCAAGGATGTTCCTGCTGCTGCTGCTGCTGCGACGCTTCTTCTTCTTTGAGCTAGACTTCTTGTCGACCTCCTCCTCCCCTTTTTTCTCCTCCTCCCTTTCGCCTGTCTCTCGCTCGGAGACCTTGGTCTTCTTCGATTTGTGCTTCCGATTATCACTTTCCTCCTCGTTGCTGACTGTCTCCAATTTGTTGTCCGCTTGATTACTTCTGCGGTCTTTCTTCGAGCTACTCACTGCTGGATTCTCCTCGATACTCTCCTCCGCGATTGCTTTAACGCTGCTGCGTTTTTTCTTCTTGGTGGAGGCTGCAGATTTAGATGTAGATGCCCTTTGTTCCTTTCCAGCAGCAACTTCTTTGTCTGCGTCTACCGGGTCACTGCTGTCCTTTTCACCTTTTCCCCTTTCGGTCATCGACGGGCGGGAGGGTTCTTGCTGCCCCGTAAGAACTGAGCGTCTGGGGCGGGCGGATGGCAGAGAACTGTTGTGCCGCGAGATAGTATGTGCCCCTCGGCAGCACCGTGTCCTCTCGTAAGAAACAGTAGTGTGCTGGCCGCGATGATTGGTTGCCCCCCAAGGTGGCGAGTGATAAATGAAAAGGCGACAGGCGCGAGGGTTGGCAGGATGCAGGAGATCACCCCTGCGCGTCGAAGGGGCACCTGTCTCGCCGCGTTCCGCCGCGTTTTCTGATCCCACATCCCGTTCGACTGTGGGTATATCTCGAATGGGTAGTCTTTCTGTGTATGTTTTTATTATTCCTTAATCCCGTGTACCTTTGTAAAGAAGTTATCCAACTTTGATGGCAGACAGCAGTAGCACATGTATAATAGATAATAGGCACGAAGGAAGACGGGGTTCTTCTGTGTGCCACGGGTCGGAACCTTTCGGTTAGAGCAGTGAGGTCGTATATGTAGGGTACCACATCAAGAAGAAATTCCTGCTGAGTATCTCTGCAAGAATGTACAGAGGTGACAACGCGCCACCAAGTCTAGATCCTGTTCCAAACCCAGCATGGCTGTATGTGGTACAACCGCTAGCTGCGGTTTGCCTCAGCTCTCTCCTCTCTCACATCGCACGAAGCCGGTTTTGGGGGACACCTTGCTTTCTTGTTCTCTAGTCTTCCCGCGTCGGGAACGAAACTGCTGTAGCTACAAAAATCAAACAGTGTGCTACGGTTGACGGCAGTAAGGGGGTATTTTTATTTTGGGCCCTTTTCTTTTCGTCGAGAACGCATGAGCTCAAAGGGTGCCCAGTTCAGTGCCCAGCTGCACCTGCCTGCATCGAAGTTTGCTCAACAATGGTGCAGCCGCAGCGGACTTGGAAGTGAGGTGCTCGGGGTTGCCACAACTGAGTAGTCGGCCGGGCACCTACCGGAAGACACTTGGAGGACATGGTAACTATTGTAGCTGTTCGAGGTGCTATCACCTATCCAACGTCCCTCCTCGCGCCTCTCCCCCTCTCTCTCCGCAGTGATGGGCTTTTTCCCCCAGACGCGGCCCACCGCTTGCCAGAGCAAAACCCTCCGCCACATGAGTGTCCAAATGCCTCAGGTGCTTATCTTGCACAACAGTGTGATGATGCACAAACTGGTTCGGCGAGACCCCAAGCGATATCTTTGCGATATGTAGCATATTTAGCGGTTGCTTGGTGGAACTTAAAGGCCATGCTGAATTCAACACGGCCAGTCGATACCGTCGACAACGGCCGACGGTCTGTTTTATTGCAAGACATCTTCAACGTGCCATCAACAGCCTCTTTTTTTTGGGGACGGTTGTATCCGAAACGAGAGACACCGAACTTACAATATTTAAAAACAGCACACATGGTGTATGTGCAACGCGCGTTGCGACACTTATGCACTCTCGACATTCGAAGCCGTCAAGTCGAACAACTGCTACAAGCCAGGGCGGCATGCGGCCAGGCTACCCCTGTGGTCAACAAATTCTGCCTCCTACGATAACTGTACTTCGTCCCGAACGTCGCGGTCCTAGCGACAATGGCGACGATCCACCCGGGTAAGCGCCAGGACTATTGCACTCTCCTCGTCATGGAACAAGTCGTCCGAAATCATGTTGGCGTACTTAGTCAGGTCTTAGGTCGTTGGCAAGTCCACTGCATCAAAAATGGCAACAAGTCACCAATCACGGTGCTGCAAAAATCTTTACAGGGAAGCGGAGGTCATCTTGCCACCCCGTCCCCTTCCTCTTCCGCGGCATTCCCCATCGCGTCCCCCTGTCTTTCTCCCACCACATCCATACCGCTAAAACTCGACACGACTCCTTCCACCCCCGTGACCGTCGCCGATGAACTATCCGCGTCGCCCCCCCCAGCCATGGCTGCCTTCGCGTACGCACCCTTGAGGTCGTTGGACAAGGCCTCTAGCTCTTTCTCGAGCTCTTCTCGCTCGCTAGCGATCTTGGCCAAGGCTTGGTCCACCTCAAGGTCCATGGCCGCTTCGTCCTATTCACTCGTATACCGACGTACAGGTCGGAGGGGAGGAGCGAGGGAAGAGCCACGTGGGATATTGTATGAGTTGAAGCGATTTGGAAGGGCTGCCGAGAGCACGGGGGGGTTCAAACGGTCGTGTTCCAGAACAGCATGGTACTCGCAAGTCGGAAGAGAGCTAGGGGAAAGGGGGACATAAGAATGCAGTGACGCGGCATCGCACGCTGTATATTCCTGCTGCTTTGCCTTGGCTAGGGGAAAGCGGTGGCACACGTACATTATATGCCTCGCTGCCGTGGTTCTGAGGATGGAGTGCTTGTGTTGGTGTTGGTAATCCTCCTGTTGTTACATAGTGTTGTCACTTGTTGTGGTGCTCGTAATGAATGTGCTGATCACGCATTACCTCCAGAATACCCTAGCAGAGACTACAATACCCTACATGGCTGTCGCCACTGATGGTCGATCGACCATGTCCGTTTCTCGCCGCCAAAAAACTGTTGCTACTCCCGTTCACTCTTTCAACATGATTGCAATTCTCGAGCACACTGCGGCGTAAAGCCGGCCAACGTCCTAGGCCGAGAACCTAGTTTCTGAGATGCTCAGCTCATGACAATCTACACTCTTACTATTGTCGTCGTTACCATTGTCCTTGCCAGCAAAACGCACAACGTTCTAGCAACGTCATCAGCGTGATGTTTCTATTCAGCGCCATCTTGTGTATCGTGTGACCTTCAATTCAACCCTCCCAAGAACCATCCTCCAAATAGGTCAGGCCCAAAGCAGCGACATCTACGAGATAAATCTCGCCGATGGCCTTTTCGATATCGTTCCACCACTCTCAGGAAGCTTGCAACCTCGGATGGGGACAGAACGTTAGATTGGTCGAAGACTCTTGTATAAAAGGGTTACTGGCGTGGCACGAAAGATAACCCCTCGCTGCCGCGGTCTACATACGCAGCCACAACCACCCCGGAGGAGGCCGTCCTGTATGGTAACAGCCAGCCACGGTGTCATACCTGCAGCATGACGGCGAGCTTTAGCTCCCGTATCTGGCGAAGAAGTCCCTCGCCGGCCGTCGCAAGACTTGCCGTCGCCACATTGACCTGTGCAGCAGTAAAGCGGGTGCGCACCACGGCTTGGGTCAATTCGATGCATAATGCGCGCCTTTGGGGTGTTTAGATGGACCCAGGTAACCGTAGCACAGCTATGCATACGTCAGCGTTTTACACACCAAGAAAAGGATGCAAGGGGGGCAGGGGGGAGAGCCGATACAGGTCGCATGTGTTTCTCGTTGCGTAACCTACTAAAACAAAGTTGAGTTGCTGCGAACCATGATCAACACCTAAACACGACCACACACGTCAACAAAGCCCGAACATGTCATACTCGCAGAGCATGATTTCCCTTACGCAAACTTCAGTGCATCCTTTTCATCCCTCCATTGTTGTAAAATAAAGGTGTTATTGTTCTGCTGTAGGGGGGGAAGTTTTGGCATGTTTCTGTTTCATGCACGGCACAGCATTATTCCACAATCGAGCCACTCTCTTGCCTACGGGGACACACTGTTGAAATCCGCGCGCTCTTGTTCGGCCGAATCGATCGCCACTAGGCTGAAAACAGAGAGCAACCCAACTTCGAACAAAACGACCGTCATGTGCCGGAGCCGCTCTTTCCACATGCACGCCATTTTCGAGCCCGGTGTATGCTGAATACATACGGAATTACAGGTGAGCCACCAGGGAAATATAATTGATATTCAAGGTAGATCCGTGGGCAGCACACAGATACAAAACGGTTTCAATAAGGTGGTGCCCATCACTACTGAGGTAGCTGCATGACCGCTACGCCCCGCCCACCACATCGCTGACGCTTTCCCTGAAGACATATCACGAATCGTCGAGTCCGCAAACACACGACCTCCGACTTCACCTGAAACTCTTCTCGTTCGGTGCTCTGTGGATTGGTGATCTTCGCCAACCTAACGAGCCCTCCGAAGCTTTCCACCAATGTTCTTGTGTGCGCATCCAGCTTGGTATGCAAATATGCGGGTATACAAAGGGGGGGGAAATTTGGTTTACAACACAGGTAGGAGTAGCGGGCCATTCGGCATGCAACGCGATGGTGGTTGCACGGAAGGTGCTCGCAACGTGTGCCGGTGGGATTGGCATGCATCACGGCAGATGGTGTTGGTAGCTCGTACAGCAGAGCCGGTATGCCCGTATATGAGTCATTGACGATGGAGTCTGGTTGATGGCTTACATTAAATAGATCCTTAGAACAAGAGGCAGGACAGACATAGAGGGAAGAGAGTGCCCCGCACAGACGCGTCCTGGGGGCACCGAAACTCATCTATGTCCACCATAGTGGGTCCCTTCATCCTTCATCTACGGGACGTGAAACCGTCTGCAAAATACTTGCGACTACATGTACACAAAACAACACCCTGGTTCCTTACGCTACTTTAGTAGTTTACCACCGTGCGTTGCACAAAGTCCTCGAATCCTACCAAGAAAAACAAACGTGTGTTGCAAGCGAAAACCCGGCATCCAACCCCAAAACCCTACAAAAGCAATGATTCCGTCACTACTGCAAAAGAAAGCACTGTCATTGGCATCTCCATTATACCGGGACAGACGCCTACATCCATTTTCGTGCCGAATTTGAATTCGTTTGCAGACCCGATTTTACTGCCCAGAAAGGTAACATCCGCGACAATTCCATCTAATCCCACAAGTCCGGACAACCACGCTCAGCTACTGCTGTAGCTAACTGCGTGCATCTCCACATGTCCGGGGGAAACCTCATAAAGCAAATGACGTGAGCTGAAACACAGCAACAAGTATCGGACATGTGCGCTTCCTTGTCCCAACAATCATTCCATTCATCGCACGACAATGATTACGGCAATGCCAATACCAACCGCAACCAGAGCTGGGGGGGGTGCCGAGAAACGACAGCCCGTCCGGTGCTTCCGATGCGGCAAGAAGGGACACCGGATTGCCGACTGTCACAGCAAAAGGAAGGCAGCATCACTAGGTGCGAGGCCTGCACGGGATTCGGTCAAAGGAAAGAGCCTGTGCCGGAAACCATGCAGGGAAGGATCCGTGAGGGTGAGCTCTCTGCAAAACTTGGAGGTGCCGCGAATGTTGCGCATTGCGTTTTCCAACTCGCGGTGGTCCGTTTTGACGTTTACCTTGTACCGCTGGCTCTTTGCTCTGGCGCCTGCTTACAGCACCACGACTTCGTTCAGCTGCACGGTGGGCACGTTCAGACCATACCTGTCGGCGGAAGTCCACCGCTCGCTGGTTGACAGCAGGGGTAGCCCCACTGCTGCTCCCGCCTGCTCTAGATGCTGCCGTCGACATCGGCTACTGCTGCTGTATGCTTTTGCTTCTGTTGCCTTGTTGGTTTCAAACCAGGCCTGCACGCATGAAGATCAGCTTGATCTCAGGACGAGTCAATGGCCCAGCTGCACCAAGGACTACACACAAACTGAATTCACACTGGTCAGGTAGGGACGTGCTGGAGGCTGAGAAAGCGGGCCTGCTGAGTGGCAGTCTCCTTGCAGCTGAGTGTGAGTAGAGCCAGCAATGTCTGGGGTCCAACAACTGGGATTCAGCGGGGAAGGGGGGGTGCCTCGGCCGTTTCACAGTCCTGTGGGGTGTCGATGCGACAACTCGGCGCATGTCTTCCCAAGAATCTTTCAAACGCCGGGCTCTCTGTAATGAGCAGAATCGCATGCACGGAAAACTTGGCAAAAGCGCCACACCGCGTTGATGGACGCCCATACGACACCGGAGTGCGTGCGGAGCCGTGTGCTTGCTTCCTCGCTCCGTCACCGGGCAATCGTCGGTATACTACGTGGACGTCGTAGCGAACTGCACCGCGGCGGAGCCCTACCTAGCTGGGGACCGCTATACAATCGAGAGTATCGAGCACACATGCCGTAATGCGGCTCGGATCCATTGCTCGAAAACCGGGCAATGCAACATTGCCTCACTCTACTGATGCAGGCAGCGGCACCAGCAACAGATGGGCCCGGACGCAGCGTCCGCGCGGAGTCGGGAAGTCTGATCCCAACAGCTCCCGTAACTCATCTAGCAGAGTTCGGGGGCGAACAGGTCAGCTCACAAGTGACTCTATTGCCGAAGCCAGTGCCAAGAAGCTCCACGATACATTGCTCCAAGCTGAAGCAGAACAAACGGCAAACTGGGTACGAACACAGCACGAGGTACGACAGTGGAGGGGACGGGTCGGTGGGATGCTGTGTACACTTTACATGTTGTACAATAGTATCTTGAGAGAAATTCCACATCCATCCCGTATATTTCTTTTGTGTTGTCGTGGCACCGACCGCGCTGACAGGCTTACCAGCGTCAAGACGAAATGAAGCATTGTACATCTAAAGGGATAAGAATAGGCCAACGTGTTTTTAGTAATCGGGTTACGGAGGTAGGGGGGCTGCCGGGGAGGTAGGACGACAGGTTGGGAGAAGACTCGCGTGACCTCTTACGTTTATCTGCTCTTGTGCTACAAGTAGCATGACTATATCTCTGTATGGGTTTTTACTCTCTACCCGCACTCCCCTCTCTGGTCCATTGGGGCTTGCCACGAAATAGTCTAGCTTCAGGACATTCGTCCATGCAATTCTCTCTCCATGCCTCTCCAACTACCATTTCTCTGATGGGCTGTTCTTCCTCCGATACTGCATGGGTGTGTATCCCGTTAAACCAGTCTATCCAACACAACAAGCCTTTACACACAGACTCCTTCACCACGAACGTATGCCCTGCGCTCTTCCGGCCCCTTGCATCAGGCGATCAACCACGACCTTGCTCTCACGGCAACACGCCTGGACGGTGCCGACAAGCTCCTGAGCAAGTCACCAGCTACTTCTCTCCGGCACCCGACTGCTCTCGCAACCACGACGGCTGGTATCGACAAGGCAGGGGAGGACGGTCTGGCAAACACTTGGCCAACCGCTCGTCCTTCCAGTATTAGGGTCGACGGGCAGAGAGCCCTCCTCTCCAGGACGACGCCTTCCCACCAAAAGAAGGTCGCCAGGCCTTCTGCTGCGAGGTTGCCGCGCGACAAGGTATTCGAACGGAGTATAAGAAAGTTGCTTTCGTTCTCGGGTCCCGTGACTGCCGTTCTATTCCGATGACCGATCATTGAGCCAAACCAAGGAGCATGAAGGACAGGTCCTCACAGTCAGCGTGAAGATCACGACCCCGACTTTGTGTGAAACACACAGGTTTAGGTGCTGCCGGCTCCGGTATCTTGCGACAGTAACCACTGTTTCTATTTCTACGGGCAACGACTGCGGCGGGAGTAAGCCCAAGCGGTATTAGCAAGGTGGAAGCGGCCATAACACTCCAGAATTGTATGGTTGTGGCATTTAGTTCGAGTAATATCTTGAATGCGGTAACTCTTGTGTTATTCTTACGCATAATTTCTGACGGAGATTCTGTCCGGGTTTCACAATGTTTACTCTGCAGGAACCTGGCGCACGGCGAATGGGATCGCTGGAAAACTTTCTTCAGCGAGCGCGAACTGCGATGGAATCGCAGGGAATGCACTCCGACACGCTCAGGGAGTTCCTGTTGCCTTCTTCCGCGGCCGACCCCTCGGTATGTGCTGCTGCGATTCAATTGGTCAAAGCATCGGCAACAACAACAACAACAACAACAACAACAGCAACAACAACAACAACAACAACAACAACAACAACAACAACAACAACAACAACAACAACAACAACAACAACAACAACAACAACAACAACAACAACAACAACAACAACAACAACAACAACAGCAAACAACAACAGCAAACAACCGCGGGTGGGGGGAAGCCGAAGAGAATTTCGACAACAGTCCCAAGAGTGCCGGAAATCTAAAGCAGTGGAAACGTCGTCCGCAGTCTTAGATATGTGGAGCATGAACCGGCCAATCGCGGAGGTTGGTGGTGTTGTGTGCTTTGTGCTGGGAGCGTTTCCCAACCCGAAAGTAGTCAACCCAGGGGTTCGACGCGTGCGGGAGTGTTTTCTTTACAAGTCTCACTTAAAATTCTCGCTTTCAGTCCCTGAAAGAAGGCCTGTTCTGAGCCCACATCCGGTGGACCTTGGTGCGAACCACCGCATCTCGCGTTAGAGAGTACTCGATAGGTTTTGAACCTCGTTGTCCTTCATGAGAGGCAGAAGGGTTCGAAGAGTTCCTGGTGCCAAGGAAACATGTCTCGCAATAACGGTTGACGAGTTTCTCAGCCCCGACGGTCGAGCCGCCGCCCGCTTCCAATAACCAAGGCTTCCCAATTCCAAGACAGCGCTTTTTTCACTTCGTTCATGGCTGCTGTTGACTTGGTCGTCGCCATCGTATTTTCTCGTGCAGCAGCTTGTCCAGAAAACAGTTGTCCTAACCTCCACCCAATGCGCTTAGGCATGGCTTCGTTCGGAACTATGACGAACGTTTCTCCGTGGTCCTTCCTACATACGTTTTCTTCTGTGTGCTCTTCCATCGACACGTAAGCAGCAGGAGACGTCTACCAACATGGTCCGGAGCTGGGAGGTGTTCAAAGTCCTGACGCTAGACCTAGGGCTGCAGCTCTCCGAAGTCGACAAACAGGTTGGTTCAGTGCCGATAGAAAAGGGTATCACAGTACGCTGTCCCAGGCGTTTTCTTCTGCTGGAGAGATGTCCGCTCGCGGCCACGGGAAACCGCTGCTTTCCGATCACCACGCCAGCCGGTACTAGGCCGTGTTTGCCTTCCTTGGAAATGTGTTAAAGGACGTTTTTGCCGCAAAGTCAACGTTTCTACCTGTGCCTGACTCTCGGCGACGCTCCGCAGCTGATATCGGCGCGGTTTGGAGACGGGGAGGACGGCGGCAAGGTAGACGCGGATGCCCTGCTGGCAGCTATTGCTCTTGATCATCCCGAGACGGGCGGTAATGCCGTCTCCCCAGCAGCAACCTCGCCCTCGACAACAGTCCCTCCTAAGACTGGCGGAACGTCGACGCTCGAACACAACCACGACGCCGACCATAGCCACAAACGCCGCCTCCACCGAAACGAAGGGGTGCCGGCGGCAGCAAGTGAAGTGACTACACGCAGCTGGGCCGGCGGCAGGGCTGACGAGGACGAATCGAGGGTAGACGCAGGTGTTCCAACGAGGAGGGATCAAAGCCTTCACGATTCGGAGCTGTCCTCGGGTCAGGTCTTGGGAGGCCCCGAGGGAGGCGATCCGACGGATCAAGCTCCCCCGGCCTACGAAGATTTGGTGATGCAATCTCCTAGAATCGAGGGCAAAGGTCCGGCGGGAGCGGTGGCAACGATAGAAGAGATCGCTCTACGAGCGGAACGGAAATACTCAGGAGATTCTTTGAACGATTGGGACGATAGCAGAACTAGAGGTCGAAGCGGGAACGCTGCGGGAAGCAATGATGGCACCCGTGATGAGGCCGCCGCCGGCGCCGCCGCCGCGAGGGAGGCCGCTGCGCTCCAAGAGGAAAACGCCAAGCTTCGGTCGGAGCTGGAAGTGTTCGACCTCGGCTTTTTCGAGGAAGTCGAAGACCTCAAGTACAGCTACGCGTCGCTCCGGAGGGAGGCCGACAAGCTGGCCAGGAAGCAAGGCATCCCAAGCCTGTCCAAGTCGTTGGACTTGCCTGAGGAGGGGGAGGAGCCGTGGGATCGATCTGTGGACATGGCCCATCACACGGTGGACTGGGCAGAGACGGCCAAGAATCAGAGGACTGCCGCGGGGAGAGGCGGCAGCAGCCCCAGCTCGCCCCCCCGAGGAACCCACGCCGCTCGTCTGGCCAGACGATGGGACTTACTTTCGTCCGGCGTCGCCGCCGATGTAGAAGAAGTGGGGTTCCCCGTCGGATCACCCACCCGGGGGCACGGAGGAACCATCCCCGGGCGTGTAAGCGCTGCCCCAGGGGGGGGGAGGTATCGCGGTGGTGGGATTGGAGGGAAGGGCGAGGCGTTTGCCGTGACCCCGCACCCGCAGCGCGGGTTGATAGCCGCGCATGAGCGGAAGCTGGCGTGGGAGATCTCTTGCGGTGGCATGGGATCTCTGGCGCGTCTAAGGGAGAACACCGGGCGGGTAGGCCCCGCAACGGCGGTGGCCGCAGGAGACGGCTTCTGGTCCGACGAACAGGTATTCCTCGCGCTTCGGAACTCCGGGTACGCGCTCGAGCTGGAAGACGTCGCCGTTCTGAGGACCGGTCTGGGGAGCGACGCCAAGGGCCGGGTGGACGTCGAGGAGTTCGTGGGCATGTGCGAAGACGTAGCTTCGGTGGAAGAGTGGTACCTGCCACCTCGTTCTGCAGTGGTGGCAATCGTCGCGGGCAGGGCGAACGCGAGGTCCCCGGCAAAAAGAAGCGGCGGCGGCGGCGGCGGCGCGTTTTCGAGCGGTTCACTGCCTTTTGGCATGCTCTTGCGAGAGCTAGGAGATGAGGTGCTGGGGGAGAGACGAGCTGGAGGAGGAGACGGGTTCGGCGCACCGGAACAAAACGCAAGAGGCGGAGGACTTCCGTCTTCGACCAACGGGGTGATATCCTTCCCTGTCTCTGCTGGCCAGGTGCCACACGAGACGCTCTATCTGGGGGGAACCGTCTACGGGGAAAGAACGTTCCTGGAACCTTCCAAAACCGTCGAAAGCGTCCTGGCAGAGCTGAAAGACCAGCTGTCGCTGCTCGACATTGATCACCTCATTCCGGCGCGGGATCACGGAGCACGTGGTACTGGAAGCGGTGAGGGTGCTGTTACCACGCTCGGGAAAGCCGTCGGTGCCAGGTTCAGCAGACGAGACCCGACGCAATCCGGACTCTTGAGTGCGAGGGAGGTAGGCCTTGCGCTGGAGGACGTTGGGGTGCGCCTTCAGGCCGACGAGGTCATCACCCTCGCGAAAAGTTTCAAGCCTCCTGTAGGGGGCCCACAAGAAAATCGGGGAAACGGAAGTGATCTTTCGAGGGGCAGAGAGGGTTACGCCTCTGATGCTGCGACTGCCATTGATCTCGATGGCGGTGGGCTTGACGGCGTGGTCGCGGAATATGCGCCGCTTGTTCGGCTGGTCGTGGATTCCCTCGCGGAAGCTAGCGGGGTAGATCCCGCTGTCGGGGGACGGGTCAGGCTGGGGCAGAAGAAAGCGAAGTGGAACGAGCGGATGCCAGCGCCGGCAAAGCGTCTAAGATCTGCCCTTACAGCGGGGAAGGGGAGAGGTGGGCTGGAACGGCTCCGGCAGAGGTAGGCGCCATCCCTGTGTTGTAGGTGCCGATGTTCATGCTGTGGGATCGGTGACACTCAGGCGGGAAGTCTTGCTTTCCTCTAGTGCTGTCGTCGTCGGCGCGCCATTGTTGTACATTTGGGGTCTTGACCTCGCCGCATTTCGACACAATAGCCGCTTTTCGCGGTCACAGGAAGCGTTTTTCCTGCCAGGGGCCGCTTTCGTCTCAAAAGCTAACCTCACCGGTCATCTCACCCCACCCTCTCCCACCTCCTGCGACCAAAAAAAGGTTCCGAGATTTCGACATCGACGGTGACGGGTGCCTAGGCAGGCGGGAGTTCATGCGGGCCCTTAACCTCGCGCTGGCGTGCGAAACCGGGGATGATAGTGACCCATCCCCTTACTTCACGGTGGGAGGCGTGCTGTCGGAGCAGGAGGCTGCGGAGCTCATGGACCGTCTCGACAGAGATCGGGATGGCAGGGTGTCCTGGGAAGGATTTGTAAAGTATTTCGCTGACGCGGTACACGGGGAGGAGGGCGGGGGTCGTGGTGGTGGGCATCCTGAGTCTTGGTTCCAGCTGGAGGTGGACATCGCGGAGAAACTCCTCCAACAAATGGAAGCCCAGGGAGGGTCTACAGCGAGAAGGGCATGGGTTAATAGCCTCAGACGGCGGTTTCAGACGGCTGACATCCACGAAACTGGGACCCTAAACAGGTGCTGCACATACAATACCCTACAATACTTTCCATCCCCCAGACCATTGCAGGGGGGAGCCGGGTCTCACGCCCCACACCCCGCCGTTCGCCCCGAATGTCCGTTGGTCCCTCTTACCACTCCGTCTTACCATCCTTTCCTTCCTGTTCCCTTCCTTCCCGCCATTCCCTATTTTCTACGTGTCGTTCTTCACACCCCCCCTTTATCTCGGACTGTTTGTTTTCGGGGTCCGGCTCGTGACCTACGTTGCTGCCGGGCTCAGGGATGAGTTTTTCCGGTGCCTAAGGAGCATGCACGTTTCGCTTTCCGCAAGAGAAGGCGAAAGGCTGTTCCTGTCCCTGCTGCCGACAACAACAGACCCCATGCGAGGCGCGAGATACCCCGAGCTGGTCAACTTTTTGCGTGGCAAGAACGCTATGTGGTACGACGTCGAGAGCGACATCGCCGACAAGGTGAGCTCACGTTCTTGTTGATGTGATCGTCTTTCGTGTTCTGGTTTGAGCCTCCTACCGAACGTTTTGGACTGATCAAAACAGCTTCTACGGCCACAAAGGTTCCAGGTGGAAACGCCGCGCATTTGCGCAAGTTAAAATTGAAATTTCCAAACGTCCGAGTGCAGTTTTCACGTAGGTGTCCAGTGCCAAAAGCCGTCAAAGCCATCAATCAGTGACAGTGCTCTCGCCCCGTTGGAGCAATCGTCCGAGGAGCGTGAATGCGTTGTGGCCCTAACGCAAGGCTGCTTGCATCAACAGTGTCATTGGTTCGCCCCACTCAACCCTTCTCTTCTCGTTGTGCCGCATCTACTGTATGTAGATCCTCACAGCCATGGGACCGGACGGCCCCTCTCGTCGAGCATGGCTCAACCGAATACGGAGGCGTTTTATGAGCCTGGATGCCTTTCGGGCCGGGGTGCTAGGGGCGTCTGATCTTCTCCAGGTGGCACACCCCAATACAAGATATTGATTCCCCGTGATACCACTGTGGTGCTGTTACCTGTGTCTTGTGCGGGATGCTAGTTTTACGTCAAGGCCCCTGCCGCGTCTCTGACCATGCACGATACAACGTTGCTACTCTTTCCTTGCCCGCCGAGGCTGCATGATCGATAACTAGTAGAAAAATGTCGTACACGCTTCTCACAACTCACAATCTAGTCTACGTCATTGCCGGGGTATGTTCCCACCTTCGTGTAGGCCCCTCTCCACCGGTTTCTGAAATCCCGCCAGACGAGGTTGGAGCCAAGCCGTTCACGTAGCCATTGTGACATATGAGGCACAATATTCCCGCTGTGTGGACTGTAATGTGATTCGACGGCCTTATCTCTGGCGACCTGTGCACCGGTTGAAGGCTCTCAAGGACGGAGGGTGCTACCTGGGGCTAGAAGAGGAGGCACGGCTTCTCGACGCCTTGGAGACGGAAGAGTCCGCCAGGTAGAGACTTCCGATGAGAGTTGTTTTGTACGGGGCGATGCCAAACATTCGCAAACCTTCTGTGGAGAATAGATCCCTTGGGGGATCTCATGGAGGTAACACACGGTAGAGCCCTAGGAGGGGGGCTCCAGAAGGGTGGATGAAGGCTACATTCCAACCGCTGTAATTGCTGGGTGTTCTTGAACTAAGGTAATTCTTTCGCTTACCGTGGCAAGAGAGGTTTACAAATGCTTCAATGCCACGGTACTGTTTTCATGTTGCCCGCGTATCGAAATGCCGAGGCGCTACCTCGCTCTTTCTTCTCTTAAATCCACTTCCTGCAGTTGGACGCCGTTGAAAATTGGCCTTTTCTCTCTTGGCTTGCACTTTCTGTGGCAACAACAACAACATACCTGCCGATGTTATCCTTACTCCCCATTCTGTGCAATGCTTCCCTCAACTTTTGTTTTGGTGTTGGAGGGGCGGGGGCTACAACTCGGCGTGATTACAGTACCCCCTTGCTGCTCCATTCTCACCGATGGACCCTTTTGTCACTCATCAGTGTAGCTTTCATGTTTCTTCACAATAACACAAGCGGTTGTGCGGAAATAACGGTCCATTGATTGAGCAGGTTCGACACTGAAGGGGGGGTGTCGTACCGAGAGCTGCTGCTGTTCTGCGCGAGGCACGCCGGGAAGTGGAGCGAAGGCCAACCCCTGCTGGCCGAGAGGCTACGGGAAGCGCTAAGGAGTCAGGTAGCTGCTGGTGTCGCGCACAGCATTCTCTGGACATGCACACGCCACGCTTGTTTTTGTTTTTCTGTGGTCAACATCGCTAGACATTCGAAGGAATGAATATAGTGTTGAGAGGGTCATGCTGTACTGGAAAGTGATGCTTTCGGCGTAGATAGTGGGTATAAATATTCAGGATGGTGTGTTCCAGCACATCGTACTTTCTACAGCGTTTGACGACCAACCCCTCGGTGAGATAATGCACCCAGGCAAGAATGCGTATACTTGGAGACTTCGCTTGATCGTACAGTTTAGGATGGAAGGCAAAACAAATCCGAGACAAACATTTACCCAAACACTAAATGTTCAGCGTCCCCTCGTCGTTCACCCTACCCGCATGGTGCGCCACCCGACCCGACGTGATTGCAACAAACACTGCTATACACGCCAAAGGCGAAAACGACAGCCGACGTGCGGAGGCTTTTTCGGAGGCTGGACGATGACGGCGACGGTTTCATCGACCGCAAGGACTTCAAGGTGACGGCAGTATTAAGTGCTTCTTCGTACCAGACTAAGTATACAAGGCTGCTGATCTCACATGCGCTGGTTGGTGCTTGCGTTGACATGTGATCCTAACGGGGCATGATAACGGCTGGAATAATCTTGCCGTACTATTGAGGTATTCTGGGCACGCCCGGCTTGTTTGAAGTGGGAGGGCGATCTCATGCGGATCGATTTTTCAATAGGGCGCCTACTAATGTGGCTCGCAACAGCTTCAAGGATAGTGGCGACTGGGAACTGTTGATTCTGAGGATATTCAGGGTTCGGGGGCAGTAGACGTACAGTATGTGGGTGTTGGTACAGGAACCGTTCCCCCCTACTCATGGGTACTCGTTGGAAAGGCCAAATCGAATATTCGCCTCCGAAAGAGCCGTGTTGGACGTCGATCATTGGGCTGACAACCACCTGCCCCACATGCGCCTAATTCTTTCATGCCGCTGTTGCCGCTGGAGCACAACAGATCGGACTCCACAGCTTAGGTTTGGGGTTCGTCACCAGGGATGAGCAAGAGGTGGGTCGTACAGACCGAGACGAAGTTTGGGGGGAGGAAGAACGAACAACAACAGCGGAGAGAGGGAGGTGCATAATCGACTACTGTGGTGTCGATATCCAAGCTCAGAAGTTGTTGTTCTACACTACCACTTAAGAGCTTGACCAGGGTTTAAACGTTCTTTCGGTGTTAACCTTGAGGAAAACGCTTCCAAGACGGCAAATACGCATTCCTCACCGCCGCGGCTCATGCCTCCGGCCTTCGTGTGCAACCTCCATACCGGAGGTTAATGTGTACAGTATCACCGTGCATGTTTGGTTTCCGTACTGGGCGTGGGCAGGTTAGCTGTATTGTCCAAACCCGCTCATCGCGAAAAAAAGTATCATCGTTTTGTTTTCTTCGCGACGAACACCTCAAGCTTCAAAGGGGTAACCGGACCGACATTGCGTAGGAACGCTTGTGTTTTGGTGCATCTCAAGTAGGCATTCCGCGCTACCGCTACCGCGCGACACAGGTGTTGATGGACGCTCTTGATGCTGAGGGCTCGGGCAGAGTTCGGTACGCTGACTTTGCCTCTTTCTTCATGGACTCCGACCCTTGGTTCAAGACTGATGCAGACCTGGCTGAGAGGTGCCGGTACTTGATGTTGTGGTTGTGGTTGTTGTTGTTGATGACGATGATGATGGTGGTGATTGTGGTGATGGTGATGGTGGTGGCGGTCCTGTTGCGGACACCATCAACTTGTTTTCCGCTCTCGCGTTAGGGTACAGTAGGGTCTTCCCGAGAATCTCGAATGATGAAGGAAACAAACTACCTCCTGTACATATTCATCACACCCAGAGAACATTCTAGACAGAATCATTGTTATTTTTCTGCGGATCCACGACGAACTCAGCTTCACGTCGCACGTTCAATAACCGACGGTTGGTATTCGTTTAAATAAAATGAGCAGTGGCCATTCTTTAAGGCTGTTTATCTAGGATTTACAGGGACCCTGGCCGTTAACCGGAACCCCGATGTTCTTTTCCTCATCCTTCAGGCTGTGCAAAAGCTTCGAAATGTCCGGAGACAGTGGGGGCGATGGCGATGGCGGCGGAGGCGGTCCGGGGTCGGTTCTCGGAAGGTTCCGCGAGCGGTTCGTGGCCGTCGACCGGGACAAGACCGGGTTTATCAACCGCGCCCAGTTTCGAGCAGTTCTTGCAAGCCTCCCGGGAACCCAAGATCTCACAGTGAGAGCTTGTTGACGTGGTCCGTCGTATTGTGGCGGCTGTTGAGGTTGCTATCGCTGTCTGTCGGCGACGTTGATGAAAGTGCTGGTGGCACGGTCCGCACGCTGGAATCCTTCCAGCTCCTGCCACCGGCCCCTTCCGCTGCTTGGTGCCGAAACGAAATCTTTTGAAGCGATCCGGCTTATGTTTTCCGAAAAGCAAGGACAGAGAATTTTGAACAAACAAGGGCAGCGCCTAAGCAAAAACAAATTCGGCGATGGTGCTCGCCCCTCCGCTGCGTCGACCGCAACTACGTTTTTTTCGGGTTTGCTTTACAACCAACAAGGGTGGCATTTTGGGTTAACATCGTCATGTGCGATGCTTTCTCACGTACCGCCCGTCGTGCACCATAGGAATACAAAGACTTCGGGCTTGTAGATATCTTGTTGGTGCTTTACTTCGATCACGCTGATACTGCTCGTTGTAAGAAGGTAGGGCAGCATAGTCCTGCTGTATCCATAGTGGTGAGGTGCGGCTATTCTTCCTTCAAAACACAAGCTAGCCTTTGGAATCCTTTGAAGCGTGTCGAAACGTTTGGCGAAGCCACAGGACACAGGTTACATAGAGCAACAGCTCGTGCCTCGGTGACCACGAAAACGATATGGTATGGTAGAGGAAGCTGGCGTCTTGCTGTTGACTGTGCAAGTGTAACCTCTGGCTTGCCAATCACGAAAATATGCCAAGGCGATAGTCTAAGCAAATCGAAGAGAAACGAACACAATGAACAATACTTTCGAGACAGCGCGGCGTCTTGCTGTTGTACTGTGCAAGTGTAACCTCTGGCTTTGCCAATCACGAAAATATGCCAAGGCGATAGTCAGAGCAAATCGAAGCAAAACGGACGCAATGATTACCAGTACTTTCGAGGGAGCGCGGCGGGGTGACCAAAACTCTCTTTCGTCTTGGGTCGGGCCGACCGAACAATATTGAACAATGTTGTTCGCAGGAGGATGAAGTGGATCGGTTGAGCACGCTTTTGGACGACCAAGGAGACGGACGAGTGAGCTATCGATCCCTCCTTGATCTGCTTGTGAGGCATCTCGGAGACTGGCACAAGCGTATTCCAAAGGTACCATTATGGACATTGTGTTCAAAAACGATGGAATAGAGCGTGGCCGCGAAATTCGTCACGAGCCTCGAATATGTCCATGCTTTGTCTTCTTAGTTGTGACCCACCGCGCAAACTGGGCATGCGGTGTGGGACACTCCCTCCGTTAGCATCATCTGACGCCTTCCCTCCTTTTGCTAACGGTTTGGTCGTTGGGTTCTTGCCAGACCTAAAGTTGTTTAGTTTCAGCCAATCACCGCTGACCAGAGGGAAAAGCACCCAAGTGACTAGGTCCCCATCTGATTCAGGTTTAGCATCCGGTAAGAGGGAGTCGGCAATCACACATTGGTTGCCGAATATGGAACAAACTGGCTTTGATGTGTACGGTAATGATTCAAACATGCATCATATACGACAAACCGGGGTCACGAAAAACTAGATCTCGCCTCCCCCCCTTCTAGACACGTTTGACATCCACGGCCCTTCTGTCCTTCTCCCTCTGTTGTTGTCGCTGCCTGACAACGTGTCTTTCACCGTGCTTTTCCCGCCACAATCCAGGTGGCCTCAGAGCTGTCGCTAGCGCTTCAAAATACTCAGTACGGCCTAAAGGCCTGCGTGGAGAACTTTTCCAGAAGGTTGAACATCGCCGATCACAAGTCAACAGGGAGGCTACCCCCCTCGACCTTCGCAAGGTGGGGGCTCGAACTATGACAATAGTCTGCTCTTGGGGAAAAAATGTCTTCAATTGTGCCGATCTGGTTGATGTCCGGTAGAGTCAACTACAAGGAATCATTTCATCCGATGACTGACGTTTTTCGGTTTCGAAGCAGAAAAAATGTCAGGGGAGGGCCAGGTGTACTAAGATGGAACATGTCGTGAAAATGCAATGTCATCCTAGGCAGCAGAGTGAGTGAGGCTCATTCCTTCACACTCCGCTTGTGCCTTGCCTCGTTACCGATGCACTCGACGAGCTATTGCGCTATACCTTCTTCTCAGAGTTGATTTCATCAGTTCCACCCACTGGGCACCCCTTGGTGGCGGGAATGTTTCCGTTGTCCCTAAACTATTAACTGTTTTGCTCAATAGATGGGAACGCTTCCGAGCGGATGTTCCGCGTTAAGGCGATCACGCACATGAACATTCATCCGTCGGGTGTGGTATGTACTTTATATACCATATGCATTCCAGAGTGACCGCTCGACGCTTGACCTGCTCCAAACTTCAAGGGCATCCCAAGAGCCAGTACTGATCGCGGATCGCGCCTTCTCTTACGTACGGCGGTGTTGTATTGATATGTATTTCGTTTGTTTTCCCTGTTGCTGCCGAGTTGCTGCCGATCGGCATCGTCACGTTGTCGTGGGATGCTTCGTTTTCTCTATTCTCTCTACTGCGTTCATTCGGTTTAGGGCATGTGGTCTTTAACGCACCATTCTTTGGTGTTCTTGGTCTATCTGTCGGTTTTCACGATTCATTCATGTTTCGTCTCAATATTGGCAAGCGCATTCGTGTCTCGCAAGGCTAACAGAAACATCCGTACGGCGAGCCAGTCTGGCCCTAGCGCCCGATCACCTACGCACTTCTGGAACTGCACTCAACCTACAAAAAAAGCATTTTGCGCTTCTCCAGGTGTCTCCGTAGCGTAGGCCTATCTCTAGCCCCCGAGAGCCTCGGAGAGATGGTTTCCGTACTGGACGCGTATGGCGATGAGCTCATCCCCATAACACCAGTGCTGGAGTTCCTACGAAGAGAGGCGGGAATTTCACCGGAAGGGGGGGATGTGCAGCAACAGGTATGAAGAATGCAGACACAACAGGTATGAAGAATGCAGACACGCCGCCACGTCAACGCCGCAGTTGTTACCAGGAAGAGGAGCGTGGGTTTTGGGGGTCCGGTCGTCCTCCGGGTGAAGAGAACTACTCCAACAAGTGTGGGGAATGTTACTGGTTAGGGTAGGAAGAACGACCGGATGACGTGAGATTACTACTTGTTTCGATCTGTTGTTGATCGTTTTGTATGTGACAGCCGCCACCCACGTTCCGGAGTGAATACAGAGCCACCGTGCATGGTTATCCTGCTCGAGTATCGCCCGACGCATATGGGAAACACTTACCGTAGCCGGCGCGCAGTAGCAAAACTCAAGGATCAAACGCCGTCCGAAACATTCATGAGGCACTTCGCGGAACGCGAGGTAGGTATGAAAGAGGGTGTAACTGCGGGAATGAATAACCAGCGCGAAACGTCGCAAATACACCGGCCATGTTTAAAGCGTTCGAATATTCCAGGCGATTGCTAACTCCTACATCAAACGATTCGTCGTCTGCTAAGAAACGAAATATTCACCCGTGGCAACAACGTACCATCACCATCAACAATCCGAACAGGCGGGCGGCGAAGTCGGGGTCGCGTTTCGTGAGGCTGTGCGGTCCCTCGCGGAGGCGGAGCAGCAGTACGCCAACAGCGAAGACGAGAGCGATGGCGGCGGAACCGGCGGATACGGCCACTCTGACAGGGACGCTGCAACGCCTAGAGGCGCAATAACCTTCAACAGACGTGCAGAACCGGCTGCCTCCACAAGAAGTTATGATGGAACAACGGCAAATTGGGCGTTGCGGGACACAGCAAGACTTAGACGAGAAAAAAGAGGCAGGACGAGCGGTGGGATCAGAGAAGAGAGGGGGGCGTGGGCAATCATCCCCTGGAGCGTGTGCCTCCGAAGGGTCTTCGACAGGTGGCTTGATGTTGACGGGGACGGGTTTCTGACGGAGGGGGACCTTGCGGCCTGTCTGCCCGAGATAGGAGTCTATGTGACAGGCCGAGGTATGCAACACGCGATGCACTCAGGGTAGACCTACAAAACAAAGCTTCAAAGCGCAATCCTTGGAAACAATAGCGGTGTGACGATAGATTCACCGTCAGATAGGCCTTCGGAAAGTCTACACAACATAAAATATGGACTTTTGCATCTCACGAGTGGATCCTCCGGAGTACGGAGCAAATCTGCTACACCAACGATATCGATGTATACATGCATCTATCAATAGAACGACAGCCGAAGATTCGAAACCATGGCTCTTGCTTTGTAATGCCATGGTTGGTTGCTCCGGAAAGGAGTAGCAAACAGCGACTCATACCGGCCTTTCCACACACAGGTTCACGGTGTGCGGGAGTGTTCATAGCTTGACGACCAGCACCAATTTGACATTGTCAATTCACTCTAGCCATTGCACAGTCTACGATATTGCCTGGATGGGAGAAGCAAACACTCTGTGCAACTTCTGTTTATCCCATTCGAAATCGAGATTGTCTTTCATCCTCACTATCCGATGAAAATTCATGTAGGACAAAAAATTCGAAAGGTGGCCACAGGCGGCGAAGGTCATGGGTGGGACAATGCCGGAGAGTATACCATGAGAGAAAGCGAGCCCAATAGCTTGACGGCTGGCTCTACTGGCTCTGGGTCTTGACGACAACGCTTTTAACCTGATCTTCCGACGCTTTTAACCCCAGCGTGCCGTGTCGATTCGTCCTTGTATATGATGTATGATGTGTTTTCTTCCTCAGCCGTGTGTCTCTTTGTTTATTGTATGCCTTGGAGGATTATGGACGCCCCATTCGGTCGTTTTTTTCGTCGTATTTTGTTTGTACTTGCGCTTGGGACAAGTTCAATCACTTGGCGTTGCTTCGTGCTTGATCTTCAAACGCTGACGCACACACGCAGATGCGGCTAGAACGTTGCTGTCGGCCATGGACTCCCGCCAAAGAGGGCTGGGCCAGGCGACGTTCAAGGACTTTGTTGAATTTATGGGCACCAATGGCAGCAGCAGGCGACGAGGCGGCCGTTCACCTCCGGGCACAGCTCCATATTCCCCCGTCGACAAAAGGGTAAGAAGAAAGGGGAATATTGTAGCACGACCGGCAAGATGACAGACTGCAGACATCGGACCGAGGGCTCTGTTTCATTTTCGTTCGCAGCGACCGTGGCGGGTGCCGACTACTATAGAGCTTCAAGTAGTCACCACACCAGAGATGTTATCATTGTATTCAACAAGGACGTGGGTGTTTCCTCGCTGTTCTCGACACCCACATCGCGATCAAGGAACCGAGTGTGTGAGAAGAACATCTCGCTGTTAAGCATACGCCCTCCCCAAAACTGCGCTATTCCTCGACTTCGGGTTTCCGCCATGCTCCCTCGTTTCATGCCATGGGTGAGTGCGCGCAGCGAACCAGCCTTGGCCCCGGTCAAACCAGGCTCTTGAGGCACGTTCGCCTCGCACTTGGCCTGCCAGCCGCAGCAGCGTCTCACGAAGACCACGAAGACGATAGCCGGGAGACCATCACCAGCAAGGACCTCCGCCGTGCGATGGCGAGGCTGGATCCGCATGGGAGCGGGCGGTTACCCCTCGGGAAGATCAAGGCGGCCCTGCAAGGCTTCGGCCTCCGCGTGGGAAACGTGCCGCATGCCTCATGGCTGGACCTTACGGGAAGGTAGGGCCGAAGGGGTGAACCAGTCGTAAGCTTGAGCTTTGCTTGGGTGCTAATTGATGAACAACGCAACGCCACACAGGGCAATGTTTGTTTTCGTGCGAATTGGCGTCCCGAAGAACGTTCTCGCCTGCTGACATTGGTTACCGGGAACTTTGATGTTTTGGATATTCCCCGTTTAACCTCGCGCAGCCTCGTCCCCCGCACAGTCGCCCGCTGCGCAACGCACTCTTGTTGCGTCTTCTTGTCTCGATGCTACCACGATGTGACCCCTATATCCTGCTCATTCCTATGCTTGTCGTACCCTGTTCCCTGCAGCTTGGACCAGGACGCCTACGGGCATTTGTTCTACTCCGACTTCGTCGACCTGCTGATGCCGTCGGAACAGTCGCCATATCTATCGTCCCCGGACCCCCCTTCGGACCGCCGAAAGAGCAACGCCCACTCGAGAAAACAGCCGATGATTCCCGCAGAGGCCCTCGCAGAGAGGGGTACTAGGAGTGGGAATTTAGGCCGCAGCGTCTATGGTGCCTTCGAAGGCGGCGAGAGTAATGATCGACCGGCCAGAAAAGGTGTTGGTGATGATTGGCGATCGAGAACCTATCCCCCCGCGGCGGTATCGTCCGTGGCACCCGCATCAGGGAAGAGGCCGGCAAGACCAAGTCAGTACAGCCGGCCAAGTTTGAGATCCACAGGTACAGTAGGCTGTGGGAATGTAGTACGAGGTCATGGCAGTTGGTTTTGGCGAGCGACAAGGCAGAATGTTCTACTCCGTATATATTAGAACATTGCTCCGCGCCTGTGGTATTTTAACCCCCCCCGACCAGGTATTTTACACCTGAAGGTCCTGGTAGAGACAAGAGAACGGGCACGATATTTTGGACACTCGAGCTAAGGTTCCCGGCCTAGGTGCCCAAAGCTCAATGCTATTTAGTCGCCATTGAACCACGCACACCGGCCTGTCACTCGGATGACAATTGCCGAGGAAGAAAGTCCTTTTCCGTCAAATATGACACTACAGTACAAGCAACCCGTCCGGAGGAATATTCTCAATGCTAGCAGACAGACAAGGGTCTTGTACCCCTGGGTGGGCTACACGGGAGAGTAGCCCGTGAAACATGACTTCGGAGTGATCGCACGAGGGAGAAACTGCCCAGAACATACAGCCCATAGACACCTGTTCCTACTGCTGTCAATGGTGCGCATGTCGAAGCTTGTGAAGGCAAATGTTCTCGTGATCCTCAAAATACGAGTGTGATGTTTCGGTTTTGAAACCCGACCCTCCCGTCTGAGGACGTCGCCTCGAGCCAACCTATGCACGACGAATGCCTGATTGTGATGTCGGTTTTCAGGGTCTTCGACTGCGTTGCCGAAGCTTTTGGAGAGGCTTTTGGACGGGGTTTTCGATGAGAACGGCGGCGTCGCCGAAGGGGGCGTGGCCCTGCGTTCGGCCTTTCGGCGGCAAGACCTCACGAGAAGGTGAGAAAGTCTGAAAGTGGTTGTTCTATCCAGCAACCCGACATAGTATTTGTCCTAACAGTTTGAACAGGGTTCAAGTTGATGTGGGCCCCCGAGAATCGGGAATCTAGAACAGGTTGCTTTATGGCCTGCAGGGGACATCTAAGATGCGGCGGAAAGCACGCACATCCAGACACGAGTTTTTCTTATTTCAAAGTACTCCGGGAACGGGTTAGGGCTGATGTGTCCGTAGTCCCCCACCCTACCCATATGTTCACCGTAAAACACAAGTTCTCTTCCAACAGCACCTCATTGTCCTGACTCACAGCCACCTAAGTAATTGATCTTCCGTCATCTGTACATGCTTCCTTCTTCCTTCTTCCGTTTTCCTTCTTCTGGCCTCACGCCTGCAACACCAACACTTTCCTTCCTGAATGAATGAATCAACAATGAACGAAAGCGGCCGGCTGAGCCAGGGCGAGTTTCGTCTGGCGCTGGAAAACGCCGGGGCGCCAATTTCGTCCATGGAGGTGAGCTGGGACGAGTTTTGACGCCGTGGCGGCCCTCCAGCACCGGCCGACTTGAACAAAGTCGACAGGCGCTTTCATGTCATACATCAATTTTGGTACATGCGTCTGTTCCACGCGGAGAGAAGGCAAAGCTTGTCGTTTTATCGTCGCGCAGGGTACTAAAATTGTTCGGATATCTTCTAGAGGCAGCGAGTGCCCTCCACGTCACAGCGATAACCAGTATTTGTCTGGTTATGGTCAGGTTCGAGTGTACCTACGATGTGAAGGTTCAGACCACACCACCGTTAGGGAAGTCGCGTCTAGGGTGGCAGGGTTGTTGTTGCTGTTGTTGTTGTTGTCGTTGCTCACATTAGCTCTTTAGTCCACAAAAGATGGGGAGCCCGTGGTCGCAAAAACCCGGCACACACGACGACGCCGCGGGGAAACAATACAAAAATAGGGTACAAACCACACGGAAAAAGAAACGAAATGATAGAAAGAAAAGAACAGCTACCGCACCGACAGGTCGAGAAAAGAGCCCTCGGAAACCGATCAAAATATAACAAAACAAAATAAAGATAAAAATAAAAGGAGGACGCTTCCCACACCCCTGCCCAAAACTCAAAGGGTAACGTACCAGCACCAGACACTACGCACCAGGGCATGGGAGTAATGGAGGTACCAGAACAAAGAGGCGGCAGATGGGCAGACAGCCATATATATAAAAGCAAAAGCAACAGCACAAGGGAGATCAAGGTACCCAACAAGGCAGAGTAGGCAGGGAGGACATGAAAAAAGAAGCACAGCACAGAGGCCGGAGGTGGTACAAAGGACATACAGGGATATTGCATATAGCAGGGAGGGAAGCAGGGCGCAACAACATCAGCCGGGTACACAGTTCGCCACAAGTGCTGCTTCGGTCGGCCTACTCGCTTCTACAGCAGTGCCCGGTCGCCGTTTCTTCCCGCCCACAGCCGCTTCCCCGACTCTCTTTCTCTTCGGTCCCGAGATGGCCGTACTCCCTGCTTATGCTTCCCTCGCGCGCTGGCGCTTCGCGGACGCTTCCGCCTCCTGTCTGTGCCATTTCCTCATGAACCATGCCGCCCCGTCCTCGACCTTGTTGTACCACGCCTCCGGGTCCTTGACGCTCTCTTTCCATTTCCCCCCCTTCCTTTTCGTCTCCTATGTTGAAGGCCACGAGGTCCTCTCCTAGACGAGACACCCAGTCGCTCTCCTGCCCACCCCGGTATCCCACGCCCCCCGCCATCGCTCCTAGCAGCATGCGCTTGGGGAGGCGGTTGTCCTCCATGCGCATAACTAAGCCCGCGAAACGCAGTCTCCGTTTGCGCACGGTGGCCTCGATGGTTTCCTCGCAGCCGGCCTGGATATGGGCCTGGGCATAGGACACGGGGCGGTCTGAGCGTTTCCGCTTGCTCTAGCCGATGCACCGTGTCAGGGACTGGCGGTGGGTCCCATTGAGCTTCGTGTAGCGCTCCGCTGTTAGGCTCCACGAGGCGCACCCGTATGGGAGAGTCTCCACCACTTCAGCCTGGAGTAGCCGGATCTTGAGCTGGCGGTCGGCCCGTCGCCTGTCGTACATCGAAGCACTGTTCCGGCGGTAGCACTTCCACGCTCGGCAGCTGCGGCTCGTGATCTCCCGTTCGGCCTTCCCGTCCGCGCAGATGGTACGTCCGAGGTACACAAACCGATCTGCCTGCTTGTACGTCTGGCCGGCGGCGCTGACCGTGAACGGGCGTTCCTCGATCCCTTTCGGCAGCATGCACATGATCTCCGTCTTTGGCTCCGATACCATCAGTCCGAATAGACCGGCCACGCGCACGATGACCGACATCATCTTCTCGAGACTCTCCGGCGAGCGCGAGACGATGGCCGGCCGCGTCGTCAGCGTAGAGCATGGCCCACAAGGCCTCCACGTCCGTCACCACCGTCGTCTTCTTCCCTGCCGACCTGCCCTTCTTGCCCTTGTACTCCACTTTTGTCCCGATCTTGACCATGTCCGCCCTCACCTTGGGGTCCTTGTCGAACTCGGCCACGGCGACCATGAGCATCGCGGCAAAGAACAAGTTGAACAGCAGCGGGGCCAGGTTGCATCCCTGTCGGGTCGGGGGCCTTGGCCCACGTCGAACCATTCCGAGTACTGCCCATCGTCCGTTCGGACACGCGCCCTCATGCCCTCGTGGAAGTGGGGAATGACCGCCAGCATCTTCGGGGGCACGCCAAAGCGTCGGAGCACGTCCCACAGCTGTAGGTCTCGGTCCACCGAATCGTACGCCTTGGTGAGGTCGACGAAGCACGCGAAGACCGCAGCACTCTTCTTCCTCGCGAGCTCATGGAGCCGCTGGATCGCGAACAGCATGTCGAGCGTCGACCGGTGTGGGCGGAAACCGCTCTGCTCCTCCGGGAGGATGCCCTCTCGCTCGCAGTAGTGGCTCAGTCGGGTAGCGACGACCTCAAGCAGCACCTTGCCGACGTGTGCGACGAGAGCGATGCCCCGGTAGTTGCCGCACTCCATCGTGTCCCCCTTCTTGAACAGCACTTTGATGGTGGCATCCTTCCACTGCTGTGGTACGTCCCCCGTCTGCCACACGTCTACGACGATGGCGTGGAATTCGCGGAAGAGACCTTGATCTCCGTCCAGGAAAAGCTTGATCAGCTCAGCCGGTAGGTCGTCCGGCCCGACGGCCTTTCTGTTGGCCATTTCCCGTACCGCTTCCTGAACCTCGAGTAGAGATGGGATGTCGTCGAGTGGCACGCACGTGGGCCACCGCTTGACCTTGTCAGTCGCATGTAGGTCGATGGTCGGTGACTTGGTGTTGAGAAGCTTGTGGAACCATCGCGCCCACCGTTGGCGAAGAAACGTGGGGTCCCGAAGGACCTTGCCGTCCTCGTCCTTGATGTTCTGAGAGGTGAATGACCTCTTACCGTCGACGTCGATCATCTTCAGGTGCCTGTAGAAACCCGCCTGATCCCCCTCGCCACTCTTCTTCTCGAGCTGCCGTACATAGCCCTCGAAGAACGTGCTCTCCACCTCGCGATGCTGCGCTTCTTCCGGGCCGCCTTGAGCATCGTCTTCAGGGTCGCCTCGGAGGCACTGTTCTTTGAGGCCCCACGCAGTTGCTGCTGGGCCGCCCTAATCTCTTTAGACGCTTCGGAGATCTCGTGCTGCGCTTCGCTCGTGTACCAGCCTCTCTGCCCTCGTGCGCACCTCGCCAGCGGCGCGGTCTCGGCAGCGGCCGACATCACCATAGCCGTCAGCTCGGCGGTGGTCTCTCCCGTTGGCCGCGTAAGCGCCGTGGGCGGAAGGCGGCTGGAGGCCCTGTCTTGGAAGGCGGCCCGTAGGTGTTTGTCCTTCCTGAACCGCTCGAGGTCGATACGGATCTGGCTGCTTCCGCTGTTCCCCCGCACTTATCGGGTGGGTGGGACACGGGGGGGGAGGCGGACAGTCGTAAGCACGAGGTTGTGGTCAGAGTCCTTGAAGTCGACACGTTTGACGGAGACATTGCGCACGAAACGCCGGTCCGTCTGACGCATGAGGATGAAGTCGAGGTGGTACTTCTCCTTCCCCTTGTTGGAGCTCTGTAATGTGTGCTGCACTCCACCTTTCGGTGTCCGGAAGTAGGTGTTGATCAGGGAGAGTTGGTTGTCTGATGTCATTCGAAGGAGTCTTTCCCCGTTGTTGTTCATAATGTCGCGTCCGTACGCGCCCATAATCTTGGCATCGCAGCACCGGTCTCGCCTCCTACCAGTGCGTGCGTTGGCGTCCATTAGCGCCACGAGATGGTCACGGCAGTCGTGTATCGGCGCGTTTGTAAAGGATTGGCGTCAGTAGCGTGCTCCAAGAATCGGATGGACAAAGACGGCTCGGAATGGATAGAGGGAGCATGTAAAATACATGAAAATAGTCAACGAAGAATCGTTCAATGCACGTCCAAGCTTATCGAAAATCAGAACATTTAGAGATGTTCGCCTGCCGAGTCTTCGTGTGGTGAATCGTGCATGGCTACGCACATATTGTTTTTCGGTACTCCTCTAAGTTGATTTGCGGGTAATAACTCTCCGATGGATGTTTTCAGCGTCACTATTTATTGCTGCCTGCTCTCGAACTTGGCGCCAACAGGTAGCCACTGTCTTCGAGTTCTTCGACAAGAGGGGCAGCGGCATGATAGACCACGATCGTTTCGCCAACTTCATCCTCCGGAGGTAAAACCCTTTCGTCTCTCGACAGACCAATGGTGCCGGCATACGTTTTCGACGTGGTCGCTGTAGAGGTTCGCTCTGCTCTGCGTTCTTGTTTCCGATGGTAGTGCATGCTCACATATCGTGCGCGGTCGACATGGCGTGTGCTCACATACATTTTACACAGAGACTGCCCGGATAACTCTTTTTCTATTAGTGACAAGAGTATTCGTTAAACGAGATTCTCGTCCACTTGAAACACGCCCACGACGTGGCGGTGACCCTCTTGACGGCAGCGTGAGATCGACCACAGGCAGCCCTGTTGTGCTGTGAATATACGCGTGAGTAGCCACGCCACTGAAAATCAACGCGGCCCCGTCGTCTCCAAACCAAACACCAAACTTCGAGATTTTAAGGTTGCAAGAACCAGACACGGAGGAGCCGGGCTGGTAGGTCGTACAAGGTGCACACCTTTGAACCCCTCCACCTCGCCAAAATTGACACTTGCCAGTGATCGTGAACATCTCTACCGCCCCAAATTATTTTCTAACGCAGAAGCCGGCGCTTCCATCGCGCTCTTGATCATCCCTGCTGCAAACAATGTTCCTTACGCACCTAGATCGGGAACAGAGGCTGCGGTGACAGCGACTACGCCGAGCAGAAACACCGCCTATCGGGCACCATCCTCATCGTTGTCGCCATCGAGGAGCAACTTGACGATCGGCCCCAGGGTGGCAAGTGTCGACGGCCCGGCGGCCTCCACCATTCGGGCTTTAAAGAACCGAGAACCGGAGGTGGCCTCCCTGAGAAGGCAGCTCCAGCAACGAGTCGCCAAGTGAGAGGAAACGGGGGAGGGAAACGAGATGAGAGGGGAGGGGAGTAAGAGACCTGGTTCCTGTGCGAACAATACAGATTTTCGTGCTGTGACCTCTTCGACCACTGTAGCTGCTTCACTTCGTACAGTACTTGACGGGGCGAACAACCAACAGCTGCACTTATTGGCATGCCATCAACGCGACCCGCGTGTAAACGACATACATACCAGGTATAATGGTAGCAGCAACAACAGCCGCACACGCGACAAACCTAAACATCACAATCATAACTACAATGCCACATTTCATGAACGATCAAGGAGGCAGAGGGCTGTAATCGGTGGTCTCGAGTTGAAGAAGCTTCTTCGTTCCTGCGGCCTAGACCTCTCACCTGCGGAGATCAGCCATCTCCGACAGAAGTGCGGAGATCCAGCAGGGCAGGTACTACTGAAACTAGCGACGGCCAGAGCGTTTGCCAAGCCTCGATATAGTTGCGTATTCCCCTTGGTGTTTTTCTTGCAGCCTTCAGCCCTTGGCGGAACTATCGCTGTAGCTCCGGTGTCTTGCGCTCGTAACATAGGAGATGCGTATCTCTTGCAGGCACGACGTCTTGGTGCCTTGAGCTTGCGCGACCAAGGATCTTCGGCCGCGCCGGCTCGAAACCCAGACACCTAATGTAGACTACTCGGAAAGAGAGACTTTGTACGAAACGAGCTACCAGATCTATTGTAGGGTATGAGGCAAGTTGCTTCTCCGGGAACGCGTTAACGTCCACCGATTGTTGGCTAGGTGTACGTCCGATGATGATAACATCGTGGCGGCGAATCGCAACAAATAGCAGCCTTCTCGTGATCGTTCAAACCGAGTCTGTACTGTGACGGTTATCTCGAGAAGCCCGTACGAGACAGAAGCAAGAAGTTCTTTCATGCCCTTGTTTCCCCACTCTCTTGCCTCCCACTCTCCCTATCTCGCTCTCTCTCGCTCTCTCTCTCTCTCTCTCTCTCTCTCTCTCTCTCTCTCTCTCTCTCTCTCTCTCTCTCTCTCTCTCTCTCGAAGGTGAACACGTTGGCTCTGTTGGCCTACCTAGGCCCCGCAGAAAGCGAAGCTGCTAGAGCCTATGGAGAGAACGACGGGCTTCCCCCTGACTCGCTGCTAAGAGGCTGGGCGCACGAAAGGTACATATACCCTTCTCTACGGTACCACATATGTTAAGGTCAACCAAATGTTTGTTTTGACTAAGGGTTATTACCTTGAGGCACTAACGAAAATGCCGCCTTTTCTCGCTTGACACGCTGCACATCCTTGATTTCAAATCAAGTTTGTCGATGGCATATAGGCTCTATGCACCTAGAAATTAATGGCGGACACAACCAACTGGCCATACTTGATCGAACCTAAGTACTGCCATGCTGCAAGAAGTAAACGACACAAGAACCCTCTTCCTTGGCCAAGGCGAAACCTTTTGCTTGGCGCAAATAACGCCGCACTCGTACGTATTTCCGTGTACCGTAGTACATTTCCATTGGTGGGGGGTGGACGCTGGCCGTCCTTCACTAAGACGAGAGCCAGAGGCCATGGGTACCCGTACATTAGCAGGTTGGAAGTAAGGGGGCAGCCCCATTGCTCCTCATTTCGCTAGCTACCGTACGTTGGACCTTGGGATATCGCGATGGATGCTGAACCATGATCAAGGCAGCTCGGCTTGCTTACAATTCCCCGATTTTCTGATTCTCGCCTTAGTGTCGCAACCAAGCGACGCAATGACCGCTTGAGGAGTTGGCTCCCCCCGTCCAATTCAGACCTCTACCTTGCGGCAGCAGTAAGGGAAAGCAGATGGCAATAGGCTGCAAGGCAGTCTGAGCTAAACGACCGTGATGCATCAAACTGCGATTGAACACGCTGACGAATGAATGCCTTCCCGTCCTTCGTTGGCTTCTTGGAACCCATCTTGACACGGACTGATGCCGTGTCAAGGCACGAACGCCCGAAAAGCGCTGGTATTCGTGGTGGAGAGGACAACGTGCACGGGGGTGACGAGAAGGAAGAGAGGCGAGCGAGAATCGGTGCCGCTCTCCGCAGGTGCTCACGACGATACCTTTCGTTTTGACGTTGTTGCGCCACTTGCCCATAGCTCGTCCTTTTCGCACTGTGCAGCCACCACTCTCTCGGGTAAGGTATCAACATTCGAATTGCGAGGACTTCCACACATGACTCTCACGAGTAGTGTATGGCTCCCCCCTCGGTGACGTCAAAATGATTATCTATAGGTAGGCTTTTCTTCTTCGTAGTCTAATGCATTTTCGATCCCCTCACTCATGGACCGTTTAGGCCCACATCGCGCCCGGGATTACGAATTCAACACGCAGCAGGTCGACATGCAAGCATTGTTTTGCCTCCGGCAGCGCTTTTTATGTCGAGCGAAATCCTTCTAAGACCGCACGTCATCTCATCTCCATCCGACCGCCAAACCAGACCATGATACGTAAGTCCGTGTGAGTATTGTTGCTCAGACATGCAGCAGTCCGACACCGATTGCGATTTGCCGCGCCCGTGTTCCTCTTCCGCTCCTTTGTCGGGCAACGACAGAAAACGTCTCGAGAGGAGAACCAGGGGCTCCACCCACGACTATCGGGCGGACGAGGACCTCTTCGCACAAACATATCCGACCGCAACAGCTCCAAACAGAAGTGCCTATGGGAGGAGAAGATGGGAAGATGAGGGTTGAGGTTGTGGAATAGGGCTGACAGCATCAATACTTGGTGACTGCGGAATTTCAGTAGATTTGGGACTTCGCAAGGAAATCGCCTGGGATGGCGATGCCCTCTGTAGGTAGTTGTACCTGGCCGGGCTGTTTGCACGCCAGAATATCGAGAGGAACACGATGGCACGGTGGCCTGAAAACTGCAAGATACCCTATTTGACGAGTTTATTTGCAGATTCCCCGCGAGCTAATCAATGCACTTTGTGTCGTACTTTGAGAATCTGCGCTCGATGAAGGTAACAACGAAATGGACAGACTCGACCGACATCGACGATTATTTTTTTGTTTTTTTTGGGGGTGTCGAACACAGAAACATTGAGAAAGCAGGCATTAATTTATTTTGGGGCTTGACGGGCAGGATGCGGGTGCACTCCAGATTGTACCCCACCGGAACACCCGGGCCCTATGCGCACGTCGTCGTCGGATGGAAGTAGGACGTGGTCAACCCAATTAAATTCTGATTGGGGAAGTCGAACAACTTCAGGTTACGGCTTTGCCTCTACTTCGGGCGGTTGTTCATTCAACAGGTCACGCCAGTCTTGGCATTTATTTTGGAACGCTGGCCAACATGTCGTCCCATCGTTCTTGGCATTGCTCCTAACCCTTGTAGTCTCGAACATGAGATTCACAGTAACCGCCAACAAAATCGGAATTCTCGCGGAACTCGAGGGAAATCAACGACGACAACGCTACTGGAGTACATTCTGAAACTGCACGAACACTGAAACTACGCGTCCTGCATAGCGTTTCATGCGCTGGTCCCGCAAGAGAAGTGCGTTACATGTCACTGTCGCGCCGCACCAGCCGTGGATCGAAGCCTGAATCAGACGGTTGGTCATAGAGGTTTGCCGCAAGATTCCGACAAGATTCGCCAGCACGTTCCTCAGGGGAGGGGTTCCTCCATTGATCATGAGGCGTGAGCTGTTTTGCACTCGTAGACAACTGCGAGGGTATCTGGCAGTCGTTTAGAGCCGTGTCGACGCTGAGAGTACACACAAAGAGGTGTTGTCACACGCCCGCACCACCATTTTACGCCATTCGTCGCCCCATTCCCCTACAAGCTCGAACTACTGTAGCCCCCAACACGGCATAATCGATAGGTCGAAGCGGGCAGCGGCCGCGTAGGCAGAATTTGCGGTAGTAGCAGCAGCGGCAGCAGTATCACGACGGATTAGACCACATGCAAGGCATCGAATACCAGCAGCAGCTGAATGCCAGCACGGACACCTGTACAGGCCGACCACCCCTACACTGCCCTTACTGCCGGGATGTAAGACACTCGGAAGAGGCAGGCTAGGTGTCTCGAGCCGAGGCTCTGCGAGAGGTCGTACTGTAGACGTACCGCGGCATTCTCCGCGAATGTGAGACGTCATTAGGCACGGGCCCCTCAAAGAAAGCGATATTACGACTGTAAGCTAACTCCGCCGAGAACGGCAGCGAACCACGCCCGGCCCGTCCAATAAAGCGAAAAATGGAGGCCGTATGAATAACCAGTCGTATGAATTTTTGTTTTCGTTGTCGTCGTTCATTACCGATTTTTTCGAATACGGTCCTGTTCCTCCCAATGCAGGAGTCCGATCAGGGGTCACACAGAAGAACCCCTGCCGGGGTGCACGCCTCCCTTCACTCCGCACGCGAGAATCAGCGTACCACCTCCCTCAACTGTACTAACGAACACGATCTACCTAGGGTACCAAAGTGCTAAAATCCCACCCCGCCTAGACTGCACTTCCACAACCAAATACTACCAAAAACTGGATAGACCGACCATTCGGACCGCCAGCGAGGGGGAACACGCCTGAGGAAACACGTACGACTGGTGCACGTTGACTCACCCGCGGGAAAACGCAAGCAAGCCGCCGCCGCCGCAATAGCACAAGAGGCTCGTGCATCTTGCCCCGGAGCTTGAAAAAAAAAAATCGATCGCCACAAAATTTACGTCGCCCGTCGACGTCCATAGGGCGTGGTCGTCAAGCCGTTCTCCAAACAGTGCCAACGCTACCGCAGCGCCCGCCGCCCATCCGGCATTGACCAAAATAATAAATAATAAGCACCAAGAATACGCAATAAAAAGGAAGTCCGAAAGGGGAGGGCGAGAGTAGATGAACCCTGACATCGGGGGGCCAGCGGTGCCCTTGAAGGGACACGATCAAATCAAATAGCCCATCCAAGAAACAGCACAAAAATAAAATTACGTTTACTTGTACAACAATTGCAGCGTTCTCCGTCCAGAGCAACCCCTCCAAGTGATATCATGATCATCATACGGTAAGCGACAACCGACTCCGTCTTTCACAAAGGACAGCCAGGTCGGTGATCCCCAGCCAAACCGTTCTGCCATTCCAACCAAAAAGACGCAACATAATGATGCGCCGGCATCAAGTCCACACTCGCCTGCCGCAGCCTCTTCCCGAGGCGTCGATTCAAAGAGGGCTGGTTGGGGAAATCCTGCGACACGGAGCACAGATCCTTAGAGAGCATGTCATACAAAGATGAGGGGGGGTCGCCAAGGATTGTACCTTCCAATTCCTGCCGGGTGGCATCCCACAGATGGACCCTGTCCGCCGGACAAGAGGACAGACGCAACCCCTAACAAACCCGGAGATGAACGCATGTGCACCTTCCTTCACTTCAGTACACACGAGGGAGTCATCATCCGGCACACGCACACGGAGTCACCATCCGACACCGTTCAAACCTATCCTGCAGACGAGGGAACGTTCGTTGCCATTGCCCTCTCCCCCTTGCAACGGGCTTCCACTCTGCGCTTCCCCTTTCGCGCGCACACGAACGCACGGGCCGCGAACCCCGCCCAATGAACCGCTCGCTCCTCCGACTCCACGTTACCAATTACTACGCTTGGGGCGCTCCCGTTTCCTTTCCTAAAAGTAGTCGGACTTTTGAGCGAGCAGGTCGAGCTTCTACCCCCTGGACTGCATTTTCCTGCGAATGCGGTACCCGATCGTGCCGAAGACGACGAACGCTCCGGCCCAGCACCCAAGCCCGAGCAAGTGCCCAAACCTTCTCGGCGGATCACGCATCACCGACGGGCACCAAGGAGCGAGGGGTATCAATTAGAGTAAGAAGGGAAGGAGGGAGGTGGGCGAAGAGAACAGAACAGATAAGCCGGATTCTGCACAAGCGGGGCCGTGTTCGAAAGGTACGTGTGGATGCTTGACTGCGGGCAAACAGGGCCGAAAGGAACAAAATCGCAGAAAGACATGGGTTAGCCCATTAGCAGAACACAGCGCCTGGATCCGTTATCAATACAACTGCAGGGGGAGATAGAAAAGGGGGTTACGAGCGCCCGCGCATCATCGCAACGTTTCATCACAATCAAACCAATAATGCGTGCGCCAGACACATTTTCGTGCCCGATTCACGAACGTTGCGCAAATTCAAGTTCAGTGCGTCCATCACAAACAGCACACTTGCAAGAAACCTTTCTCGAGCTTTTGCGCACTTGCTGCGTGGGGCTCTCGGGGGGCTACAGCGGGAACGGGATCCGTACCCAGCCGCAACCAAGTATGCCCTCGCAGCAGAAGTCGGATCAAGACCAGCAAGGTGCCCACAACCAGCGACTACAAATACAAGTAACCGAGAAAAACGTTATCCGCCTCAACGCTCCGGAGACAAAAAAGATGAAAGGTTCTCAACCATACCGGCGACAAGCAAATGAGAGGGAAAAAACAGCCAATCAGCCATGTCTGGGGATGAACCAATGACACCAAAATCCGCCCATCAACCAAGCAAGCGGGGGTGAGACCGAAACCAGGTAATCAACCATGCCCGGGGGTATGATGGACCCTTTTTTGTCAATGTCAACTCACACGACGGCCGACACCACGAGGGAGACCATTTGTCTGGTGGTCATGATGATGGTGAAGATGATGGGTCCGAACTTCTTGATGGTGTAGAAGATGAACAGCTGCCCGGTGGCGGAGGTGACCGACAGAGTCACCACGTGGTAAAGAGCCGCCGGGTACGTGGACAGGAAGCGGAAGCTCTCGGCGAACCCGCCGTCCTGAGATCAAAGGAGGCGGTATGAACCGGGGCGTGCATAATCAGGCGACAACGTAAAAAAAAAAGAAGAAGAAAGTCGCTGGAGAAGAGAATGAGAGACAGACTCGGGGGGATGTACCAGCAGTGAGATGGCGATGACTACTTGAAAGGGCTTTGAGCAAAATAACCGCTCTGCGCTCAAGATATCGAGGAGCAGCATCGGAAGGGCGGGGGAGGCCGTCAAACAAAGTTTCCCGCCCGAGTTCATTATTGAGAGGGCATGACCACAACGGTCGAAGGGCGTGCGTCATGCAGGTGTTTCCTGCCCTACTCTGGTAAAAGGGCATGAATACACGACAGAAATGATGGAGAGGCAGCTGATGCCAAGCGTGCAAATAACGTAACAAATTTGCATGTGCTTTGGTGGCTCAGCTTGCGACCGATGTACTTTGTCTCGTTGCCCCGACGGGTGCGGTATGGAAAAGGGAGGTCTTAAAACACTGCATGAACTGTTCCCGTGAAGAAGCCCATGAAAAAAAATTATCGCATCTACACTATTGCACTATCTAGACACTTTTTGAGGGTGGAGGAAAAGAGAGTGGCAACGCAGCGGGCGACAAGGCGGCGAACAAGGGTATAAAGACAAAAACCGTACGAAACAAACGGAAGCGAGGAACGCCTTGACGTCACATCGCCGAGCCCCCGCGAAAACAAGGATGAAATCATCAAAAAAAAATAGTCTAGATGGAAACACGCCTCGATCGTTCGGCACCAAGGGTTTGCTATGGTACGATACGATACTCACCCAGAGGAGCGAGGTGGTAGTGAAGAGGATGGAGAAGCAGTTGACGCCGAACATCATCTGGTACTGGTCGATCTTGTGCTTCTTGAAGATGCGGTCCTGCCACTGAGAGGTGAAGCTATCGCACACCAGGTAGGAGGCGATAAAGAAGATGCCGTACAACTGTTGGGGGGGGGGGGGGGGGGGGGGGGGGG